AGGGCACATACACACCTACCATGCTAGGGTTAGGGTTAGGCGAAGAGGTTAGGGTGAGAGTTAGGACACTCAAAGGAAATAAGATAAAACAAGTAAAAATATTACACCAAGCAATCAAACTTACATATAAATAGTCGATCGGAGACTTGGAATACTTCCAACCGCACTATAATTGCAAAAATAACATATTTATAGGTAATAAGAAACAACGGTCGGAAACGAAACGGGTAGCCATGACAGTAGGCTTAGTCATGGAATATAAAATATATTGAATAAATGTAGCATCTTATTTCGACAAAGGTATATACAATTTGAATACAGAATTGAGTGGGTTCACTTTGATCTGTCGATGTTGAACGAAGCGTTTACAAGAGTGCTAGCCCGCTGCTTTTGAGAGTGCCCGTTAACATGTGCGTGACCGACGCGTGATTGGCGGCTCGCGTGGACAACGAATTTTAATCCTGTAATTGATCCGGTCGCTTGCAATGTTGCTGTGAATGTTGAGCGTTTCACCGACCGTTCGATGGTCGATATTTTTCGTCTGAACTGCACTTGAACTAACTATATTCATCAATCCAGTGAGCATAAGTCCGAACTTGATGAATCGATGCTCGATAATGGCGTCGTTGCGCGCGAGCCGGCGAGAAGACCACTAGTCACGCGTTCACCTAGATGGACGACTCCCGATCGATAAATCGATCGACCGTGAGCGCCATCGCGGCTGAGCGGATTCTCAAACATATTATGAAACAAATAGTTGGTTGGAAAGATAACTTGGAATGTATTTACATATGTAGAAAGTACGACATAGGAAATAATAGTTTATTTGAATATAGGGAGGCAACGATACGCAAATAGGTGACATTGCCGGTATATACGTATGAAACCTTGCTCTTAAATAAAAAAATAGGTAAATATAGTTACTATGTCTATGCCCCAGGATCGAAATCAAGGCTACTTCAACAGTAACAACGTCCCCTTTTAGTCGCCTCCTACGACAAGCAGGGGTTACTGTGGCTGTATTCTAAACCCCCAGCCACAGGGGATAAATCGACTTTCCGAACACAAACTTCCCGCATACCGTACTTTCCGAGACCGACTTTTCCGCAAAATACTCTTTACCAAGGCAAAGTTTTCGTGTGTTGAAAACTCTATATATTCCTCATTCTATGTCTGCACCCAATTTGCAATGGAAAATCTACGTATTTCAATACTTCCCAATTGTATCGATATTTGGTATCGATGCGTATCGATATACTTCAATTACGAATGAACTATCGTTATTATTGATATCGATACGTACAATTAAATTAGAAGCGAAGTTCGGTAGAAAGATTTATATTCAAAAATTACTGCCTTATTTTCCCACCTTCCATCTTTTAATATATATATCTATATATTAGAATATACACATATGAAATATACAACTTTATCCATTAATATAATACCTTTCACTTATTTACTAAACCTTACATTCTAATAGACAAAATCCCGTGGTTCAAGGTATAGGTTAGGTGGAGGCGGAGGGTATTTTAATAAATATATTAAATCAATTTCAGTCAGGCTGCCTTATTTATCCACTATCCTCTGTTACTTCCTTCTCTCTGTGGTCATCGTATGTAACCCTGCCTTTCTTGCAATAACCTCCTTCCAAACAATTTCTTCCAACCTTCTCCGTGCTATACTCCTATCCAACCAAACAAATGACGTTAGTACGTTTTTATTCATATCCGCCAAGCTGTTATCCCCAACATTTCTATTACGTACACATACCTCCTAAACTTGTTCGCAAATACCTATCCTCCTCAGCCTAAATTCGCTTATTTTTACTTTAAACTGTTTAACATAAAAAAATGAAAAAAATATTATTCGAAGAATAAAAAATAAAAAAATACTGTCTAGTCTCATTCAGCTTTTGTAACTTTTTTTCCATACAATTTTTCAACACCTTATACAAAGAAACAGTCTTTTTCGAACGACTAATGATGATTGTATCTGTACTTAGAAAGTTATCTAATGTGGGAGCCTATCGAACGCCTGCGCTTTTGCAGAAACGGCAGCGTGTAGCTGGGTGGTAGGCGTCGTTTCTTTCCGGTTAGTTATACGGGCCGGGCGGTGGTACGGTGACAGTGTAACACGTATGTGCATGTTGGATGTCAGGGTTGTTAGCGAGATGAAGTTAGTGGTAAAGTTGGTTCTGTCTGTCGCTACTCGTCGATCGGTCGCACTCTTTCGGTGGTCTATCTTTTGCTCGATCGTTCGATCTTGCAAACGCACGTACGTTCGTTCTTCTGTCGAAATAACAGGATCTCTTTCACCGGGCACTTGCATTGATCTCTTGTTTCTTTTTCTAGCGTTGAGCGTTACGCGTGTGTGTACGGCTAGTTTAGGATACTGATTGTAAAATGAAATGTCGAAGAAAGCAGAGACAAACACGGGGTTTCGACGTTGCGTCGTACGAAAGCTTGATCCATTTTCGATGTAACATCGTTAACATCGAACCGAGATTCTTCAAGTCCGGCGACTCGAACAGCATTTAAATGGTCTGATATGCAAACGCGACGAACAGCATGTTCATCGACAAACGAGAGAAAAGGAAATCCATCTTCGAACGTGCATATCGCTCAATACTGGCAATCAGATATCTTCTATTGTTTGTTGGCTTCGCTAGTGCGATTAATATTTGCAATGCAAAACAAATAGGTACGTTTATGCAAGATTATTGTGCGTATTATTCGCGTATAAAGGGTCTCGCGATAACGTGAGACATCGCTACCAATGAATTTGTACCGTAGCTCTTCGCTCTTCTTTCTAAGTATACGTGGGAGATTGGTGCATATGTAAATTTTCTTCGACTGGGATTCCATTCTCGATGACTTCGAAAAGATACGAATATATTTCGAGATACGATTAGCGAAACGAATGTATCGGTGTGTCGCGGAAACTCCAATTGGATCGATAACGATGTCTGGGTACTTTTGGAAACTGTTGGTTGTTATCGACCCCGTTCAACGAAAGTACGCCGAGCATGCGCTATAACGTGAAATAAATATTCTGACAAGCGTGTGCTGTACGTAAATACTACATATTGTGTTTAGGAAAGGAGCGCATGGTTCTCCCCGTGTTTTTTACCTGAGACAAATAGTTTGTTACGCGTTATTAAAGATTGATTTCAGACAACCCTGTAACGTTTCGACGTTCCGTTCGCACGAACGGAAGAAGAAATGTTTACCGTCTTAATGATTTTTCTTTCCTGGCTTCACGAGTTGACATCTATTCTTTGCAGATACCGATGGCTTTCAGCGGGGTTGCAAGCTAGAGGGACTACATCCACTTCTGATCGTCACGTATAAAAATATTACCGTATCTGTAAGTCTTATATCGGACAAGTTTCGTTGTCTCGTACAATGCCGTCAACATTTTCTCAATGTTCGTCTGCACATGGGTATTGTCGGGAATTTATAAAAAGAGTTGCGTTTACTTTACTTTTTCACTCGTAATTTTCTTTCGCGTACTTTTTTGTAGAAACAGCGCGTATCGTAAGCAGAAAATGTAGCATAAAATAAATTCGGTTTGTTTTTTTTTTTTCATTAACACTAACAGGTAGACAAAATCACCGTACCGCACGGAGAACGTGTCACTATAAGATGCAGAGAATTAGGTAAATACAAACTGATCGGTGATTCTTTGCTGCATTGTCGTAACACGAGTTGGACTGGTAAACTACCCTATTGCTCTCCAACTACAGCGATCTCAAATTATACCGGTGAGTGTTTCTCAACGCAAATCTCGCTCGCTCTCTCTCTAAATATTACCGTTTATGAATAACCGTCGTAACAGTCCGTTTAATCATTTTCTCCTCTTGCTAATTGTTCGATGCGGAGACACAGAAGACGTACCGCCGACGATAGTATTTGGACTTCCAACTGGTTCGGCTGCCGTCGAACCATCGGGTGCTCTAGCCGTTTTTCCTGGTAGCATTCTTCACTTGGAGTGTCTTTTTGCTAGGAAACTTGGTAATCCAGAATGGACTTGGACCTCGACGTTTCGTCAGTATTTGACCGGTAAACGCTTAACGAATTATCTCTGCAAAGTACACTCGCTTGGAATTCCTTTATTTGTTTGAGTAAAACATCGAATGATAGCTTTCTTTCGTACGACAGGCTGGGCAATTTCTGCTCGCGAAAGAGACTGGAAGTATCGGCTATCGATATATTATGCAAAAACTCAAGATTCCGGGGTGTACACGTGTTCTACACCCCGTGGCCTATCCAACTCCATACGTGTTCGAATTGTTGGTAAGATCATTGGCCGCATCTTTTTCATTATTCTGAAAATGTTAAAATTTTTTAGATACACGTTTAGCTAATAGTTGAGAATATTTATCCATGTTTTTATTTCGATTTCGATATCGAAATATATTATATGTACGTGTATAACTTGTAATAATCATATAAAATATAATTATCCGCGGATGGTCGCCTGTAAAAGTAGAATGAGAATTACCCGTTACGTTGTACGTAGACGTACAATGCCCCGTATTGAATCTACCGGAACCACCGTTGATTGGGAAAATCGAAGGCGCGCATATGGGTCACGGAGCAGTGTTCGAGTGTCCTGTTGGATTCAGATTGGAAGGTGCAGCTGGCATAACGTGTCAGTATAACGGTGAGAAATTCTGCGAATGCATGCAACAACTTGTGTGTTCCATATTCGCACGTCAAACACGATCGAAAGTATACCTTGAATTATTATTATTCTGCAGGTAAATGGTCAGCCGATGTACCACGATGCGAAACGATAGAATGTCCAGCTATGGACATCGTTACTGACGCTTGGTTACAACTTATCGAGTATAACAATAGCTTTGGCGGAAAAGCAGTATTTGCGTGTATGTGGGGTCATAAATTATTGGGATCGCAGAGCGTAGAGTGCCAAGGAGATGGTTCGTGGAGCGGAGCTATGCCTATTTGCGCTGGTAAGTGTGTGTGTGTGTGTGTGTGTGTGTGTGTGTACGAATTCGTCGCGTCCTATTACTCGATTTTAGTTGGTAGAAGATACGGTAGACGATGATACGAATCGCGGGATGCTTCGACAGAAATTACCTGCCCACCTCCGTCGATACCGAAAAGCGGACGTATCGTCGAACAAACGAATCGTCATCACTCGGGACGAAAGCAACATCACCAGCAGCAACGTATTCGCGCATACAAAGTTGGCGCTCTCGTCCGATTTGCTTGCTTACCTGGTCATCAGCTCTTGGGTGAGGCCTCTATAATATGTACGGAGAATGGAACTTGGTCTCATCCGTCACCGGTTTGTAAGTTTTTTTCTCTCCCGTAAAATTGTCTCGTTCAACGTTTCTTTTCTAGGTATTAACCGCGATGCTCTAATGTTTTCTTCCTGTATCGATTTACAGGTAAAGTGAGGTGTCCTTATCCGGGAGATCCGCCTCATGGACGAATTGCACCGTTAAAATTTTGGTACAAACCTGGTGATAATATACAGGTAACGATATAATATGTATTCTTTTTCCGAAAACAAATAATTATGTTTCTTTTCGACAACGCCCCGTGGTTTGGCTGCAGGTCACGTGTTCGCCTGGATACGTAACACCTTTGGAACCTGTAAGGAAACCAACGTGTCGAGAAAATGGTATATGGAGCGCACCACCGCCTCCGTGCAGATCGTACAAGGACGTATAAAATAATAAAGGAATACACAATCGATATTAAAACGCCTTAACAACCGAAACAGACTCGTATGCAGCCGAACAAACGGACGGACTGACTATTATGTGAATATTATGTCAAATTTCGAGAAGATTTTATGTGATTAAATGTGAGAAAACCGATTAGAATATTCTTCGTGAAACGGACGATACATATCATCAACGAAACTCCTTCGTTAAATTTCTCTTCTAATTTCATTGGTGACATTCGTGTTATACGTTCGAAACGATTCCAAGTCGCGCGATCTTTAATCTCGAGAATTTTTTCATAATCGCCAAAAACTTGTCGCATCTTAAAAACTAACAGCAAAAAGTAGAATCGTAGTGGACTGGATGATGGAGAAGAAGAGAAAAAGAAAAATCGATACAATAAATGAACGCAAAAGAGATCGTTACGATACCTAAGGATTCTTATTAGTCGTAAATAAAAAAAATAGTACAGATTTTCGCATCAACCCCTCTACCCCCACACCCGCCCCTCGAGTACGTGATACACCTTTGTATGTAAAATAAAGTTACGTTATTCTTTAAAATCGTACATTCTTTTTTTCTTCATCTATAATCTTCATCTCTAATAAGAAAACGTCTCTTAACTTAATTGCCATTGTTTTCGAACGGTGTTAAACTGTCGCGAACGAATCGATAACGGTCCTTCTAACAACGATCCTTGCGATATGTTCACCGTTAAACAAACCCAATTATTTCGTGGATTCAAGGACGAAAGATGGTCGACGAAAGACAAATTGGAACAATATCGAGGAATTCTAAAGTTACACGGTTAGATAACAGGTTGAATGCTTTTTCCGACTGAAATCGTGTACACTTTTCTTCCTGCTCTCTTTCTCCTATCGTTTCTTGGAAGGTAAGAAATTCTGTTTAATTGTAGCACGCGAAAGGAAGCAAAGATTGCAAGATTCCGTAAAATTGAAGAAAAGAATATCGTGGCAATTGGGTTCGTACAAAGAGGACGTAAACAAGTATCGTCAACTTACAAATCGTCTGACGAACGGAATTCCGGAAGGTTATATAAGTAATCTATTACAAGATCGCAAGGACTTACGATTAAAGTGTCATGGACGTAAGACGGAGGTAGGTTCGACATAGACTGCGATTAATATCGATCAGCTATAAGTATTTTATTTTTTTTTTTAATCGCTCAATTAATTGCAACTGCTAAACCTGTGATTTCTTTCGTTCCTGCAGCAAATTTGTGTGCTCGTTTACGAGGGTAACCACCGAAAGCGTTGTCAATTGGATAAATTACGTTATCAGAAAAAAACAAAACTTAAACAATGTTTCCAACTGCAGGTAGGGTATTCTCCTTCCTTTTTCGTTTTCGTTTTCGTTTTTTTTTTTTTTCCTTTATACGTTTCACGTTGTGATTTGGTAACGAAAAGCTGGAACACGCACAATTGTGCGCCGAGTATGCGCAAGAACAAGAAACTCCATGGGCAGAGAATCGATTGCAACAACGATTGGTAACGAGTTATCAGCGGTCTGTAGCAAAACAAAATGCAGCCAAAGCGATAAATGTAACGTACGTTGCTATGCTTGACGTATTGAAACAGGTACGTTTTAAAATCACTGCTTCTTCCTTACGCTTTACATATGCCTTGCGACGTTACCTTGTAGGATGATTGTTGATTGTAATAAAACTGTTGCTAGTAGGACGCGATAAATCATGAAAGGTTGTTGAACGCTTTGAAAGAAGATCGTGAAAATCAATGCAAAGCGATACTGAAGGCAACGATCATGGGTCAACTCGCAACCGAGGAAACGGACGACATCGCTACGAAATGTAAACGCATAGCTCGTATCGTCTGGAACAATATGAAAGAAAGGGAACGTATGCTAGCCATTGTTCGTGATCGAGTCGAGGATCTGTGGTCGTTCGCGCGATCCCTGATAAGAACCGAGGTAAGTAACAACTAACTAACGACCGATCCAGCAAAATAACGAAATGTACCGTTCGAATGAAAATCCCCTCTGTCTGTCGGTTGACGGACAACTTGTAAAGCGCAATTTTCTATTTTTTTCTTTTTTTTCTTACCCCGTACATTCGTCGCATGTTACAGAGCGAAACAATCTTTACGATGGAAATTACACGCGGTCAAACAGCATCCAATGTAACCTTGGAAAAACAGATAACCACTTTGGAGGAGATATTCGATAAAGTTAAGGAATCGTTGCTCGTGCGTTCCTATCGAGAACTGCTTTCAAGGTACAATTGTACTACATAATCGAATTTCACCGATCGAAATCGAAGAGGTTCAGAGCAGAACGATATAAGACAGAAAACGCCAAGAAATTGTGAAATGATAAAAGTATCACTAACCAGCTTTTCCTTCCAATCAGGCTGGAAGAACAAATGAAACAGAGAACGCAATTGTTGGAACAATTTAATCGGAATGTAAAAGAGCGCGATTTGTTGTTGAGGAAAAAGAACGAGTCTTTATCCGCTTTATCCAATTTTGAACATTCTCTGGTGGCTACTACGGAAGAGTACGTAAAAAATACCGTACGCGCTTGCGTACTTCAAACTCTGGTGGACCAATCATTTTTTTTTCCTTATAGATACAACACCGATAAAAACGTCCTATTGGAACAAATTACGATACAAAAGAAGCGTAGAGAGGAACATGAAAATTTAAGAAAGGAACACGGTCAATTGTTAATGGATATAAGAGCGGCATTACAGAACATGCTGGCAATGCTATTCTGTGTTAGAAGGGGTAGTAAGGTACCGAAAAAACAAACGGACGAATTAGACGAACAAATGGTCGTGATTGAAAAAATGGAGACGGAGGGTAAGAATCGATACAAGGGATAACAAGGGGTTATCTGTTGAATTATTGGGTTTCATATACTACATACGTGCTTTACTGGCAATTCTTCTATTTTCCATACCTTTTTTTTACAGGTTTAACGTTACTGTCGACTGTCAGTCGAAAAGTGGGAGCGTTATTTGGAATGAGCAATTTTGAATTTAACAAAGATAGAGAACAGAGAGCGAAAGATTTATACCAAACTTACGTTTCCGATTATCACTCGAAATTGAAATTCGAAGACGCAGGATTCGAACCAACGGGTAAGTTATTTTTAATTGAGCGAATAATCAACGGAATACAGACGGAACAGGCCGATCGTACACGCTTCTTCGATTCTTCGATTCTTCGATTCTTCACCTAATTTCAGTTATACGTATATTACTTTTAGGTCTGTTTGTCGAACATGAAACGATTGATTCTTCGGTGCCAACGCGAGCTGAAATCAAATTAAGAAGCAGACAAATCGTAGAAACTTACCTGAGGCTAGAGTAATATTCTCTTCCGTTTACATTGAGAAACATACGGAGGGGAACCGCCGTACTACTTATGTTCGTCGAGTATTTATTTGGGAAAAAGAAAAACACATTTCGCAACGTACAATAAAATTGCCAAATTTTCTTTCTACACGCTTTCATTCATTTCGTTAACTCGACCACGTCCCAAACGCTCCTTTGTTTTTTCCAATTTCAACCAGGAAGGTGTATCTCTTGGGAAAGTACAGGCGTTCGGATATTTCAGTGGTGGTTTTGGTTCTTTAAAAGGATGAACGATTTTTAATTTTCTTAATAAAAATTCTTTCATAACATCCTTCGGATCCTTATATCTATCCATATAGAGATTAAACGGTTGTCTCTTTGGAAACCATACTTGAGGTTTGATGTACTGTTTTGGAAAATCGTACTGAAATATCGGCTCCTTCGTTCCTGTGACAAAAAAAAAAAAAAAAGAAAAAATATATTATTATATGCGTATCTATATGAACCTGTTAAATCACACAGTTATCGAAACTTCATTTATACGTACCTAATACCGAATGATAAAATTTTGTCACCGTAGGATCCCAATCGCTTTGGAAAAATGCTAGCCCAGCCGGAGTGAGATAGTCTTGATATTTCTGATAAAATTTCAATGTATTCCAATCGCGATCTGTTAACCGTAAACTAAAACACGCATACGGGATACCCTTCAAACGTTACCATACAAATTTCTTATTCCTTTCATTAACTTTCGATTTACCATGGTGGTGGTGTCTTCTTGTACTCGGCGTAATCCAACCGCTGATTTTGTTTGTACAGGATAAACGCATAACGATAATAACCAACTCCTCGAGGTGTAATTGGTCTTAAATAATCTATTATTTCTTCACCCTGTCCTATTTTATTCTCAGGAATGTTCCCTCTAAGATAAACGTTCTTATCAAAAAAGTAAAAAGTTGAGAGTAAAAAAAAAAAAATTGTATTCACTCACAAAAACCAATGACAATATTCGTTCGATGAGTTCTGCATGTTGCCGTCGGGTGTAGACATTATTAAAGTCCACAAACTATCTGATTCGGCTTTGTAAGCGATAGCTGGTGGTTTCGATGCTTCCGCAGGCTTTATTACGTTTCCAGTGTAAACTTTGGCGAAAGCATCCTCTTCGACTTTGTAAGCGATTTCTAAAGGTACGACTGGAAAAAAATATGCATCGCCAAACGTGTCTTGAAAAATTCCATAATGGTCTGCGATTGTACGAATATGAAATGGACTGGATGCTTCCCACCAAACTTCCTTTACCGTCTCCAAATTAACAGGCACTACGAGAAAGGGACAAGTGAAATATGTATACTCTTCGCTATCGTACAATATTTCATTAGTTGATGTTTTACTTACACTCTCCGCTTCTTAGTTGCTTTTCAAATTGATCGTCGGATCTGTTAACTTTTATTTCGTTCATCCAAATACTCTTTTTTTCGGATGAAATTTTTGGCACGGAGAAACCTATGTTTACTTTGAATGATAATGCTGGATCCGTTTGATTCAGTTCTAAAAGTGAAATACAACAGGTTAGAAAAGGATCAGCATCTTAGAGGAAAAACATTATACGCGTACCCTCGAGTCGTTGCTTTAAATTTCGAGCGATCGTTGGTGGTTTTCCTCGTAGATGATGTCCGCAACGAACTTGCTCCATACGAATTGTTAACCGTGGGGAAACGTCTCTTGTAAAAATTCGGAAAACTGTGTTCGCCATAATCGAACGATAGCAAGTTGACTAATCAATTCTCAACACGACGATAACGGTGATGAACATTTGCGTTAATGATTCTTCGGTAATAGCGCTAAAATTCGAAATAAACGGTGTCTGGTGTCTTCGTGTCTTCTTCGGTAAAGAGAAACAGAGATGAATGGAAAAAAAGTATGCGCATAATGCGCGATAAAAGATTTTTTCAGGCAGAAAGTGCTACGAATTATTTCCTTTACAAAGTACTTTTCACAGTTTAGAAAACGTTTTTCACTTTCGGTAAAGTTGTATGTATATTATAAATACATATGAATTTACTTCAGAAGGTTAGGGAGTTAGGTTATGTATCTGCTATACGCATTGCATCCAACACCAACCAGTATATGTACCTAAATACATACATATATAAACGTAAATTAACAAAGAAGCGAAGAACGCAGAGAGAAAAGCCGTGTGCGGTGCCCTCGCACGACGTAAATGTGTATCAACAATGGATCCCGTAACCGTAACGTCGGCGTTCGAACAAGGAAGGCATTGAAAGTTTCTTGTTCAAACAGGCTCAAATATGGTGGACTGCCATTGGCAGGTAGTAGTTTTGCAGTTTCACGTTAATTACAGCTTTAGAAATTTTAGGAAACCAACGAACGAACAATATGAATCGTAACACATTTTTTCGACGGAATGTATGTATAGTAGAAATAAGAGAGTCGAGACGATCGAAGTTTCGTCGGATTGATTTGTTGAACGGGTAAGCGAAACAATTTTCATTTTGACTCGACTGTGCTTTCTCGTTCGTGTTTCGTGATATATACATATAATACATATTATACGCGAAGGTACGAGCTAAGTAAACGGATAAACCGAAAAAAAAAAACGGTTCGGTTTCGCATCGAAACTGATTACTGACTTGGTTTTTCTTCGTATACAATTGTCTAAATCACTTGACAAGTATGAATATCAACTATCGAGTTGAACGTAATTTTTCCACGTCAGTGACGCGATTGCAGGTAACGGTGGTAACGATACGAATACTAATCGTGATTTTGGCAATGGCAATAATTAAACTGACGCTGCTTGTGTGGTTCTGTCGTTTTTTTCTCTCTCCCTCTCTCCCTCTCTCTCTTTCTTTTCTTGTTCTGTCTTTAAATATCAGTAAATGTTTCTTCAAACATTTTCATCTTTCAGGAATCCAACCGTGTGTGTGTGTGTGTGTGTGTGTGTGTGTGTATAAATAATATATTGTAATAAATCTTAAACGGTTTAATCGTTTGCTTTCCTTGTACCTGAGCGCAGAGTTTTTTTCTTATTTTAATTAGAAATAGAATTTCTTCTAAGCTGATTGGTTACGTACATTGAATGTAAAATTGTAAATATTTTTGTATAGATTCAACTGGATTGAATAAAAGTAAGAGAAATGGATGGAACAAGAGCGGCCGAGGTTCTACCTTTACTTCAAGATCGTTTGGCTATACTTCCCGGTGGCCGAGATCGCAGAGGTGGACCCGTACTCGTTTTTCCAACTACTCCGAGACGCGAACGTACGAAACCCGAGGACTATCGTCGTCTTTTGCAATATCTCTTAACCGTACCTGGCGACGAAGCTAGGGGTTTGCGTTTCACCGTGATAGTGGATATGCGCGGTGCTACCTGGGATTCCGTCAAACCCATTCTAAAGGTTGTATTCTATTGTATTAACGATCGCGTTGATCGAGGCGTACCTTTCGCATTGAAGGATCGCTAACAATAAGATGTTTAAGGTGTTGCACGAGCATTTTCATCGATCTGTCCATGTGGCTTTCATTATAAAACCTGAAAACTTTTGGCAGAAACAACGAACGTCGTTAGCTAAGCAAAAGAAATATAATTTTGAGGTAAAAGAAGAAAAGGGTTGATTTGCGTTTAAGTTGGAGCAAAAGCTTGTCAAGTATTGTTTATAATTTCAGATAAATACCATCAGTTTGGAGGCTTTGACGAAAGTGATCGATCCGTCGCAGCTAACTGCGGATTTAGATGGATCTTTACAATACGATCATGCTCAATGGATCGATACGAGACTAGCTGTAGAAGATTTTACGTGGCAAGCGGGTGAGCTTCTAGACAGATTGGACGATTTGCAGGAGGATCTGAGTCGAAACGATTTTGCGGATGACGCATCCGGTGCGAAACACGGGATCGATTTACATAATGAAATGAAGAAGAAAATTATGAAAGTTCCGGTCGAAGAGATCCAAGTTATCGGTCAACGATTATTACAACGTTTCAACAATGGTAAAGAAAGGAGTTTCAGTTATTTCTATATCATTTATCATTTATATAATAACGAAAGGAATAGTCGTAAGAAATAAAAGAACGTTTATTGTCAGGTATTAGCGGTACTGGTAGCGAAGGAGGTAGCATAGAAAGTGGTGCTGCAGGTGGTACCGATCCGGATGGACGAGCGTTAGCAGCCTTGGTAATTCAGCACTTGGATTCTCTACACGCTGCTCAACAACATCTTTTGCAGTTGTGGCATATTAAGAAAATGAAATTGGATCAGTGTTTCCAACTGAGACTGTTCGAGCAGGATTGTGAAAAGATGTTCGATTGGATTTGTCACAATAGAGAAGGATTTTTGGCGAATTACGTCGAGATCGGTCGATCGTATCAGCTAGCAAAAAGTTTGCAAGAAGAACATAAACATTTCACGATGAGCTCGATGAACGTTTATGTAAATATAAATCAAATTTTGACGGCCAGCCGTTTACTTGAAACTCAGCACTACGCTGCTGGACACGTAAGAGCTGTGGCCAGTCGGCTGGATCGAGCTTGGAAAGAATTTGCCGCAGGACTCGACGAACGTACAGCGGTACTCGGTTTGAGCGTTGTATTTCATCATAAGGCGGAACAATACGTCGATAACGTTGCGGGATGGAGTCAAGCTTGTGATGTTGGAAATTTGCCTAATGAAATTCCAATCTTAGAATCGCATATACGACAGCACCAAAGTCTTTACGAAGCTATGTGTCAAGCTTATACGGAGGTAATGTTCATTTCTTTATTTTACGATATGTATGCGTATGCCATACGTGCTTCATCTTTCGTACCAGTTAAATGTACCATTGTTACGTTTCATGATAGAACGTAAGTTTGTTGCTTTAAATAGCTTTAAATAGCGTTGAATAGAGGATAAAGTGATATTTTTATTTCTTGTAACTGGTGAAACGTGGTGATTCGTGTCGTTGATCGATCTAATACGTACGAAAGGTAGATTTTTATAGTGAAATGTCACGATATTTGGCAGGTTTATGACGCGTATCAAGCACTTTTGAGTGGTCTAGGCTCGATGCTGCAAGTTTGTCACAGCTTCGGATCGACGCACGGTACAGACTCGGATACGTTTCGCATCGATGATTATGTATGAAAACGATTCTTTTCGTAGCTTCTAACTGATAAACATGCGCTTGGTATGCGGGGATCTGATAGAAAATAATGTTTTTTTCAATAAATAATAGGGGTTAGATGGTAAAGCTGTTAACTTTTCGAAGAAAAGAAACGTGATGGATGCATTGGGGGAATGCGTGTATAAAATTGGTTCGATATATTTCGATGTAGAAATTGTAAAATTGTTCAATTTTATGAGTTTCAACGAGATACGATATTCCTGGAAAATGTTAAATATGGTTTTGGGTAATCATTATTGTTTAGGTGCATAGTACCAGTAAGAAGCTTCTTTATCAACTGGATCACCTGGTGCAAGTCTGTAATCAACCGCAAGGGATAGACCATACAACCAGAAAACATGTACGTCTGTTAGTGTGCACGAATATACATGTACATGTCTGCAAACTAATCTTGATCGTTCGCTTTTTGCATTGTTTTTCTTCACGATCAATTTTGTGTCTGCGTATCTCTTGAATGTATTGTATTTTATTTAAAAACGTAACGCGTGCTTGTATTTTGGTTCGATCTGTTCAGCCTGATTCGACGGCGGAATACTTTGGCTTTTTCTTTATTATAAGTATTAATAATGACAATAATAATAATAATGACGATGATAACGATAACGATGCACGTGTAGCTAATCGAGTAGATGTTTAGATTGCTTTAAAGAGAAAGCGGAAAAAAAAAAAGAATTTGAAAATAATCAAGTGGATATATGGTAATGAATTTTTTCAGAGTCAAGATGGACACGGCGGAATCGATGGACATACCGGCATGAGCGGAAATCCAGCGGCGGATTATAGCGAGGGTGCGTCGCACGTGTTGGCAGTGATCCATCAAATTTTGGGTCATCACAGAGCGTTGGAAGCTCGTTGGCATGCCCGGAAAGTGAAATTACATCAACGACTTGCATTAAGGTAAATAAATATATTTTGCCGTATACATAAAATTTAATACGATTTTTATATATTATAATTATTTACAGATTGTTTCAAGAGGATGTGAAGCAAGTTTTAGATTGGTTAACCAACCACGGTGAAGTTTTCATTCGTAAGAATACGGGTGTAGGTCGTAATCTTCAAAAAGCACGAGTATATCAGAAAAGTCACGAACATTTTGAAAACGTTGCACAGGTAATTATCTTATCGTTAGTAGTGATGATGGTGGTGTGGTAGTATCGTTAGTTGATCAATTTATCGATCTTCTGCAGAATACTTATACGAACGCCACCAAACTACTTACCGCTGCTCAAGAGTTAGCTCACACTGGGGAATGCGCGGCCGACGAAATATATGCAGTTGCACAAGAATTGGAAGCTCACGTCAGTAGTTTTGCGGCAAGAGTCGAACAACGACGTCGAAGATTAGATTTGGCAGTTGTTTTTTATACGCATGAAAAAGAGGTAACTGAAAGGCGAAAGAGAAGAAATGAGAGGACGTAGAATTTGATGGGAAAACGTCGAGATTTATGTTTATGTTTGATAGTTGAGCGGTTGGGTAGACGAGTTACGACAAGAATTGCAACAGGATGAAGTTGCAGAAAATTTGGAAACAGCGGAAAGATTGTTGGAACAGTGCGCGCAACATCGAGCCTCCTGTTTGGAAGCTTGTGCGTCGACTATCGTTCAAGGCGAAGCGTTGCTGCGAGAACTGAGAGAATCTACCGATGCTCCCGATACCACTGGTTCTGTCAGTCACTTCTCTACTTGAATTTGTCAGATTTGTCATTTGTAAGATTGCGTAAACGAACGGAGCGATATTTTCAGATCGCAGCGGTAGAAGCTGCGCTCGATAGGTTAGCTGGTTTGAGGCAGGAGTTGGAAGAATTATGGGCTACCCGAAAACTGAGATTGGAACTCTGCTTACGGCTACGCGTATTCGAGAGGGACGCATTGGAAGCGAGCGGCCAGTTAGAAATGTGGGCTCAAGAATTGCAAGGTCCACCTAGAGAGGGTTCTCCCGAACAACTGCTACGTGTACATAACGATGGTGTTGCTCATATGCAAAACACTGCTTTCCAGGTTCTACAACAAGGTCAAGAACTCGCTCAGGTAAGAATGAGGAACTAATGAAAAATAGGTTAAACCAATAGGATCGATATTCTTATCATATACGTATTGTTCTGATGAAATTGACGCGTTCATCTTAACGCATACATGTTATCGCGTAGGTATTGGAACAAGCTGGTGTTTGCATAATGGCGGATGGACAGCACAGTGCTGCAGCTAGGGTGCAAGTACTTTTAGAGTTTTTAAACGAAAGGGAAATGGACGCCGAGGATTTGGCAGAGATGAGAAGAGTTCGATTAGAACAGGCTTCTCAATTGGTTCAGCTGCAGACCGATGCTACTCACGTAGCTAGTTGGATACGTAACGGAGAGGCGATGCTGTTGGCATCTCTGCGAGTTCCAGAAAATCTTCAAGACGCCGAACAACTTCGTTTGGAACACGAACAGTTTCAAGTCGCTATAGAAAAGACTCATACTTCAGCCGTTCAGGTAAATCAGTAACGAACGAGATATTACATACTAGCTTCTAGGTTAAAAAAGGTGATTATACATACCAGTGTAAATTGTTGGTAAACACAGGTGAAACACAGAGCGGACGCGTTGGTCAGCGCGAATCACTATGATCCGAAAAGTATAAGGGAAGTAGCCGAGGATGTAACGAAGAGATGGCAACAGCTAGTTACCTGCGCGGAGGAGAGGCATAAATTAGTAACTGCTAGTATTAATTTTTACAAGACGGCCGAACAAGTACGTTCCGTGCTGGATAGTCTCGAACGGGAGTACAAACGTGATGAGGATTGGTGCGCTTCTGGCGATAAAGCTGGACAAGTACCGACGCTCGTTGGCAAACATCAAGAACAGAAGGAAGCATTTTTAAAAGCGTGCACGTTGGTACGACGAACTGCGGAAACATTCCTCAAGTATACGAACCGCAGTCTTCAGTTTTACAGTTACCAGGCGAATAGCGCTGGTTCTGAGAACAAAGTTAAAAGTTAGTTACTCGTGTTGTTTTATTTCTACGTATAATGCATATACATATACATGTACATATCACATTTATCTCACTTATGTGATAAAAACTGATCGACTCGACTCGACTCGACTCGACTCGACTCGACGGTAAAACTTACTTTTTATACTTTTCTCTTTCTCCTGTCTTTTCCTCGTTTTTTCTTTTCTTCTCTTCTCTTCTCTTTATCGAGAATTCACGCGTTAGTAGTTTCGTTCGTAGAATACGGAAAATACACGGGGTGACTAACGTTCGTTTGAAAGAAATTTTCAGAATCGCACTGTCCATAATATCTGGATGCTTTGGGTTTCAGGTATTTTGGAAGAGTTGCTAAGTAAAGAAAATCGAGTACTCGAATATTGGACGCAACGTAAAAAGCGTTTGGATCAATGTCATCAGTACGTTCTATTCGAACGTAGCGCTAAGCAGGCTTTAGAGTGGATTCGAGAAACAGGCGAATTATATTTAGCCACGCACACTAACGTTGGCAAAAATCGGATCGAAAATGAGCAATTGTTGCGGGAACATAACGAATTCAAAGGCGCTGCAAAGGTAAGCCTTTTTTTCGTTTTGCTATCTTATAGGATACGTCTGCCGCACGGTCAATGACCGATGATCGATCATCCTCGATCGTGTTTCTCTTCAGGAAACGAGAGAAAGGGTAAAACTGTTGATTCAACTTGCCGACAATTTAGTGGAGAAAGGACACGCTCATGCAGCGGCGATTAAGCAGTCCGTTGCCGAGGTGGATCAGCGATACAAATGTTTTAGCTCGCGTATGGATTATTATAAAACTCAAATAGAGGATGATCTAGGAATTCAATCGGACGACGGACAGAAGGATCTGTCGATCGATCGAAATTCGGATCCGTTGCTCGAAGAGAAGATTAAAGGGAAAGATCTGAAGGAATTAAACGAGGAGAAGCGGAGATCGGCTCGACGTAAAGAGTATGTCTTTGTTTTTTTTTTTCCCCCTTTTTTTTCTTTTTTAAGGTATTCCATAAAGAAGAAGAGGCTTTTTCGTTACAGATTCATCATGGCTGAACTACTACAAACGGAACGAACTTACGTGAAAGATTTGGAGACGTGTATTCGCTGCTTTTTGGAAGAAACGCGATCCGGCAAAGGAAACATTCCGTCTGGATTGCAAGGTCGAGAATCGATCATTTTTAGTAACATGGAAGAGATCCATCAATTTCATAGTAACATATTTCTTCGCGAACTGGAAAAATACGAAACTATGCCAGAAGACGTTGGACATTGTTTCGTAACTTGGGTAAATATACTAATAGATGCCAAGCTTCCATAACGTTTGATTCGACCCAAATATTTCATTTTATAACCCATCAGGCACCGAAATTCGACATGTACGTAATGTACTGCAAGAACAAACCAGAAAGTAATCAGTTCTTGGTTACTCATGGTGGAACTTGGTTCGAAGAGTTGCAAAGAAAACATCGAGTCGAACATCCGATTGCTGCGTATCTAATTAAACCTGTTCAAAGAATTACGAAATATCAGTTATTGCTGAAAGACCTTCAGGTATGTAATCGAACGAAATGATTGTGTATCGGCCCTTTCGTATATCTGTTTCGTTTGTCTGTCTGTCTGACTGTTTGCCTGTCTGCCTGCCTGCCTGCCTGTCTTTCTGGTACTGTCTGCTGGAATAACATCGATAAATCTTTAAGCGACAGTTGTACGTGTATGTTTTATTTACCGTTCCGGTTTCATCGTTTTTTCTTTTTTTTCTCATATACGATTCAGGCTTGCTGCCAAGAGGGACAGGGCGAGATAAAGGATGGCTTAGAAGTAATGTTGAACGTGCCTAAGAAGGCGAACGATGCCTTACATTTGAGCATGCTGGAAGGTTGCGACGTGAGAATAGATACGTTAGGCGACGTAGTATTGCAGGACTCTTTTACAGTTTGGGATCCTAAGCAGTTGATTAGAAAAGGGAGAGATCGTCACATATTTCTATTCGAGTTTCATCTACTGTTTAGCAAAGAGGTTAAAGATTCAGCAGGAAAGGTAGGTAATCCGATCTTTATCCACGAACCGAAAGCAATAGCATGAAATAAAGTTGAACGCGGATATAAAAGTTGTTTCGTTCGTCACGATAGGTTAAGTATATTTATAAAAGTCGTCTGATGACTTCTGAATTGGGAGTGACCGAGCACATCGAAGGGGACGAGTGCAAATTCGCCGTTTGGACCGGTCGTGCACCTACCAGCGATACACGGGTCGTTCTACGCGCTAATTCGATGGACGCTAAACAATTGTGGGTGAAACGTTTACGCGAAGTTATTCAGGAAACGTACTTCAGTTTGAGCATGCCAAAAAGTCCTGCCAAGAAGAGTTCCAGTCAACGTTCCAGTAGGGATCTCGAGGAATGTGCTTCCCTGGACGACAGTGTTGAAAATTTAGATAGGAATTCTTTGGCATCGTTTGGATCGACCAATACCACAGACTCTGATAAGGTAAGCTAACTCAGGTAACGTTTATGACTCTCGTTAGCGGAAGTAGAGAGATTGCGGTTTACGTATCGTGTAATGAGCGTGGCATCTTTGGGTGGGGTTCGAGAATAATCGAAAAGCGAGAAAACGTTGAAACGAGCAAGCGCGTTGCGACTGCGGTAACGATGTCGGCAGTGATGGCGACGGCGCGTTCACGGGAGAGTTGACGAACAAATGAAAAAGAGTACGCGAGGGCGCATAGGATATGCAGCAGCAGCGGCGGTGGTGGCGGCGGTGGCGGCGGCGACGGGAGGGTATCAGGGGCGATAGGTAACGGGATCAGTACGAACGCGACACTTGGGTCGAATGGATCCGTTCGATGGACGAGTCTTTCCGACCTGTGGAGAAACGCGAATAACCGCATCGAAGAAAGCATGTCGGTCGTACGTTTGACCACATATTTCATCGCGTTTCTCGTTTCTTCCATCTGGTGGTTATCGCGTTCGCGCACGTGAATCGAAAAGCAGCAGATTAAACTGACATGACGTCACCGGCAGGAAAACCTGCAACGATCGTTCAGAAAGCCCGCAGGAAGATCTCGTTACCTTGGTTCCGTCAGAGTTCCGTAGCTCAGCCACACGCAGCCCTCTCTAGGCAGCATACCATCGACACCCCGAGCTCTTTTCAGGCTCGACGCTTGCACCGTCAACCCTCCCTTTCCCAGGTACTCGTATTCGTGCCCAAGCTCGTTCCACTTTTTTCCGTAATTCATCAATTCTCGTCGCGGGGTTAGAACAACTGATCGTAAGGGAGAAGAATTTAGTGTAGCAGCCACTTTTTATCCTCGTTGTTGTTGAGTTTACGGGTTGGGTTGCCATTACGTTTACTGAAAGAAATTTGATTTTAGGAATTCGTATAAACTTAAAAAGTTTCTGCGTTCAAAGTAAAATTAGACGACGTAGAAGGAAACGTCCGCGGTCGGTAGGTAGAGTTGGTGGTGCGCGTCCGCACGCATACACATTTATGTCTGCACACGGTAACCACATCCGTAATAATCGTTTCTCTTCCTCCTCCTCCTCCTTGTCTTTCCTGTTTATTTTTCGCGTAAAGAAGTAACACGCTCTCATACATTTTTCACTTTTTTAATACTTTTTTCCCTTCCCCCTTTCTCCTCATCCCTCCTTCCTTTTTTAATAACTCGATTCTGAGTGTTTCGACAGATGCACGCTAAAGTGCACCCTTCTAGTTTTCCGTACGTTTATTGAAAATAGTGATCTGCTATAAAAGCAAATCGAAAGGAATCGCGATTTCAGGCCAAGTTGAGATTGGCTTGTTGCCGAGTTTGTCCGGTACGTTCGAATCTATGGTTAGATTCGGATATAAACGCGCGAGCGTGCGCGGAAACGACGCAGGACGCAAGACGCTGCGTGTGTACGTACCGGTGAAACGTTTGCGTGCTTGAAAACACACTACTTATTGCATAACTTTGCATCCATGGTGTCAAAGAAGTCTCGAATCTCGCCTACATACTCGCTCGATCGAATTGGTGCGTCGCGTTTCGTTTCGTTTCGTTCCGTTCCGTTCCGTTCCGTTCCGTTCCGTTCTCTTCCGATCCGATGCGGCGGCGCGGTGTAACATGATTTTTTTCTTCCAACAATGATTTTCACTCTCTTACAGGGTATGTAGAAACCATCGAGACGATTCAAAGAGAATCGGTAAATTTTGGCACGTGAAAAAAGGCTATTTTCGTCGGTGGAATGCGACGCAAGAGCGGTCGGCTTCTCTGCTCTGGCTTAAATCTAGAACCGTAATCGTGCTCTGTTCATAGTCGAAATTCCTATCTTATACGGGTCATTAATAAACCCTTTGCTTCTTCATATATCGCGTTTACCTCGTTATCAGCTTTATCTTTGTATCGATCCAATTGACCCTTTCAAAATCCTAGCGTAACCTCCTGCTGCCTTTTTATCGTGTACTTGTCTTTTTCCATTCTCGATTAAAATGAACTGGAAAGGAAAGTTTTAATCGAATTTTACCAATAGTATAATATTCGCATCGAGTGTGTTATCTATCTTTCGACGTTTTCGAGATTTAAGTGAATCATGGTAAGCAATGAGAACGATAAAGGTAAATATTCGAGCACGATAAGAGGCGAAAGGAGGAGAAACGTACGAAGAAGAGCGCCCAAGTTCGCAACGTTTGCTATTATATACTATATTTTCGGAAGAAAGAAACAGGTGTCAATGTGTGCCTTTGTTGAAGGCAGGCTATTTCGATAAAATTGAAATCACTGGAGCTAGAATAATCTATTAAACGCTCCAGCGGTCCGAAAAGTCAAAGACAATCGACCTGCTCTATTCCGTCGATCTACCTACCCTCCGATTCTCTGCTCTCGCTTCTTACTTACATCTGACCGCAAATCATTTGCACTTTGACGATCGTTGTGAAATACAAATTACCGATCTGAATGGTAACCTAGCAATAGATAACGGTTACGATAACGATCGCACGGGATGCAGTAAAACTCGTCAATTGTTTCAGACTGGCGTAGCCGAAGTGACTTGGGTTATCGCGGATCACTTGGCGGCACCAGGTTCCAGAGAGTTGACGGTAACAAAGGGTCAGCAGGTCGAAGTATTGGAAAATGGAAGTAACATAAGCGGCGTAAACACAGCCGAATGGACCCATGTGCGTCTACTCGTTGCACCCGGACAAGTTGATCCCCCACCAGAGGGATTGGTACCTACTAGTGCGCTTAAACAACCACCGCCTGTTTCCAATAAGACTTCGCCATCTAGAAAAGCTCCGGCCCAACAACAGCAACAGCAACAGCAACAACAACAACAACAACAACAACAACAACAGCTATCTAGTAATCAGATTCAAAGTACCTCGCCGAGCGGAATCGTAACGGCCGTGGTATCCTCGGCCACGATAGGAACCGGAGGCTCGTCTTCGTGCTCATCCTCTTCGTCTTCGTCGGTGATCACCGGCGTACCGTCCACCGGATATACAGTTCACAATGTTCAGAATGTAGTTGCACCTCTACTGCCGGACGAAGCAGGTTGGTAGTTTTTATTTCCTTTTCAAAATGAAACTGTTGACACGTAACGAAAAGCAAGTAAAAATGAGAGGTGCGTGGTTTTTGTACAACGCTTAAAAGGGAGGCTAACCTTTTTTGACGGTGGTAGCCTATTGTACGCGTACTCCGACGCTGTCGGATCGGATCGATACGATGTACCGGGATAATCGTGTCCTTGACCGGTTGCATCTCCAGGTGATGCGCCGATAGAACACGGTTGACGCATCGAGCGTGCCAAAGTCGCTTTACGACTCGCGATGGTCGTTAACCTTTCTTCGAAGATGCTAATTGTTTGCTTTCATTACACCTCTAAATTACCTTTTCAATTTTTATCTCCATTTCACGCGTTTTCGTTCGACCGAATCCTCATTTTTATATTTTTTACTTCGCTCGTTATTGTGTGCGTGTGTGAGGTTGTAATTAATTTCGTATTTAAACGTATGAATTCATAATCGTTCGATTATTTACTTACAGAAAATGTTATCGCGAGTGATGGAAGCACCGGTACGAATACAAGCTCTCCAGGAAACAAGAGGCGCGGCTTCAGTGGGTAAGTGAACGGATATGGAAAGACAAAATTGAAAATTTCTTTTCAACAAGATTTCAACGGTATATAGAAAGAAAAATTGCTTTCGTTTATAGGAGAAAGTGGCTACCCCCGCCGTTACGCAAACTTAGCCAAGGTAAAGTTGAGAAATCGAGTGGTACTACGATTACAGCAACGCCGGGATCGGCTGGCATTTCTATTCCCGCAACGGTCACCACTGCAACCACTACCACGATCGCAACACCGACACCGCCATCGCCGCCGCCGCCGCCACCGTTGACGTCGACGGCTACCGATCGTTCCTCTTTGAAGAAAAACGTTTCCGAAAAGCGATTTAAATTGCCGAGTGGAGCTGATCAAACTCGAGCATCCAGAGCCTCCTCTGTCTCTATATCGACCTTAACGTCTGCAGCTGCGTCTATGCGAGTATCCGGTTCGGTAACAGACGTGGATCTCGACACCACCGAACTTGTGCGAACGACGATCGAAGCGGAAACAGAAGAGGAAGAAGGAGAGATCGAACGATCGGAAGCCGAGTTGGAAGAAGATACGACGGAGCCCGATGACGCGGAGACGTTGACTTACTCGGAACAAAATGGAGCAGACGATGCCGAAGACGAATTGGAACTTCCACCGCCGATGAAGCCCATTACCGAACCGATACTCGTAGGGACTTCTAACGGATCCTCCAACTCTACGATTTCAACGGAAACTGGCGGAAAATCTCGAGTAAGCATCGCATCGCATCTTCTCCTTTCTTTTATTTTATTTTATTTTCTTCACCTCGGCTATTAAGTCGGCTTTCTTTTTCTTTCCGCAGACGTCCGAGCGGTCGACGAAAATTCTTGACGGTGCTACGACAGCCGACTTGGCTGAAATCGAGCAGATCGTAAAGGAGAGAATGGTAAGTTTTATATTTAAAATACATTCAGATATGACTGATGCATCGATCTTGATGATAGGAACAACACACGGAAAATCTAGAGAGACAGAGCCTTATGAGAACGCCTAGTGGTAAAAGTTCGTCGAACGTCGGGAGCGGCGGTGAAGATACTCGCGAGGAAGAAGACTCTTTACCAACAACGATGAGTATCGCTAGCATTACGAGTCCAAGCTCAATCGCGACAACGAGCAGTCCGGCGCATACGAATCCAGACGAACACGATCCGGAAAGTACGGCTCTTGCGAAACGACAGTTTGTTATTCGAGAGTTGGTGGAGACGGAAAAGGATTACGTAAATGATTTGAAACAAATAGTCGAAGGGTATATGGCGTTTATGCGAGATCCTGAATGTGAGATTTCGTTACCTGATGATTTGCGCGGTGGAAAAGACAAGATGGTATTTGGTAATATAGAGGCGATCTACGAATGGCACAGAGAGTAAGTTTTCTTTCAAATCTTTCTCACTATCGTCGTACGGATTATTCGATCCAGCTAACTTTTTTTTTCCACCTTACTAATTACTTGCCTGCAGTTTCTTTCTGAAAGCTTTGGACCGTTGTTTGGAACGTCCCGAAGAACTTGGCCCATTGTTCAAACGGTACGAAAGAAAATTGCACATGTATGTGGTGTATTGTCAGAATAAACCAGTCTCCGAGTACATCGTCTCCGAGTATATTGACACTTATTTCGAGGTAAGCAAATCAACATTTTTATACGTTATACGTTATACGTTATACGTTATACGTTGTTGCCAACACTTTCTATACGTACATCTGCTATAGGAGCTGAGACAAAAGCTCGGACACCGATTGCAATTGTGCGATCTTTTGATAAAACCAGTTCAGAGGATCACGAAATACCAGCTTCTTCTTCGAGAGGCATTGAGACTTACCGAACGAACTCAAAGAGTTGCCGAAATTGAAGGTCTTAGAGCTGCGGTTCATGTGATGCGTGTCATTCCAAAAGCGGCCAATGACATGATGGATGTTGGCAGGCTCCAAGGCTTCGACGTGAGTATCCATCCATTTTCATTTTCAGAATCCCTTTCTCTTTCTTTTGCTCCCAGTTGCTCTCTCTTGCACTCGTCGTAGTTCATTTTTTCATTCTCTCTTGTTGCACTGTTTAGGGAAAGATAACAGCGCAAGGGAAGTTGTTGTTACACGGACCTCTTTTAGTAACAGAGTTATCCAATTTACCGAGCAAAGGAAGAGAGTGGCAAGTCTTCCTTTTCGAGCAAAATATTATTTTCAGCGAAGCTGTTGGCAAGAAAACGCAATTTACAAATCCCGCCTATATTTACAAGGCTCATATTCAGGTAAAAAGCAACAATCATTTGTTTTCGCTTTTTTTCCAATTATTTTTCTTTCTTTCTTTCTTTCTTTCTTTCTTTCTTTCTTTCTTTCTTTCTTTCTTTCCTTTTTCTTTCTTTCTTTCCGAGTTTCCATCGAATCGGAAGGAAAGAAATAACCGTTTCATACGATTTGTCGATGCCCCAACTATTCAGTAGGTGAGCGCGGGAGTGGATAAAAGATTTATTAGAAATACAATTAGTAATTGACGAAAAATGTTTTGATAAAGCTAAGTAAGAGAAAGGAATAAATTAGGAGGCTGAGGAGAGTGTTAATGTACCTTTCGGTGGTCGCGTAGGTGAATAAGATGAGCCTGGAAGAATGTTACGAGGACCCAGAAAAGTTTGTGATTCGATCGACGGATCCTCGGAAGCCTAGCCTTGGATTTTCTTGTATCGCAATCGAAGAGAACGGGCCGCGAAAGCAGGACTGGGTGGACACGATCACTGCCATCCTGCAAACTCAACGCGACTTTCTCAAAGCGATACAGTCGCCTATTGCCTACCAAAAGGAACTTACCAAAGATCCATTGTAAGCGTCATTCTATTTAAAACATTGAATTACACATTGACTCTCTTTCAACGCTCGACATGTGAAGATTCGTTTCAACATATTTTTGTATATTTCATATATTATATATATATATATATATATATATATCGTATATATGTACATATATATATATATATATATAAAAGAAAAAGAAGGAGGAGAAAAAGAAGAAGAGTAAAGAAGAAAGATACAGAAGTGCTGTATACAAAAACGCTAGAGAACTATAGTCGTCTCCTATGGTAAAAAAAATCCGGTTTTATCTCCACTTTCCTTTCGTTCTATTCCTCTACTTTACCTCACGGTGTATTCTTTGATCACACTCTACACGCACAGTACTCTTACCGTATTGCGACGTGCTTCCTCTTGTTTGCCTTAACATCGCAGTCCGGGAATCTACCTCGCTATCGCTGCTGAGTGGCTTTATCGCGAGAGCGTCTTCTACTATATTCTATATATACATACATACATACATACATACATAGCTACCTACCTCCTTCGGAGTAGTTCTTAACGTTTCTAGAATCGTGTTTACCACGGTTCTTTGGAACTCGATGCTATGCAATGCAATGCAATGCACTACACTACACTACACTGATACGATACGATACGGTACATTACGGTAAAACGCAGGGCAATAATAAAGCGTTGCGTTGCATTGCGTTGCAATGTGGTGCGATGCGATGCGATGCGATGCGATCCGTTTCGATCCGATCAGATGCGTTTTGGTGGGATGCGACATCAATCGAACAGACTGTTCTTTTTCGGCTATGTATTGAGCACGTGTGTACAGGTGGGGGTAGGTATAACAAGATGTATTCACTCACACTGATCGAATCCTCGTCACTACTCCCTTGCAACCTGTTTGGAAGTAAACGAAAAGGCGAATGAGCGTACTTCTTGCATGTTTCTGTTTATGTGAATAATGTATTTGTTGGACGCGTGTTTGCATGTACTCTATGCGTGTGAACGCATCAGAGGAAGGGGGTGGGGGCGAGAGAACAAAAAAGGAAGAAAAAGAGAAAATTTTAAAGGAAACATACATAAAGTAAAGTTATGGCTGAACCAACGATTGCAAGGTCGCGTATAACGAGCGCAGCGGTAATGAAATTTCATTAACGTTACGGGATTCATTGCCTTCGATTGTTTCTTTGGTCTTGCTTTGTCGTACGAACACGCATAACATGATATGAAATTGACAGTACATAAAAAAGAGAAAGACAAAGAGAAAAAGAAAAAGAAAAAGAAAAAGGAAAAAGGAAACAGGAAAAAAAAGGCGTGTTCAAAGCCCGAATATGCATGGTACAAGTGAGAAGACGTAAAATGTAAAATATCAATAAAGCGTCGACGCGTATCCAACGTGTTGGCTCACCCCCACCTAAAATTATTTATTAACGACGTAACGACGTAACGCCGCAGGTGTATAATAATTTGAATAATGTTCGTAAGAACGTGAAATTGAATGAGAATTGGGGTAGAGTATGCTGTACATAAATGTGTATTCACGAAAGACGACGACCCAAAGTGAATCTAATCACTCGCGAACCGTAAACATTTTGTTTAGAATAAATTGTACATTGGTCAACATTCTAATTGTGATGCGTCCTTTCCTTCGCCTCTTTAACACTACTTACTTTTTAGTTCACTAACAGCTTGTTTGTCCTTTTAAGAACAAGGTACTGCATTAATCATTTACGCTTCGAACGTGTTCTTTACAACCCAGTTGTTTTTAACCTTGGAACGATTAACAAACGAACGATTATCGTTTAAAATAGGAAGAAGAGAAGAGAAGAGAAGAAAATAAAATAAAATGTTGAGTACATTGATAAATTCGATGTGCGAGCGTTGATTTAAAATAACTTGAAGTAATATGTAGTAAAATACCAAAGAGAACGCGACATTTTCGCGGCAAACAGTGCCGTGTTTGAATTTCATTTATGATTTGCTGGCGTATACAGTCGTGGCGTGAGTCCGGAATCACCGTGTCGAGGAGGTGTACTTTCAACGATACCACCGAACCTGTCCAACACAAGCGAGGAGGAAAGAAACGAAATGACAGCTATCCGTGCCGCTGGTAAAGCATTTGCTGCGACAACCACATCGATAACAACGATATCGCAACAGTCTCGCACTGGTGCACGATCGGATCAGGATTCTTTGCAAACGCCAAGCCCTAGCAAAAGCAGATTGAACTTTCTCGAGGGATTCAAAAGCAGCCTTCGGCCTCGATCACCTGTGCGCAACAATTCTATCCCGGTGAGCAATAATGCCGAAATTATTCATATATTCTTTTTTTCTTTTAATTCTATGCGCCTTATTCTATTTGACTGTTCGTAATTAAACCTATTTGCAATTGCAGCCTCCTCCTTCTCTTCTTGATACCTCTAGCTAGTCGCTCTTTATCGTGTTCACTTTTCTCTTGTTGAAACGACAAGTTACAGGCTATCGAAATGCTTTCAAACTATTCGAATGTGCAAATGTTGGTTTTTCGTCGTCGTCGTCGTCGTCGTCGTCGTCGTTATGGTCGTCATCGTCGTCATCGTCGTCGTCGTCGTCGTCGTTGTTATTTCCATATCCCTATTTTTATTTCTTTTTCTTAAGGTAATTTCGAGCTAACTTATCGAGCTTGTTGACACTGTCATCACTACTCGAGTGATAATCGCTTTCTTCTTTTTTATTTACTCTCTTCGTGTTGTATTAAAAATTGAATCGCTAGTGTTGTTATTGGCTCTACTGGTTGGATCGCAAAGAAGAAAGGATAAGTTGGAATGGTGTAGCGAATGAGAAAGAATATAAAATAAATGAGAAAAGAAAGAGAAAGAGAAAGAGAAATGGTTCGAAATGGTATTTGGTGCAAAGAGTCCGGTGCATGATGGTGGTGACGAGGGTGAGAAAAGAAAGAGAGAGAAGAAGCATTTTGAAGGTTAATCGGGAGATTGCGTAGATCGTTCCAGGTAGCAGAGTAAGATTAACCGCGGATTGGGGCAAGTTACGAGCCGGAGAAGAAGTGGAGATCTGTCGGCCGGACGGTCCGGGAGTGATCGTGTCTCGAATAGTTGGCAAGATGGAGGAATTCTGGATTCCGGCCAGTCTCGTTCCAAATTCGTCGATCAGCCGCGCATGGTCTTTTCGACCGCGAAGAATTGATTCCGAGGGAGAGAGCGTCCATCTTCCGCAGGATGTACACGCGGAAGAGAACGGTCCTCCCACGATCTTGACTATTCCGTGTTCGATCAGGGCGACGGCCGGCGGAGTGGCTCGACTCGTGCTGGAGGCACGACGCGTCGAACGTGCAACCGTCCGGTGGAGGAAGGAGGGACAACGATCTAATATCGAGCCAACCGATCGATATCGACTTTTCCGAACGTCCGATTCTCTTTGTCTCGAAATTGCACCTTGCCTGCCATCCGACTCCGGGATTTACCACTGTCGCGTCGAACACGAAACGGGCTCTTGTTCGGCGAAAATTCCACTTCGCATCGTAGGTATGTCCCTCTTTCTTATTTCTCTACATATATCATCTCGCATACATCAGACCGTCAACTTTCCAGGTATCAATACGAACGCTTGGTGCGATACGATCGAAGGTAATCGATCGGACGAATCAAGCAGTAACAACAACTCATCTTCGACGATCGTTGCGCGTTCCAATTTCACAAGCAATGCGACGAAAGATCGAAAGATGGAAAGTGAACGTTTTACCGACAGATACATAGAACTGGAGGAATTAGGAAACGGAAGATTCGCTAAAGTATGCCGTGCAAGGGAGAAGGGATCCGTCCGAGAAGTGGCCCTGAAACAAATATCCAGAGTAAGGCAACGGGTCTCGCTGACACGTGCCGAGTACGATTTTCTTCGAGCAACTCGTCACGATAATATCGTGAAAGCGTTGGCTCTCTTCGAGGATCTACCCCAACCGGGTGTCGACACCATAGTTTTGGAACTGTCAGTATACACTTAGACTTTCTTTATTTTCCTCCCTTGATACCAGATTCCTTACGCATCCGTTTACGTAGGGTAAACGGTCCAACATTGTTCGGCCATCTCGGTGAAAAGAACGAGTACACGGAAGCGATCGTTGCCAAGTATACCGGGCAATTACTATCGGCGTTGCAGTGGTTGCATGCGCGTAAACAAGCTCATTTGGATCTGAAGCCAGAAAATGTTTTGATCGACAACGAAACCGATACCGTCAAGTTGATTGATCTCGGTGAAGCTGTTAGAGCAGCACCGCTCGACGAGGTCCGTCCACCGGCCGATTTGGAATTTGCCGCTCCGGAATCGGTTCTCGGTAAACCGACAGGCTCTTATACGGACATGTGGGCTGCCGGAGTTTTCATTTACGTGCTTCTCAGGTTAAACGACGCAATTATACCACGCAAACGATACCTCTACTTCTTCTTATGTCTACTAAACGAATCTCTTTCCTCTTTTCCAGTGGACTTTCACCCTTCTTGGACGATTCCATTGAAGAAACTACCGCTAATATATTGAAGTGTGACTTTTGTTTTCCCGACGAATACTTTCAAGAAATATCAGAGCAAGTTAAGCGTCTGCTCGACAAACTACTCCGTTTACGCGGAGAAGACAGAACGACCGCTGAAATTTCCTTATCGTCAGCATGGTTTCAGGTTAGCGCACCACAACCAAACGCGATAAAGTAAACTTGTTGGACTTTTGATTTTTCAAAAAATCTACACGTTTCAGGTACCGATCGGTGCTACGATCCCTTCTTCTCGAATGGCTGCCTTTATCGATCGTCGAGCGCATCGATCAAAATCTCGTCAGGAACGAAACAGTAGTTTTTATTCTTAAACCTGTATCTCGTTCACATATTATTATGTATATGTCTATATCTATCTCTATCTCTATCTATGTATATATTCATTAACGAATCATTTTTTGTAAAAGCTTTTTTTCTGCGATCGAATTGAGGAAATTGAGGAAATTGAGGAAATTGAGTAAATAAAAAGCAACGAGCTTACTCGCGCTTGTCCATAATATTATTCTCGAATAAAGAATGAATCAACGTGAAAATTCAGTCGATCCAGGCCAGGTTTCTCATCGAACGAACCTTTCTATCAATTAGGAACGCGCAGCAACCACCTGTTTTCGAGACTGCGTTACGTAAATAGCTATTTACTTTCTACGCTCTGATGTTTACATTTTATTTTCAGCTAACATAAGACACGGCGAATACGACGAAATAAAGGAGAAACCAGGATTTAGTTGTTCCATTCTTCTTTCATATATGTAGTAAGAAAATCCATCGATCCGAGGAGAAAATAGAGAGAGAGAGGCGGATTAACCGCGATATTTTACAATAAATTGTCCTATTATTATGTTACTTCTCTTATTTCCCCTGCTCGATACATGTAAAAAGTCATTGTTGAATCCAAGTAAATCATCTTTCTGATGCGTCCACACTTGAAATTTATTTTATCGCGGCGATATTCTTAATCGTTTGCAATGATCGAGCACGTGTTGTTCGTACTCTTCCGACGAACGGAAAGATTTATTATCGCAAAGAAGACAGCTCGCATCTTTTCTATTCACCGAGTGACGACGCATACGATGAATACTCAGTTCCAGCGTATTCTGCATTTGTTCGTTACAATCTGGACATGCGACTGATTCTCCCTCGCCTTGCAAATCTTCCGACACGTTACCTTTCAATCTATCGATCGATGATGCCGTTTCCGGATTGAGATCGGGAACGGGAACGGGAACGGGATCGGGATCAGGATTAACATTTTTTTCGTCCGACGCTGAATCGATTATGGTAGCCGCTGAGCTTTTCTCTTCTTCTCCTTCTCCTTCTCCTTCATTTATCCCAACAGACTTTGGAGATGAAATCGTCTCGCTATCGACTTCTTTTGAATGTTCTGTTATCGTTTCAAGCGTTGATACGACTTCGCGATGACTTTTTACGTGTTCAGACAGATCCTCTTTACTAGTAAATGTCGTTACGCCGCACAAATCGCAAGAATGTCGCGTCGTTATGTGCTCTTTCAATACGCGTTTCTCAGGAAATTCTTCTTGACAATGTTCGCAGCGATACCTTCGTTCTACGTGGATCAAACTACGATGCTTTGCGAGTAGCGGTTCACTTTCGTAACAGGCTAAACAGTCTACGCACATGTGTTCGGATAATTCCGAGTGATCGGTTAACAAATGTGTCTGTAACTGTCGTCTAAATTTCAATTCTTTCTCGCAAAATTCGCAACGTATACGTCCTACTACTACTTCCTTTTCCTCGGTTATTATCGGCTTTATTTTATCCCCTACAAATACCTCTGTTACTTCTTCCCTTTCTACTTTGATCTTTCTTTGCTCCTCTATCGGTACTTGTTCGGACCATTCCGTTTTCACTTTTAAAGTCGTTTCGGCTTCGCTCGACTCCACTTTTGTTTCGATTTTCGTCTCCACTTTTTCTTCCATCTTCTCGTCGAGCCTCGTTTTTTTTTCTAATTTCTTCGATTTATCTTGCTCCGAGGTTCGATACCTTTGATGGTTCATCACTTTTAGAACGTCGGACCAGTCGAGTTCCTCGTCGCTACGGCACGTGTCCGTGAGTAACGAAAACACCGTGTCACCCTGTCTTTCGTCTTCGTGCAACTCGATTTCATACTCGTTTTTTCGATTTTTTTCTTCTTCTTCTTCTTCTTGTTGAACCGTCCTTACGATCGCGTTGTTACCTCTACTACTCATCGGACTCGAAATTGGACTTTGAATCGACATTGCTACCTGGCCAGATCTCTGCCTTCCTCTTCCTCTTCCACCCAATCCTCGGCTACGAGGTCTCCCTCGACCTCGCCTGAAAATACCGCGAGTAATTCTTGGAGCACGATCTTGTTGCTCTACCTCTTTCTCCTTTTCCTTCTCCTCCTTCTCCCTTTGTTCCCTTCTCATGTGTTCGCTAAGCGAATAAAGAGGCTTCTTGGGCATACTGTTTGACCGTGAATTCGGAAATACATGCCGCAATGTATTGTCTGCGACATAAATCTGTTGAAAAAACTTGAAAGACTGTTCCAACTTGTCAACGCACTCATCGCACATCTTTGTTGGTAAAGCGTCTTCGTCGTCAATTTCTATTAAAAGTTTCAGTTTCGATAGAAGGCTCATATCCGTGCCTTTTCCCTTGCTCGTCATACTTACAAGATTTTGTTTCTTTGTAGCGCAAGTTCTGCACCACTGATCCACGTCGAATTCAGAAGGAGCATTCTTCTCAGCGGCAGCTTGATTTATCGATACTTCCTCCATAGAACTTTCCTGACCGTTTACTTGAACTTTCTGAAATTTCACGGAAATCTAATTGTAAATACATATTTATATTTACATATCATGTAACATAACCGCAAACTGTTGGTTCATTTTATTTTCATCTCCGTGATATCGATACAAGCCAAGCCGTATGTATATACATAGTTACTTACATGCGTGTGTGTACATTATATTATATTATATTATATTAGATTAGATAAGATTCAACTTTTACATATAACCAATAAATATAACCAAAAAAGAAAGGGATAAATAAAGGAGAAATACTTACTCGTCGTGTTTTCAAGCTTTTTAATGTTCTCGAAACAGCGCTCCAATGTGGAAAGGGGACTGCATTTTCTTTCAGTGTACCTTTGCTAAGATAACAGTCCTCCGTGAAGTGATTGTTACAGACGAAAAATTTCATAGATCGTAAAGCATCGAGATCTCTTCCAATTAGATCCACGTGACCACTGTTGATCAACCATCTCACACAAAGGCCAGTATCACAAACGGGAAGTTCGTGAAGTATTTGCTCCTTTTCCCGGGTGTCGACACAATCGATGTATCTGCATTTAGTTACTTCCTCCATGACACGTAATTTTACTGAATTTTCAATTAGCTGGTAGAAAATCGTGGAAATACTTTATCCGTCGATCGAGTCTATTTTCGTCGGAAAAAAACAGCGAAATTCTACGTATTTCAGATAGGTTAGGCATCCATGTAATTAAAGGCGCGAAAAGCAAAGCTATCCTTCCCTATTACCTACATACCTGCCATCTCGCGTCTTTTCCGTATCACTAAAGATACCATCAACCAGAGAAGCTTCGTCTCTATTTATATTTTACTGATACGTGTACGTCGATATACACGTGCTTTTTTTCTCTCTCTCTCTTTGTGTATCCTGATTGATTCTGATTGCGTGTTCGTCGATTCGTGATATGCGTATATGCAGATGCAGATGCACATGCACATGAAAAGAGTTTGTACTTTGGAGGCATGCAGCTACGCGCACGTATATGTATATTATGTGGAAAAATTACGGATAAAATTATTACTACTACTTATGTTAGATCGAAATTGAAGGAAAAACTAATGAACGTAACACAAATAACCCGGTTAGGCGAAATATACTAGTGCTTGACGCAAGTTGAGCGCTGTCATCGGTGGTCATCAGCTGCCTTCGGCTGCCGTTCAGCAACGGTTTTACGGAACAAGTCGCGCGAAACGACGCGAAACGACGCGAAACGACGCGAAACCAAATTATTTTATTTGATTCCTTGTTATTCCACGAATCTGCATAAAATGCTATCGATCGGTCTAACTTTATAAGTATTTTTTTATAGAAACTCTCTGCGTCTCTCGAGACAACAAGTTTGAAAAATTCGAAAGGAATTTATTCGAGATTTCCAGTGCACGATCGCACTAATTGAAATTATAGATTGATCCGTCAATTAAAGGAGAAAATGTCCGAGAACATTGAAGAAATTATTGAAGAAGAAAGTTCGGTTACGATGTTGGATGTACTTCGGGAGGAGAATCAGTTGGAGGAAGACGCTTGTGCAGTTTTAGGAGCGTCCGATGACAAGAATTGCACTTACAGCAAGGTTCCCTTTTAAACGGTAATTCTTTTAAACGCTCGATCGTAACTGAATTATCTGACCTTTTTAGGGATATACTCGGCAAGCTTTGTACGCCTGTAAAAGTTGTTGTCCAAAATCAGTGAGAGCAGCAGTTTGCCTTGCTTGTACTTTTCACTGCCACGAAGGTCATGAACTTATCGAGCTCTATACCAAAAGGCATTTTAGATGCGACTGTGGCAACTCAAAGTTTGCTGAAAACAAGTGTAATTTGGATCCTGTATGTCTTTCTTGCTTCGTACCTTACTTTAAGCTTTTCAGCCTATCGGTATAAGTTGTTTCATCTTTTCTTTCAAAGTCAAAGGATCCTGTTAATTCTGAGAACAGATACAATCACAACTTTGACGGGCTCTATTGTATTTGTAAGAGACCGTATCCAGATCCAGAGGACACGGTCAACGATGAAATGTTGCAGTGCATAATTTGCGAAGACTGGTATCATTCTAAGGTAACGCTTGGTAGTAACCCTGTAAACTGTTTTTCCTTGACTCTGATTAATTTTGCCAGCATCTAGAGTGTGAGAAAGGAATACCAGCAGACGACGCGTACGACGAGATGATTTGCGGTAAATGTATGAAAGAGAATAATTTCCTTTGGAATTATGCGAGCAAATATGCAGGTAATATTGCAACTCGATAGTTGTGTCGTCGTTGTTCGCAACAGCGACCTAATGTATTATCGTTTTGCAGTATTTGAAACAACAGAGAAAGAGAAAGAGAAAGAGAAAGAGAAGAAAGAAGAAGCGATTGAAATCGAAAAGCAGCCCGAAGGATGTACGATGCCACGGAAGAATTTTTCGAAAGAACCGTTAACAAAGGGAACTTGTTTTTGGACAGAAGGCTGGAGAAGTGTTTTGTGCGTTTGCGACACGTGCAAAGAGGTAGATTTTTAGGGTACTCATTTTACGATACTTTTCGTCGATCCCTACCTCGAACGAGTTTTTACACTTGCAGCTTTATCGGCAGAAAAACGTTACGTTTCTTCTCGATCCAACGGATAGCGTGCACGCTTACGAGGAGGCTGGTAAAATTAACAATCAAGAATCACAGTACGAGAAGGGTATGAAAGCTCTCGCCTCTTTAGGTCGCGTTGAACAATTAACGGCGATCGAAGGTAAATGGTTAAAATGCCGATTCGTTTATTCGACCGATCGATTGAATGCCACTTATTCTATATTTTAATCCCTTTTTTAACAGAATACAATAATATGAAAGAACGATTGAAACAATACTTGCAAAAATTTGCTGAAAACAAGAAAGTTGTACGAGAGGAAGATATAAAGGAATTCTTTTCAGAAATGGAATCAAAGAAACGGCCAAAAGTTGTGGTACCTACGTATTGTCGTTAAGATCCGATATATTTAAATGAACAGACCACGACGATCTATTTCTATATTCTTATTTAAATCTTTAGATATTGTTTTGTTCTTTAACAGTGTAACGTCTAACATCATTTTCTTATTTCCTTTTTCAATAATTACCAAACTATTTGTGATAAATGAAAGAAAGAAAGATAAGCCGAAAGTGTAGGAAGAAAAGAAAAGAAAAGAAAAGAAAAGAAAAGAAAAAAAGAGAAAAATAAAAGTAAAAAAGAAAAAAAAGAAGAAGAAGAGGAGACATTTTGTTATTATTTCCATAGATTTTCGAATTCGTTCCTTTTTAAGTAAAAATAAGTGATAATATGAAAGGAAATTCACTAGTGGGGCAAACATTAGTTTTGATTTTGATGCTAAAGTTTACACAGCAGCAATTGTCGGTTCGTCGCATAGCTGCAAAGGTATCACTAAAACCGGTTCCGTACAGTTTGGTTTATCCGTGTAAATGGACCAAGTTCTTTCGATACAATCAAAGATACCTAATGATTGATAGGAATTGGTCAATGTTTAATTGTAAAGACTGTAATAATTTCGTCTAGAATAAAGATGACGAAGAAGGAAGAAGCGAGATACATACCGGTAGCAATAGTTTTTACGTAATCATCTTTTTTAATTTCCTGATAGACTCTATATTCGTTGTCCGTTTGATCGCTTAGAATATTTATAACATCTTGACGAGATTTAGGAGGAGGATGCTTGCAAATCGTATCCATTCTTCTTACGCTGCTATCTATGATAAGACCTTTCACTTCGGGTATTTTCAGTCGAAGATATCTGAAAGAAAGTTAAAAGTTAAAAGTTAGGAATAGTAGTAAAAGATGAAAAAAGAATAATTTGCGATTATACGCTGACTTGTTGCAATGGAACGTGTTCTCTCCAGGACTGACGGTTAAGATATTTAATTGCGATTGCGCGGCATCGAGGTCGCAGGGACCGATCTCGGCATTGTGAAACATTCTGTCCCCTTGTTGCGTTAGAAAAGTCATGTTTACCGAGAATCCTTCGGCCGCGCCGAAACCTTCGTTCCTCAAAATCTGTTGAGCTTGAACGTAATTTTCCGCAGCCAGTAGCGCTCTAGTTAAAAAGTACCTGGCTAAACGCGGTAGAATTTTATTCGTAACGTCGCGACGTACAGCGTACGCGAACAGATGTTTGAAAAACTTACGCGTTTTGCCAGATCTCAGCTTCGCAGCACTGAGAGTATTAACAGTGTAAACAAGACCATGATGGTTGTACCCCATCGTATAGCCAGGTAAGAATCCGGCGTAACTCAGGGACGTAAAATGTTCTTCCTTGCATCCTGGTTCGATCACATGACCAGCAACCAAGTACCAGTGATTCAAAGTTTCGCCAAGTGCGTCCTCGTTGTGTCCTAAAATCTCCTGTTTTCAAATAAAAGGTTACGCTACTCTCTTCTATGAACAACTACTAACTGGTCCATACAAATTTGTCCCGCTTACCTGGCCTGGCTGATTACACACGATGGTTGAGCAACCAACCGGTAACGCGTTACTCTCTACCCCTTCGTTCGCTACGTTTGGTACGATGTCGTCTAAATGCATAAGAAATAGCTGCGAAAGAAATCATCAACTTTATCCTTTCGTAATAGATTTTATCCGTTTGATAGGAAACATACCTTATGGAACGGAACGTTCGCACCATCGGCTGTTCCACGAATTTCCCGAAGATATCCGGGGAATTGCTCTTCCACGCAACCAAGAGTTTCTTCGTAAATCTTTCTACCCGTTTCGGTCTCGTAAAGCGGTAGATACGTTTCGTTCACCGGTCGATACGTATCTACGTACTCCTGGATCAAGCCGGAGAACGTGCGTCCCTAAAAGAAAATTATTCAAAATTTATCCCCAACACTACGGCGATATTTTTTCGCTACGCGCCTATGTTTTTCTATCAGGTAAAATCTTAAAGCCCCTCTTCCCACGCCTACCACCTGCCACGGAAACGTCGCGAATCCGGTCTTTCGTTATTATTTATGTACTATTGTCTGAAGCTAGCTTGCTTGCGTAATCCTATGCAACTACATATATGTAGTTACGTGACACGTTTTATCTATTGGAAATATTTATTATAATATTATAGAAGCGCGATAATAATCAATTCCCACGCGGATGTTGGAAAGTTTTTTTCAGGTGAACGAACTGCGTATGGTAAAACATGCTCTCAATCTGGCGATAACAATAACCGACCCGTATGAACAACTGTTTGCATTACAAAGTCGAGCAAAGGTAATACATCCACGTGATGTACCCACCTGATGCGTGGCACGGTACGATATGTCACGGTATGTCACGGTATGTCACGGTATGTCACGGTATGCGGTAGAATATTTAATAACAAGTTCGAATAAAAATCGATCGGAGAGTTTTCTGTTGTTATTCGGAAGCCTTGTTTTTCTTTCGCGTGCAGCACGATCATCGCAATTATCTTCTTACTGATTTATGTAACTCTGCTGCTAATTTCGTTTCCTAATCACTTTTTTTCTCGTTTTACGTACGTTCAAACGTTAACTCTTAAATAATTTACTAGTTTCTCTCTTGGAATTATAAAAACGATTGAATTCTTACGATATCGAAACCAATGTCGTAATGAGTTCCTCTGGTATGAATGATGGGAACGGCTAGTCTTCTTCCGATATCCTTCGTCTGGGGCGAACATACAGCAGAATCTTCCGGCGTGATCATCCTTTTTCAGTAACCGTTTTATCTTCTAGACGAGTAACTATAGCAGCAGCTAAAATTTCGATATCATTTCGCTATGCAGTCTTCTGCTTCTTATCTCTAACTTCTTTCTCTCTTTCTCTCTTTTTCTATTTCATATTTAGGTCTTAATAAACGGCCTTTTTTGAACGAAAGATAGAAAGAAATGCCAGATTCGATTGAAAGAGAGAGGTTCGTAATAGCTACTTTCATATTGTATTATTTGATCGATTGATCGATTTCCAAAGAAGAAAGGAAGGGTGCTTCCTCTTCTTATCGAGGAGCGGTGATACTAGCCACTTCCGGGGTACATACCTGAGCTTAAGTTTACCTTCGAACGATCGAATTGTACGAAGGCGACGATTCTTGAAAACTACGGTGAAGAAATCGAAGAGGACCGAAGTCGCGTTCTAGGCGTCGTTTTAACGAGAATGATCGTCGCGCAACTGAGGACGGTTTTTACGATCGGCTTTCCTCCGCCACGCGAAGACCACGTAAGTCTAATCTACCTTTTATTGGCTTACATCGATTAGCGAAGTCGTACGGTACGGATAGCCGGCAAGCCACCTCCAAGGAACAACGAATTTCTCCTCAACGTCCAATGACGACCAACGACGACAAGCAACGATGTCCTGCAAGTCGTGGCATCGTGGTACCGTGGTACCGTGGTACCATCGCAACCACCGTTCAGATTCGTACGGATCCACGCTTCACTATCGTCTACTTACCGATCAGTTGCAATCGCTTTTCAATTAGCTGCACCGCGATATTCGGTTTGTTTATCGTTCGAGTTGGAGAACGCGCCGCGTTCGTGTCGCGGGGCCGGTTTGGTTGCTTTTTAAACGGTCGCTCGCATTTTGCAACAGTATTGACGCATGCAGATGCATATTTCGTATCCTACCAGAATTGAAACGTTTCGTAACAGAAACTCGAAACATCGATCGGATGTTACCTGGATAAAATTGATAGGGATTGCGCAACCTAGAAGTAACTTATCTGTGAATCCTGTTATATCCTAGGTATATTGCATTTGGCACGATCTCTTTAGAAATAGGATACATCGCAAAGCGATCGATATACATGTATCGCTTTGCGCTTTCAACATTTCAATCTTACCTACCTACCTACCTACATACATACGATCGCTTTACGCCTCACCCCCTTACGCGCTTTTCGCATTCTAACCGTTATAACTATTCCTGACTCGTGTAAAGAGTCAGGAATTGTCGAATTCCATTAAAGGAAATGTAATTACCAAGCCGTTTACATCCTTGTCTTTTTTCTTTTTCATCCTTACATGATCATGAGAGAAAAATTCTGATCAAGACAGTAGAGGATAGAAGAAATAATGGGCAGGAATAGTGATTGCAAGGGTATCGCGTACATTTGACAAGTTGACAAGTTGACAAGTTGACAAGTTGGAAAAGCAGCGTCGTAGCAGTTAGTAGTGCTGTTTGTAGCGCGCAATCAGCCATTTTTCTGGCTTCTAAATAGCTTCGAATAAATAAACTAGAGTAGGAGCTGTCCAATCTCTTTTACGGCTTCTAGTCGAATTCTCTGTCTATTGTTATACGTGTTGTAAACAATTTCCCGAGTGTTTATAAAATCCATCAATACTGTCGCCGGACATCCTTCCTTTAATCCTTTAATCCTTTAATCCTTTAATCCTTTAATCCTTCAGCGAAATTACGTTTTACGTTTAATAAATCAGATTTTATTACAAATTCCTATTTCATTAACTTGTCCCTATCGTCTAAGGATTATCGCATACGAATCGCGATCGCGGTACATTATGAAAACTGAACGTTTCGTATTTATACCCTCTAGCAATTTATTAGTACACATTTACATATGCAGCCATACTTGCGCGTACATTCGTACAGTACGTACTTATCGTTATTATAATAAAAGTGCATGCATATATTCCTCATATATACAATATACAATATACAATATACAATATACAATATATACATATACATATACGGTGTTCGGCTACGGCTGGGCATCCTTTCAGGGGTTAATAGCTTTTTCCTTTACCAAACTACTCTTTAAGACTTAGTTTTTCAATTATTAATAAATAAAAAGAGCGAGCAATGACGCATCGGTTCGTAGCTGACACTCCCGTGGCTGTGGCTGCGCCTGCGCCTGCGCACTCTCTACACTGCTTGCTCGGCTCTTTTACATAAATCATTTTTGCTAAAAGAACAAATTCTTCAGAATCACCCCAGCTACAATCCTCTCAAGGGATGTCCACTCGTAACCCAGCGTCCTGTATATACCATATATGTATAATGAAGAACAAAATATTTACGATACAAATAATAAATTAACAATTATTTATTTATCAAAAGTACCTTTCGCAAACGTATCGTTTATCGATTACACTTACATACTATATGTATATTATATTATGTATTTTCGCACGTATGTACCTATGGCATATATGTATGTATATGTACGTACGTATGTTTCTATGTTCACGTATTCTATATTTCTATATCTTTCTATATCTGTACAATTTTTAAAATTCCATTCATAACATTTAAACATACCTTACGGAGCACATATACAACTGCAAAATATACACGTATGTATTACCGTCCCTTTCGCTTTTGGTCAACTCGCAAAACAGCTATGCCGTGGATATCGGACTGTCTCTTTTTACCATTTTCCATTTTCATTTCCATTTCCTTTCCCCCTTGCGATTTCTATTCATTTACAAAAGTATTATTTTTCGTACAATGCACTAAAATGATCGAGTTGAAAAGATGATAATATTCCGTTAAGCAGAAGCGGATTAATTTCTTACCTGCTAATGTCTTTCATTTTCTTCGAGAAATCAAAATAACAGATTGCAACGAGTAAAGTATAATAATATTCTTAATATTCGTATTTATAAGGAAGGCTTTTGAGGCTGTTGCACCAACATTTTTCCTACTTGAAAGCACATCTACGATACGAAAAGAAAATTGAAGTGAACAAGAAAAATCGGATTTAAAGAAAACTGCTGGAAGAAAAGGAGACCGGAAAGAAGAGAAGCAGAGGGAAGATGTTTTCCCGATCATTCGAATGTCAGTTGAAAAGAAAAGAAAAGAAAAGAAAAGAAAAGAAAAGAAAAGAAAAGAAAAGAAAAGATAGATCGGTGGACCGTTGGGAAATGGCAAGTTTGATTCGAAAGAGAAGCAGTCGCATAGCTAGGGTAGTGCTGGGTATCGGCAATTTGCCTTATTTACTATGAACGCGCGTTGCCCGTATCTAAGTATGAACGATGCGTCGACGCAACGATTTCAATTGCAACGTTCATTTCGTTAAAGTGCACGTGTTCGATAACAATTCAGTCTTATAGAAAAAGGTTGTGTCCGTTGAAGGGAAACGTCGACTGATCGAACGATCAATCATCAGCATCGACACGAAAACATTTCACCGAGAGCCTCGAGAGCGTTAGCTCTTTCCTCGTAAGAATAAAAAGATTCAATTCCCGAGAACGTTCCCGATCTGCCGGTTCTAGGGAATCTAGGGGACTCAACATGTCGCGGCATGTTTCGCTCGTTGAGCAGCTATTCGTTGACTACGTCTTAAAGTACGCGGCGGTGATTCCGCGTCGGTCTCCTCCTCCGAGTCGGAATTGTCCAGAGCGGTTTTTCCAGCGTATCGCCAACTGACGATCGCGCCGTCCCACTGAAACACGAACCAACAATTTTTTTCATTTCTTTTCATTTTTATTTCTTACTAGTGGAATTATACTGTACAATACGTACGGACGTAGAAACGATCTCCTGATGAAACGGGTGCCAACTGACATCACGAACGCATCCTTTGTGTCCCACTAGACTACTAACTATCCTGCCAGTCAACACGTCGTATACTGAAATGAAGAAAAAGAGAAATTTCAGAAATTTCAGAAATTTTGTTTCGATCTTGCTTCGTCCAGACGGAGTCGAAACATTTTCATACTTATCACTCGTCCTGCGGCACATCCGGTATATATGTATCTTTGACCCGTAATGGAAGAAGGAGAGAAATGACAACGTATCAATGTTTGAAGTACGGAATGACCGCGATAGGTCATGATGCTGGTATCGCCTTCCAACATATTTCTCGCTTTGTGCACTAAAACGGGAAACACGTTATTTTCGATCAATGAAATTTCTCCTTTCTATCGAGAACGCGCATATCAACCGTCCGACTCACGTCGTTTCGGTACTTTTTGCCATCGATAATCCCAATTTTGATTTGCAACAGCCTTGCGCGTGTTCTGTTCACCGTTGTGGTCAGAAAATGCGCGCACGTCCCATAATTTGATGGTCTGATCTTTGCTGTTTGTGATAAGGTATCGACCGTCGCCGCGCGGATCGATATACGTAATTCCATCCATATGTCCAGCTAACACTCCAACCGGATGTGGATCGGTTTCGCTCAATGTTCTTCTATCCCATACCTAACCGAGTTAAACCAGAAACGAGAAAGAAAATGTGCACGAATTCTTTTAGAATATATTAACAATATATGTACCTTACAAAGTCCATCGTCACCAGCGCTGTATAAAATTTGTGAGGTATCGTCCGCAAACACAACCGTATTAACGTCGTTGTCGTGGGCTTCGATCTGAAAGATTGATCAGTGAAATCAGTGAAATCAGTGAAATCAGTGAATCGGACAATAATCGATATCGCTAGATTTTTTCTACAAACCCTGAACGCGCGTTGATGACATTCTCGATCGTATATATAAAAGTAACCGTCATTCGCGCCGCTCAGAATTTCTCGTCCATCGCTTGAAAATACTACGGAAAATACACCAAATCTTCGCTCCTCTGGGCACAACGATAACGATTCTTGTGTACTCGAATCTCCGTAAACGGGCCACAAATACACTAGAAATTAGAATAATAGCTAGGATAAAAACAACTTTCATTGATACGAGTCATCACGAGTTACTTACAACATTCCGACCAACTAGAATAAACGATGTAATTGCCATCAGGACTAAACGCTGTATCCAAAATGCTCCAACCCACGTCTCGTGCAGGAATAGTTTTGAATTCTACAAATTCTCCGTCGTGCGTCCGATAAAGACGCAAAAATTTATCTGCGACACGAAACGAAACGAAACGAAACGAAACGAAATCGAATCGAGTGATTGGTGAATGATTCAAAGAAGCGAAAATATTTTTACGCCTTATGGTTTACCTTGGCTAGCAGTTAAGAAAAATCTTCCGTCCTCCGAGTAAGAACCGCAAAACGCTTTAGTATTATATTTAGCGACTTGATGCATTTTATTTGGTAGAAAGCTGCTACTTATTCGACACCTCTCTCCTCTACTAAAACTAGGACCCAAACTTCTTCTTTGAATCATCGACGTCACTGATAGATTATGTTTATCGACGTTGTCTACGAATCCGCACGCTTGTTTCGTGGCAAGACTTATTTCGCTTTTCTGAAACAAAAAAAAGAAAAAAGAAAAAAGAAGAAAGCCCATACACAGCAGAGGAAATATTGAACGAAAGTGAAAGAAAGTGAAAGAAAGTGGAAGTAAACGTATCGCATATTTATAAATAACAAACATCTAATCTGGACGTGTTCGGGGAAGATGTGACTCTCGGTGGTTGAGAATTCGCCGCGTATTCTTCTTCCGAGTCATCCTGATCCGAAGTTATAATGTGTAGTTGGCCGCTGTAACGAGGAAACGATAAACGTTAAACATCATTATTTTCCCGATACCAGTTGAAAACGAAAGACGAAGAAAAAAAAGGTTAGGTATTCGATGTTATAGAAAAGATGAAGAGAAACGAGGAGGAAGTAGATTAGTTGAAAGAAAAGGACAAGTTGAAAAGTTGCAGAGTTTTTGACGGAAAGCAAAAGCGGTTTCGCAACTTGAAATCATCCCTTAAATAGGAAAATGGTGTAATAAGAAAGAATCGTTGAAAAGAAGAGGTTAGAATTGCTCTCGCTCGTTCGTTCTCTCTCTCTTGATCTTTCTCTTTCCTTTTCCTTTCTGATCGGCCCGTGGGCTGTATTTCTCTCGCGTTCTCTTTCTATCAACGTGCACACGTACACACGTTCGAAGGAAAAATTATCCTCTACTACGTTAAATCTTTCGTCGAGAAGATAAGATCGAACCAACCTGCGTATCAGATATTGCAGGACAGCGGCAAGTCCTGGATCGTGTGCGATATCCATATCGCGTGAATTAACGCCTCCCATGCAGCTAACAAACGTGTTTTATTTACCGTGTAAAAGCAAACAAGTAAAACGTTCGCGAGGGTTGATGGCGCTAGTGCAGGGAGTATGACAGTTGAAACAGACGATGACAGGAACGAAGAGCGCGCGTGAGAACTTGAAACCATCGAGAGGGGCTTGGGAGGGGGGATTTAGCAGAGAAAAGTTCAGAAAAGTTCAGAAAAGTTCAGAAAAGCGTAGATTGTAGATGGCTTTTGAAAAACTGAAATTGCTTGTTCAAAAACAGACAGCGTTTAGAAATTCCTCGAATAGGATAAAGAAGGCGCAGAAGCTTGATGAAAGGTACGCAGGCACGATGGTGCGCGCGTGCCACTGAACAAGCCGGCTAGTTCGCGAAACGCGAACTTGAAAAATCAACTTGATTAAAGTACGACGAAGATAACGTATAGTTCTTACATTGTTTCAGAGAATGTTTTCAAACGTTACGTACGTATATTTGTAGCTGTTTAGTCTTGAAACTACACTGTATGTCGGTAAAGCTTATCGAGCGGGTAACGGAAGGCTCAGTTGGTAAAAGCCTGACAATAAAACGAACTTACTTACCGTAACGTATTGTATTTTCCTCGATAAGCAAAGATTCATATTTGTATTCATATTTGCATTCTTATTTGCACGTGATTATACGCGATTCATACTTGTTCTACTGAAATTTATAGGAATAATTTCCTTACGTAAGAAAGAAAATCAATTTTATTCTTCTACGATCTTCATCAGGATAAATCAGGATAAATCAGGATAACACCAGCTATCTTTCTTTTCCTATTGTTATCATTTATAATTCGTAACTAGAACTATCGAAACGGAGCTCTCTAGTTGTTAGTCCCCCTCAGCCCGTAGTAAGACGCGAATCCAGGCAGAGGCGTACACCCTGGCCAAAGCTAGGACATCGAGCAGGTCATAGCGAAAACCATAGCCAGGATCGGAGGGCGCGCATGCGTCTTTTCGCTACCTGTTTGCAACTTTCTCGCTTCCCCATCAATGATAACATTAACCCACACAACAACGTCATCGTCTTGGCAAAGAAAGGGCTTGAAGACAACGTCGATGTCGTCGAATATCAAGGTGACAATGTTTCTGATATTGGCCATCCCATCAACGAGAACGAGGACGATTTTAACGGTAAGACAAAGACAAAGAAGAAAGCAAAGACGAATGCGAAGAAGCAAAAGGAAAATATTGGAGAGATATTTACGAGCCCGATCGCGATGAAGAGGAGGAGGAGGAAAAGATGAAATAGATGTTGGAAAAAATAAAAAGTTTAACGGGAATAAAAGAGGAAAAGAGTTATCATTCGTATCGTAAGATGGACGTAATCGCGCTTGAATCGTAGCTTCTGGATTTCCTTTGGATTGCTGCCGCGTTCCTGAGCGATGGGTGGACGCGCGCGCGCGCGTACTCCGAGCCGCCACCGCGCATCGCGCATTACCCTTCTTTCGCTTTCTTCATGCTTATAGTGCTTCTATGCGAGCTGCACGATTCTCGTTGTCTCCGGCAACAGGTGAGTCATTCCAAACTTTCAGCTGTTCTGCTTTTCCTTCGCTCTCGATTCGTTTCTCTCTCCGTTACCTTTCTTCTCCTCTTTCCTTTCTTTCCTTTTTGCCTGCCTGCCTGCCTGCCAGCCTGCCTGCCTGCCTGCCTGCCCGTCTGTCTGTCTGTCTGTCTGCCTACCTGCCGGCCTGCTTCCTTCTCTTTCCAGAGTTTCAGTTTATCCATCAGTTTGCAAACAGTTTGTGCTTAGTTGCTCACATCTTTTGCAACACTTTATTCGACGAGCAGCGATCCACCTGTACGATCGTTGCTGGTCGTTCGAGTCAGTCCCGTAACTCGGATTAAATTCGGATCGATCGAGTTGACCCGGCCAAACGACGAAATAAAATCGTAATCGAGCAAAGGGTAGCTGTTGCGCTGTTCCTTCTCTGATCGCCGAGATTGTTTATTCTAACGTAAGAACGATCTAGGTAGTAGTGTCGTTGTTTAGCTTGCCATTTCGATAGCGCGCAAACTAAGCACCTTCTTCAATCTAATCTTGTCCCAATCTGAACGAACGCGTTACGACGAAGGGGAGTATTTCTTCGGTCCATTTTCTTCCTTCATTCGAAAAGTTGAAAAGTTGAAAAATTAGCGCGCGAAAATGAAGTAATAGTAAATTGAAATGATTTTCATTGATGCAGTTTATGTTTTGTCCAGCTTATTTGCATGTACTTATTATTATTATTATTATATGTATCAGTCGTATATCATATATCTTGTATCGTTTATCGTAAACAAGAGCATTCGAAGGAAACTCGAATAAAGGTGACAATCAGCGTTGTATACCGCGTTCGTTGACAAATTTTCGTTGACATCTGAAAACGGGCGAAAATGAATTATGGTCCGATAGTAATTATCGAAGCATCTCGGTTCGAGACAATAGCGTATCGCGTACAATTGGTCGAATTTGTGCAACAGTTCGTGTGGCGTACTTACGTGCGAGGACTTATGCGCGAGAAGATAGGAAGGAAATCGATAAGGAGTTGCGTAAAGAGAAGAAAGGATGAAAGGGAATTAGGAAAATGGCTGGAAAAATGAAGGCGATTTATAGGCGATATTTTGAAATGAAAGAAAAAGATTATCGTAACGCGAAATGTTTCCAAGTGTAACCGCTTCGAGGCAGACGATGAATTGAATACGATGCGACAGGTGATGTGTTTGGCAAGTAGTCGATCAACGGAAGCAAAGTACGCGATCGCAAACGATTCGATCGAAGGTGGTTCGATCGAAGGAGGAACGAGGAACGAGAATCAGCGAACGACCGGCTGGCCGGTATGTTTGCCAAATCGAAAAGCAGCGGTTCGGCGCCGAACGTTCTTCTTTCGAATCCTCTTCAGAATTTCTACGAAATTGGCAAGCAATCGGCTACCGCGGGTCCTGAGAATGCGTGGCGCGTCTACGACGCGTATGCGAAAGCGGATAGAAAGGTAAGCCTGGTTTCGTTTTTCTTTCTTCTTCTTCTTCTTCTTCTTCTTCTTCTTCTTCTTTTGCTTCTCTCTATCTATTGTTTCTTTCTTTCTTCATTTCATTTAATTCTTTATAATTATTTATAATTTACAATGTTCATCGATATTTCAGGAAGTTTCGATATTTTTCTTCGACAAGAGATCGGTTGAGAAACTTTATAAACCAAAGCGAAAGGAGACCGTGACTGAAATTTTACGTAATGGAGCTCGACAAATGGAACGATTTTCTCATCCGAAAATACTCCAGGTAATTCTTGTTCGATCTCTTTTTCTTATACCTACAATGTAGGTTTACGCGTTCGAATACCTGTCCATAGGCGTACAAAGTAGAAGAGTGCGCGGATAGTTTGGCGTTCGTATCGGAACCGGTGCTGGCTAGTCTGGCAAACGTTTTAGCGTATCAGGAACAACGGGCAAACAGTATCGGTCAATCGACGAGCAACGTAACGAAGCAAACCTCTTCGGCTGCCAGTCATCATCGTACCATTTTTACCAAAGAATACGAGTTACTCGATATCGAGATCAAATACGGTCTGTTACAGGTGAGAAGCTCTAAACAACTTATTCGTTGCTTCGTTTTTCGTCTCGACACGACGCGACACTTTATCTTTTCTTTTCTTTTCCTTTCCTTTCCTTTTTATTCCCTTCCATTCACTTGCTTTTCTTTGTTACTTTACAGATCACAGAGGCTCTGCTGTTTTTGCATGTAACCCGCAAAGTTCTTCACAGAAACGTTTGCCCCGCGAGCATTATAATTACCAAAAGGGGTACTTGGAAATTGTCAGGCTTAGAATTTAGTGGTAGGTCGCTGTCTCGTCCTTCTTCTTGCTCTTCTGTTATTGCTTTCCTCGAACGATGCGCGCTTTCAAGAATTCCAAGAATGGTTATCGTACACAATTTTCTTCTGTATTCCCTTTGTAGAGAAAGTTAACGAGATGTCGATACTGCTACAACCGTGGACCAATCGTATGCCGAAAATGGCGCAACCGAATCTCGATTATATAGGTGAGAAAAAAATATCGGTAAGCGAGTTTCTTAACTCGTCTTTTCGTTCAACGCCGTTCGTTTAACTTTCTTCGTAGCTCCGGAAATACAGCAGAAGAAGATGGGTGGTTTCTACAGCGATATGTACAGTTTTGGTATGACGATATGCGCGATTTTCAATCAAGGACGACCATTGATTCAAGCGAATCACAGTTGCTCCGATTATCTGAAGCAACTAGAAAACGTAAGAATACGGCATACGTTATTCTTTTATTAGTTCGTTCACCAAATAAACGGACGGACGGACGGACGAACGAATCAGTAGCATTATTAATTCTTGGTACAGAATTGTTTCTGTTCGACAGCTGAAGGAACAACTGACGGTGATGTTACCTATGATTCCGTTGCCCCTTCAAGAAGCTGTTTCTCGGCTTTTACACGACGATCCGGAAAAACGACCAACTGCTCAGGTTTTATCGATGATTAAGTACTTTCTGTATGTAACGTTATCTTACGGTTGCTTGGTAAAATAAAACAGCCAGACCAAGAAAGAATTCCAACAACTATTCGATCGAATTTTTTCTTTATTTTTCAGGGACCCAGCCGTACACGCGCTGCAATTTTTGGATGTAAGCAAGATAAAAGACGTGTTGCAGAAGGAGCACTTTTATACGAACACGTTAAAAGGAATATTACCCTATGTACCAAAGGTGGTGGTAGTAGTAGTTGCTCGATTAAGTTTCTGCAAGATTAAACGAAAGTAGATTCGATGATATTACATATATAAAATTTTCGTTCGAATCCACAGAAACTCTGGTATCAACACATCTGGACGTATTTACAAATTGAATTGGAAAGTCAAGAGGTTCAATCGGCTGCACTACAACCGGTACTTTACATCGTTCAGAACAGTACGCAAGACGAATACGATCAAATCGTATTCCCCTCGTTACGGTAAGTATAATAAATACGATGCTGGAAATATATATTTTTTAACCAGTAAATATTTTGCGATACGCAGATCACTATTTTCGAGTCGCAAGTCGGTTCAGGGAACGGTTACCTTGTTGGAAAATTTGCATCTGATATTGAAGAAAACGTCTCGAGAATACGTGGAGACAGAAGTGCTTCCAATGCTGTACGCATCCTTTGAAAATTCAGTTATTCAAGTGCAGGTAGGTGGTTTTTATAGAGGATAGATAAGTAGAATAACAGATGATAAATGGTGATGGCGATGATGGTGTTCGTAGACGGCCTCTTTCATAGCCGTGTCAAACGTGACCGAGTACATCGACGACGAGGCGATTCGAAGTATCGTTCTACCGAAATTGCTTCAGGCCTTTGAGAAAGATTCGGTGGATTGCCGGATACTGATCAACGTGATTCCGTGTATTTTAAATCGTCTGGAAAAACAAAAGATCGTTGATTGTATTTTACCATTGTTGTTCAACATTGAACTTCAAGAACCGGAGATGATCGTTCGGGTTGTAAGTAAGTATACCGTGATCGTATGAATCGATAATTTACTAATTCATCTATGTATACGATTCGGCTCCGGTAGAAATTTACAGATTAATGCTATCCGATAAAAAGTATGGACTTTCGGTGAACTGGATGGCGACAGGAGCGATGCCTTCTCTCTTACCTCAGACGATTAATCCGTCGCTGAATCTCGAACAGTTTGAGTTACTTTTCAAAGTTTTGCAAGACATGTTGAATCACATCGAAAGGTAAAGCTTATTAAAACTTTAGCTTCGCAATATAGAATAGAATTTCACTTGAAGTTCGTTTTCATTTTGAACAGATATCAAAGAAATCAATTGACGTTGGACAATTTGTCCCTGTCGAGTCCAGAACGATATCGGAGCTTACGACATCAGCACAGTACGGACAATATGCACGTTCCGCCATTTAATATACCAAACTTACGGATCGAACAACGTAAAACTTCGTCGGCCGAAGATATGGCCAGAAAGAACAGTACAAGTAACAGGCATTTTTTTTCTCTTTCAAAATACCTTATATTTTTTTTTTTTTTACGAAAAAATTAATCAATTATTTGGTTGGCTCGTAGATTCGATATCGATGACGGCTTCGGCCGAAAACATGGCGAGGAAAAACTCGTTTGCCGGTAAGCGATTCTTGAATCCTTGTTTAAAATGAATAAAGAAAAAGGATTATAACGATATTATCGTTGATGCTCAGCCGTATTCGGATGGTTCTCATCTTCGAACAACGATAGCAATTTCTTGAAAGTGGCAAACACTTTCACCAGTAGACGACTCTCGGACAACACTCTGATGGCACCGAAGATACGAGTAGCACCGTCTTGTGCAAGCTCTCCGGGTGACACGCGTGGCGGTGGACTGCCGATTCGTCGTCATTCGAGTACTGGTCCTCAGGAGCGACGGGGATCGAGCATAAATCTATCGCCTCCAACGGTATCGTAACGTTTATCTTTCTATAATGTATCTTTTCTAATGGTCACTTTTCCTTTTGCCGTTTGATAGGGTGCAGGAATGCCGATCACGAGCAGCAGCGTCCCATACTTGGTTAGCTCGAGTATGAATAGTATACGCGGCTCGAGGCGCCCTTCGGTCTCCTCTACGTCCTCCCAGCAGGGCGCCGGATTACTGCAGCAGGTTGGATCCAGCATGGTAAGACAACAACCCCCCATCTGCCTCAACCTCAATGGACCACCACCACAACCACCAACACTTTCTCCATTACTCCAGCTACCGGGACAGCCTTCCCACTGACCCTTCGTTACAGTGTAAGGAAATATCCCTACTTGTTAGCTTATCCAACGTCGCCGATGCTCCATTTATTTTCTGATCGATTTCAAATTTACGCGGTATCACGCTTACGTATTTTTCTTTCCTTCGGTAGACTGTAGTAGTTTGTCTCGAGAGAGTTTTCGACCGAATCAATTTTAATCATTTCTTGAGCAAAGACGTTGTTTCTTTTTCTTTTCAAAAAGGAAAAGGAAAATGAAACGAAAAAAAGTAGAAAAACGATTCCTCCTTATTATCCTGTCTTTATCCCAGCTTCTCTTCTTGCTTATCTATCTATATATTGTATAATATAAAATTTACCAGTCTTCTGTCCGTTTCTCCATCGTCTTTCACTCTTTGTTCCATCGATTTACCTGTCTAATACAGGTATACAACTATTTACGCTTTGCAGTTATTTTTGTCATCTGCACCTACTCGATAGATAGTAGATTATAAATCTTGACAATATATTGTAATGTAGATATGTAGGTTGTAATCGTTAACGTTTTTTTTTTTTTCTTTTATTACAGTATCAATTCTTCAGTAAGTAGTTCGAAGCTTGAGCCGTGATTGCCTGACGAGGAAGTTTCAGAAGAAGACGCGCTACCGGTGTTATCCTAACGAGTTACTGGTCTACCGTCCGTACCATACAAATCAACAAACAAAAGGATACGAGCAAAGGAGAATTATTTATTTATTTTTTTTTTTTTTTTTTCTATTTTAGCTACGTCGACGCAGAAAAATTGAAAAAGAAGGTAACAGTTATTTTGGTCGATTATCAGCGATACTACCAAGTACCTTGCGCATACACAAACATATATATATATTATCACGCAGATATATGGATGAATACCTATTATTCTTAAGATAGTTATAATTTGGAGCCTAAAATTGATTAACGGGAACGTTTGAAGGAGAAAGAAAACTGGCCTAACCGTAATAGATTGGCCGTTGCGCGCGTACGGTTGGTGAAAAAATAGATTTACAATAACGATCGGGATATGTGCCGTATGCGTATCGGTTCGACGTACTTATGTATGTGTAATGTATCTATATGTACCTCCTTTGACCTTTGATATATTTCACCGATCATACGTGTGCGCGTGCGCGTTTCGAAAGTAACTCTACATATATTTCCTCTATTATTCGTCTTAGACATATTCGATTACGTTGTAAGTTTCTTCTCCTTTTCGTATCGCTATATCGTGGTTTTCCCCTTTTTCCTTTTCAATGAAAAGAAGATTAATCGCGATATGAAATTCACGGTTCCACGATTTAATGTCAATTGTAGTTTTTGTAAACGGCAAAACAAGGATGTCGAGACGACGACGACGACGACGACGACGACGACGACACCGAAAGTCTCCAATGAAATGCACGTATACATATCAAATTCGCGGAGCGTTCGCGCAATTATTTAAATAGAATTGATCCTGCTCGATGAATTCGATAACAGTAATTAGCTGTAGAATGTCGATAAATCGAGACGCGCAAGTAGCAGGCCCGAGGAAAAAAGACGGGTGGCAAAGATAGATAGAAAGTAAATATTGGAAAGAAGGGACGGCGATGATTCTGGATGGTAGAATGTATAAAATGCGATAGAATCACGTACGCGACACTAGGAAACAAAGTGTCCTTAACGTTCAAAGGCCGGAACTGTCTTTCCGTTCTCCGTGATTGCGATCGTTGACGAATCGCGTGCAACCGAACCGCGGACAATCATGGACAATCGTGGACAATCATCGAAAAAGAGCGAGTTACCTACCGCTCGCTTTTCCTCTCTTTTCTCAACCTGTTTGCCAACTAATTCCGCGTCATCTCTTACCCTATAGAGGAGATGCGCGAAACGACAATCATTCCGTCAAAGCGTCGAAATACGAGTTTATTTGCGCTTTGAACGAACAATAACTTTTTTCATGCGTACCTGCTAACTAACTAACTAACTAACTAACTAACTAATAGAAACGGTCTAGCTAAACGAGCTTTCATTTCTTCTTTTCTCTATTATCGTTCCTACGGCCAACTTGATAGCCGGCTAGCTGATAATCCAGATTCTTTATTCGAGTATCTGTCTATGTTTTCATCGTACACGCGTACGTAGATGGTCAATTTTGTTCGATTAAGATTACGATTACGATTACGAATATTTCGTCGCTGTTAACGTTACTATACGATGTTCCGTCTGTACTCTTATACATGTACACGTACACGTACACGTACACGTACACGTACACGTACACGTACACGTACACGCGTATAAATGGATCAACGACAAATAAATGTGCTCAAAATAGAGGGAATTAACGGCATGTTCGGCGAAACAACACACAAAACGATTATGTACTCTGTTCGCTGGATACGAGTATGTAAGCGACCTACGATCGACCTTTTTTCCCCCGATTAACAATTAGACCGTTCTTCGATCATCTCGGTGTAAGTGTATACAAATTCATGTATTATTCCTTTTGAAGGATGTGCAATAATAATAAAAAAAAGCGATATATGTAAAACTTGACTTTCGAGCCTTACCAATAGAGGAGAAAAGCCGTTCGTTTCGACGATGCCAATAGGGAAATGGAATAATAACGCAAAGTCGTCTCTTTATTTTCTAACGCGATTATCTTTAAATGTTTCGTATAACGTTATTACTTATTTGAACTTATTTTGTACTGTACATACAAGTAAATAGCACGAATAAGTAAGTTAGGAGGTAGTAAAAGAAAAGTGGAAAAAAAAAAGAATGGATTGGACGGGACGGGACGGGACGGGACGGGACCGATGTACTATACATACAAGTCTTTGGCATCGAAAGGGGAGAAAATTAGTTTGCTATCTATCTATCTATCGCGATCGGCAGTCGTCGAGACTTTGACGAATCGACATCTCCGCGGAGGCGATCGACATCCAACGATTGCTGTCGGATCGGAACCACGTCAAACCCAACGAGTATTTACCGTTCAGATTAGCGTGTTGACACCGACTAAACCACCATCCACCGTGGTAGTTTTTCGCGCAGTGGCTCGTACTCGCGTCCATGTCGACGTCTTTCGCGCTGAAGGGCATTCCGTTCTGATAGGAGAGAGCGTCGGTTGCGTTCCCGCGATAACCGTAAACGCGCAACTTGTACCCGTTTTCTTTCGATTCGACCGCGAACCGTGGGTACTCGGCGCGCCAACGTTGCCCGTTCATATCCAACAGGTCGATGCGCAAGCTGGTACAATTATCGCGAGTCAGTCGATGAAGGATCTCGTTGCCGATCCAGTATTCGGTAACGGGTGAACCGAAACCGAGCGAATACTCGTTCCAGGTACGATCAAAGTCCAAGCTCCCATCGATTCGACGGCTGATCACTAACCACCCTTTGCGGCAAAACACCAACATCGCTCTGCTCGTTCGTCCACGCAACAGTCTCGGTCCGTCCTCGAGCTCGTTTTCCGCGCAGTTTTCCGGTAGATCCTGCCTGATCAAATGATATCGATCTTCCTCGTCGAGTTGTTGCTCGAACGTCCAGTTGTTGCTCGTCGCCAAGTTCGAATCGCTTCTCTCTTGAAGCCTGGAGGCGGTAACGCTCAACGCTTGAACGGTTCGACGCAAATTGTTCAACTCCTCCCTAGTCAAGGATAGTTCAGCAGCCTTTCGAGCGGCGTTCACGCCGAGTCGTACCAATTCCTGCTTCGTCGACGAATTGTTCGTCTCGACGGCTTCTTCGAGAGCTCGCAGCCACTCGATCAGCCGCGTACCGAGCGATTCGCCGATACTCTTCCTCGATATCGCGTTCTCGCTCACGTTTGAAAGTTGCCGAGACAACTCCCCTTGAACTTTCTCCAACTTCTCCACGCGTTCAAACAACTTTGACCATCGTTCATTTTCGTACGCGACCCGTTTTTCCAATCTCACTCGTCTCTCCGTCGTCGAAGAGATTTTGCGTTCCAAACTGTTTAACCGATCGACGACTCGCGTTCGCTGCCTTTTCGCCAACTTACGCCGAGCGAGCTCCTGCTCTATCCGATTCCTTCCTCTTCTTACGCTTTCTCTCTTATCTTCCTCCAACTTTTCATCCCGTTCGATCGTCACCGAGTTGCCACTGACCGTATTGCCATTGGCCAATATTGAGGATTCGCACCTCAAAGATTTTACTTCCATTTGAACTGTGCTCAACTGAAATTTCAAAAGAATAATGGGAACCGAGCGAAACGCAAAAGGGTTGTTTCGACATAACTATAAGCAAAGGGTAAGGGGAAAGAGGATCGAGGCAGATGCGCGATCGATCTCAGAGCGGCAGGTGAAGAGAATAAGGAACCTGAGCGGCGTTACCTGACTGGCGATATCGGCACAGCTGCGAGAAAGCAGACTAAAACGTTCTTTGACCGCCGCGATATCGATACGAATCGTTCCAAGTACGGCTTCGATCTTGGCGATTCTACCGCCAAGATTTCGGATTCCTCTGCCGACCGCGGCAACGTCCCCCTTCACCAGGGCAAGCTCTCCTCTCATCCTCGATCTCTCGGCAAACTCTTCGCTTGCGTTTCTCGTACGAAGAACCTCCGCTACTTCGCCTCGAAGCTCGGTAACCGCATTTCCTAGCCATCTCACTCGTAACTTTTCGTTCTTCGCCTCGTTTCCGTTACCGCCCCCTCGAAGAGCGATTACTTCCTTTCTGACCGACAACAGACGGTAAATTATAATAAATCGATCACGAACGTGAACGTGAACGTGAACGTAAATTTACCTCAGTTCTTTTACCTCGTCCTTCAACACGAACAATTCTGTGTTTTTTTCGATCGCGCGCTTCAAACTACCCTCCAAGGCGTTGTAATCCTGTTGACGGTGATCCAGCAGAGCGTTCACTTGTTCTCGTAACGATCGTATCGCGTCAAACGCATTTTCCTCAGCGCGAATTTCTTTTTTTACCGCACCAATTACGATCAATGTAATCCAGAATGAGCACGTTTCCAACTTCATTTTTCCAAGATCGGTATAACGTGTACGCGACGCGACGCGACGCGGCAGTACCAACATTGAAAACTAACTGGCCCAACCGACAGCTGTCCTACCAGTTTTATATCGTCCTTTCCATAAAAGGTTGGGGGTAAACGGCCCAGGGAGCAGGTGTTCGACAACAGTCGGTCAACTCCAGGCTCGTGTGCATTGTCTCGTGCCTGCAAGCTGCGCCATTCTCCCTTCTTTTCTGTCGTACGCTGCACCATTCTCCCTCTCCTCGCTCGAAATTTGTTGAAACAGGCGTGGAAAAATGACGAAGAAAATTCTAAGAGGTCAATAATTTATTTGAAACAACTTGTATCCTGTGAAAACAAGATCCTAAGTTTCTATGCTTCTACTGGAATTGAACGCGTCCTTACAACCTTCTCGCACGCTAATTTTCTCTAATTTCGTCAAATCTTGACGAATCCAGTTCGAGCCTACCTATTCAAAATTCGCGTTTACGTATCTTTTCTGCGTCGAGAAAAATTAAAAGGATCTTGGTCTGTTCCCACTTGGTAAAAGACGCATCGATATTTTTTTTTATCCTTCTTCGTTATAAACGCGCAGCGTTTCTTATACTCAACGTAGGAAAACCTTTATCCCTTTCTCGTTAAACAGTTTAGACAGTTTAGACTCTAGGCTTTAGACTTAGACGTTTCGTCTGATCTACAGTCTCGTTTCTTCGAGTAAAACCCTATGTACAGAAATGAACGATTACTACATCGTTGTCTAAATATAATAATAATTAATAATAATAATAATAATAATTATCGCAACTTGAATTTTCAATTAAATGGCATTCTCCTTTTTCTCATTCTATGGCAAACAAAGACAAGTCCTTATCAATCTTTCATTTTTTCCTTTAAACTTTCCAGTAACTTTTCGAATTCCGGTACATTTAGTGAAATTTTTCAACTAAACACGAAAAAATTGATTTATGTTTGCGCTGATCCATACGTTCCCGTCGGCGGACGATACAACTTTGGAAACGTAAGAATTTGCAAACTGTTGAACGCATACTTTCGTATTCCGATGTTCTTCCAAGTGTTCTCTCGTCGACAACCCTCGCTGTAATAATAATTAAAAAGCAGATCGTATCGAGAAGAATAATTTCGATTCGGGTCGGGTCGGTATAAAAAAAAAAGAGTAAACGATTAACCTTCGCATACAGTCGAGCGCTCTGGTGTATTCGTGTTCGGCCAAATGGTACTCGCTGCTCAATATGTTTACTTGCTCCAGAGTGACCGACATCGCGGTACGGTCCTTGGCGCTTTTACAGCTGGTGAACCTCAATCCGCGCATCCGTCGGCAAATTTGCGACGATAATTGTAAAATTTTCACGTTTTTGTTTACTTTCGCTTGAACGCTTGCCTTTAGATCGGTCAACAACTCTGGTAACGTTTGACCAAGCGGCGATCTCGCACCCACTGCAACACCACCGAGAAAAAAAGCAATCCAAAGGTAAATACTTGGTTAGATATTACAATAGAGAATAGAGACAAGCTTACGACGAGTCGATGCCGTTTCCGTCGGTAGATTGAGCTTCTTGAATCGCAAATAATATTCGTTTAATCTTTCAAAGTTATCCATGTTACTCTTTTCCTGTGGTTTTGTCGTACCGAGACTCTCTGCCAAAGAGGCCATTTCGTTGATACCGACGTTAAAGAAAACTGGCGTTACGTTAAAAGAGATCGTTTGTCTAGAAGAGGGAACCAACGGTAGCAAGGAATATATAGCGTCCGGTACCGGAAGCAACACCGTCAGAGCCACGCGAGAACCAACTACACGCGGCATCGGTTGTTGAAACGGAACGCTGCAATTCCCTTCCAGCCTGAAATGCACAATCGTACAACAAATCGTACCTACATTCTTCTGTTCCTCGGAGGAGAGACGTACCTTTGTTCGATACCGCACCTGATTAACGTAAACGTTACCGTATGCGTGTCTTCGATCGCAACGGTCATGTCTCCCCACATGTCTATCTCGTCTCCGTAATAACTAAGAAGTCCCTCGAACGAGACCAACGGACCAAGAGTGGTTAAAATCAACAGAAACATAGGATCTGGCCTCTGACACCAAAGTTTCGCCATTATCCCAGTTACCAAACTGGTTAACTGCAAACATCGCGACGAACCAAGTAAGAAAAAGTAAGAAAAAGTAAGAAAAAGTAAGAAAAGTAAAAGTAAGGAAAACGTACCGCCTGGCTGAAGCACACGTCTCGTCTGTATCGAACGTTACACGTTCGCTGAGCCATTTTCGAATCTTCCTGCACTCGAAACACCGAATGCGTCAATCTGGCGGTTTTCAGTAAACCGTCCATTGCTTGTCGTAATTTCTTCATGCTCGGCCTAAGTTCGCTCGTCCAATCGACGATGGACGCAAAATCCAAACCCTCGGTGAATTTGTTTCTTTGTCCGGTACTGTTGCTCTTGATCACTCTGGTCATCGAATCGACCGCTTGGCACACTTTCCATTGGCCACCGAACAAGAACGTACAAATTCATCGTTTACCATTCATTTTTCTTAACAAGAACATGACACTGACTTACCTTCTTTGGCTTTAGAAAAAGCTGGCATAGTCATCTCAGAGACTGGACTTGGGTATTGTCGTAAATTTGAACGATTATCTACGTTTTCTAAAAGCTTGCTGGATTCCTCGTTCTTGGCCTCGTTTTTTGGCTGAATAGTCACCACTTTCACGCTTTTGTTACGATTAGTTGCAACAGATTTCTTCATACTCTGCGCTCTTCCCACGCTGTTTTTATTTCTTAAACGTACAGCGGGGCTACTGCATCTTCCGCAAAGAAACTTTACCTTCGATACTAAACACATTACGCTCGCTTCAATGTTTAGTTGCGTCAAGTCCCACGGTTCTGGTTCGTCGGTCGGCTTGTAATAATTAGCGGAAGGTGAATTGCACATCTTTTGAGTGTCTAGGAATCGTTTGCACGGATCGATATCGCCTTTCGTCTCTTCCCTTTCTCCGTTGTTTTCGTTCTTATCCTCGTTGATATCATCGTTGTTGTCGTCGTTGTCGTCGTTGTTGTCGTCGGCGTCGTCGTCGTCGTCGTCGTCGTCGTTGTTGTCGTCGTCGTTGTCAAGTCGAATGACAGCAGTATCATTATCAATCGAGTTTTCTTCCTCGTTTCCATCATCCCTATTCTTTTCTTCTTTCTCTTTCTCTTTCTGGTTTTCGGTGTAATTATTTTCCGCATCATCGACGACGCTTTGATTCGTTTCCTCGTGTATCGTATTCTTGGAATGTTTTTCCACGAGGTCGAGGTTGTTTGAATTTGACCGGTCCGCGTTCAAGCCGTCGCTGCTTTTCGAGGGCAAAGTTGCGTAACCATTTCGATTTTCGCTTCTCTTTACCCATAAATCTTGAACGCATTCGGGAGTATCGGGAGTTACAAAATCATCCAGATCCGGACTTTTCAGATCGAAATTTAATTGCTGAGTAATTCGTTTGAACGGAGACAAAGAGTGATTCGTTTTGAAATCCAAATTTAGAGGATCCTCGTTTCCATCGTCGTCGTGAACTTTGGCTACCTTGTACTCTTCTAGAAAGGTTAACGCTTCTTCGACCAAACCCGGATCCCAAAGACTAAGAAGGATTCTGGTTTTGGTGATCATGTCTTCGCAAATCGGCAACATTCCGCTAGTTTGTTTCGCCTTGGCGAGCTTCATCAGGGCGCGCATCGCTTCGACCACGTCCCGTCGAAGTTGTTTGATCGCTTGAATGGCATCGTGAGCCATCGTTATTTTCGATGTTCCTTGATAAAACTGGTTGCCGCGCGTTGGCGATTCTTTCAGAGCCTGCAACAGCCTGAAAGAATTTTTGGTGAAGGAATGAATGGAATGGACGTACGTTCGTTCGTTCGTTCAGTTCCCAATACCTTATGAGACCTCCATTTTTACTTTTATGCGAGTGTGCGGTAAACGCTCCTACGGTGATAAAGTCATAAAATCCACACTTGTTCAGGGTGTCGTTGTGGACCCAAATTCTTTGCAGATGTAAATTCAACGGTGCAAATTCGAGCGTTCTGTCGTTTTTCCGCGACGATCGTTTAAAGTAACTCCCTAATAGAGAAGAAAAGCCGTGCGTAAGAAGATTGAAAGAAAGATGAGAGAGATGATCGTTTACCTTTAAAGGCAGCCAAGTTCTCCTTAGCCTGTGAGTAAAGATGCAAAAGATGAAGATGACGATCGAGTAGCTCGACTTGTTTGCTGTGCCAAGGTTCTCGTAGTTCACCCATACCGGCCACTTCTTGTAGCAATTCTTTTTCTTCTTGGATCCAGATCGCCCTAAAGAGAGATAGAGGTAATAATATTGACATCGATTTATAAATAAGCTTAGGTGAATGAAATACGTGAACGCTATTAGTTACAGTAAATGTTGCGGGAATTGAAAAGAAAGTTTACTCTCGGCCATGATCTCGTGAACGCAAATATCGCCGCCTAAGCCGGAGTGAAATCTGAAAGAAGGAAAGCGGAATGTTAAGGATAATCAAGGCGATATCGATTCAGCTTACCTGTAAGTTTGTATATATGGATTGGCAAAAAGAAGTTTCAGTTGGCCCTGATGGGGCAACTTGATTTTTGTTCCCAGTCTAGGTGGCAACGATTGGGACCGTCTGTGCGAAAGTAGCTACGGATCAAAAATGAAAGTGAAATTGGAAGTGGAATTGAGCACGGTGCGACGAACGGGTGGTGTAGTACCTGTTGATTCGTTCCAGACGCAGGTTCCTTCGACGGTGTACTCTCCGTACTGTTTCCTCTGTCCTCCGCCTCTAAATTCCATACGTTGATCGTTAAGAAACCAACGGTGGTGGTTTTCGCGGACTTTAAAGGTATCCTCAATCTAAAAGCGTTCGATCGCTAGTCAGAGACACGCGATAACTAAAGAAAATCGAAACGGAAGCGGAACTGGTTTCAAAAAGGAAACGAGAGTCGCTAGAATTACCTGGGCGTGTCTTGGATCGCGTTCAGAGTGACGATAGCGCTTCCTATCGGGGTTGCGGTTTGACTCACTCGTTCCCTGACATCGAACGCGGTTATCCTTGCTTTCGTTTCGCTGGTTAAACCGTCGTTACCTCTGAAGCTGACGGTCGTTAAGAAACCGGGATTGCTGCTTCGCTAACGGACGAAACGGACACCAGGGAGATACGTAAAGGTTACGTATAAACTAAAGATACACGAGCCAACTTATTATTACCTCGACTACTTCTGTTCGCGCGTACTTGATCCACGTCTTCGAACCTTTTACTTGAACGTCTATCTCGAGAACCGGATTAGGTGGTCGACCGTGACCATCGCAAAGTAGATTGTCGCAGGCCAATGATATCTCGCACATTGGTATTTCGGCGGGATCTGAAAGAATCGCGAGCTGCAAGGTAAAACCTTAAAAATGGGAAAAATTTGATCGGAAAGCGGTAAAACCTGTTGATATGCCACGTTGTAGTCGCAACATTTGAATATCCGTATCGTGCTTGTGACCGCTAAACGCTTCTATTCGTTGCTGCAACGCCAACAATTGACTTCTCATGCATTCGTAGCTGGCCAACTGAAGAGCCTGCAACCAACTGTCTCTCTCTTCGGCCGAGTTGGCGCCCAACGCTTGAAACAAACCTCCGTCGAACACTGAAACAAGCCCATTGTACATTCTATCTACTTACTTACACACCCCGTAATGCACTAATTTATCCATTTTATTAAACTTACCTATGCTGAATCCATATGGCATCTGATTGCTCGGTTCTTCTACTCGAACGAAACATTGTTCCAATATTATTACTCCCAACGGTTCCGACCACTGTTCTCGCGATTTGAAATAAAACAAGAGATTGCCTCGTAATCTGCACCATCTCTCCAAACTTACTATCCAACAAAGAAAAAAGAACGTTTGCGCACGTTATTTCTTCAACGACATCGAGCTAGGCTAGCAAGCGGTATGAAAATGCAATCACAACTACATATTTTCTTCTTTTATATCTACATATGTATATCCGTAACGGAAGCAAAAAGAAATAGGTCAAGTCAGCAGGCACGGAAAGAAGAGAACAGGAGAGAACAGGAGAGAAAAGTTACGCACCGAATAGAGGTGCCGATAGAAAAATTCCAAGCAATGTATCTACATACATATAGAAGTGTAGAGAAATTAGTGTGACACGAAGCGAGGTACATATCTGGTATTTACATATAATATAATATAAGTATGTAATATAAACGCGAAGCGTTTCTTGATTATACGTATTATGTAGTAAAAGATCGCGATAATAAGCGTGTTAATCGCGGCAGACCGAGTTAAAAGACAGCGAAGGAACAAAATGTCGGTATGAAAAGAAAAAAATTCGGATATACCTTTACTCGTACTGGCTGTAACGCAACTGAGGTCTCGCAGTGTCTTATGCGTTTTTCCCTTTTGACATTTGTTGTCTGATTTTTTACCTGTACCTGGAAATTATACGTAGCTACAGGTGGCTTTTAGCTTGCTCCGATGCTTTCTTTTCGTCCGTCACGTATGTATGCGTATCTGTGCCTCCAATCATAATTACAATTACAACTACATTATATTAACGATACGTGTAATTTGCCTATTTACGTTCCTTTGTCGTTCGATCGTCGCTTTCTTCGTAAACTAAACTTCTTTCCGTTTAAACACAAGCTGCTATATGTGTATGTAGTGGTTGCGTATTAAATCGGAATCATGCACGCATCGGACCAAATGAAAAAAGGGTGAGAAAGTTTCAACCGGTCGTAATACATATATTATTTAGGAAGGCATGCTCGATTCACGTTTACGAGATGCATTCTAATGTTTCGAAGAAGAAAAAAAAAGAAAGAATAATATCTGACGATTCTAACGATTCTAACGATTCTAACGATTCTAACGATAAGATGCATACTCGAAAATATTATACAAGCTACGATGAAAATCTGGCCTGATAAATAAATACAGAGTGTTTTTGCAACTATGCGACATCCCGAATTCGCGATCCGATAGAACACGCAAATTATTAGTATACACAGACGACGAAATTCAACTTGTTAATAACAGTTAGTTTGACAAAGAATCGTAATAAGAAATGAATGTTGTGTTATTGTTATTGCGATTGTAATGACACAGTAGCAGCAGCAGCAGCAGCACCACCGATAGTAATGGTATAATAGCAAAGTAGAGAAGAAAAGAAAAAATGTGATACAAGTACTATCGAGTCGATGCGTTCGATTCGGGATGTTTCGTAGATGTTTCGACACCCTATACGTACAAGATTAACACGAGAACTCGACAAATTCTTCGTATTTGACGCGAAAATGATTACATACACGTTTATTTAGTTTGCATTCGATTTCGTTCCAACGATTTATAGCCTGGTACATATACCGGTAAACACAGAAGAGACGTTGTCTTCGTTTTCGTCGTAGTTGTCGTCTCATGTTTTGGAGCGCAAATAAATGATGGGCTCTAGATTAAAGAAAAGACGAAGAATTTGCGTATCACGTGAGTTTATTGCCAAGGATCAGACATTTACAAATTTAGATTAAGGAGAAACATGCGTCGGTCAGAGCGGTAAAATACACGTACTCAGTCTCGCGTAAACTAATCATTTTTATTTGACAAAAATTGTGAATCACTCACTCTCAGATCTGCGAAAGAAGCCTTCTTGTCGCTCGCGTACGTACAATATACCCTCTTTCTCAAATTTTTGCGAAGGTTGCGTAGCCAGAGTCAACAATTCTTGCTTGTTGAATCGCATTTCGGAATAGTATCGTCGGTTACACCCACGTTCTTCTTCCTGATTACGTATTTTTCTTTTCTCTTATCTGTCAACAAGTAAACGGTTAGCGATGACACGTATTTAAGTACGTTACATTTCTTTAGAACATGGTATATGACTGGCAAAATAGAGGATAAATCGGTAAACGACGAATACGTCTAAATAAATTATTTCATCGAACGCGGCTGTCACGTTCGCTCTATCAAACCTTTAACCTATTCCTTCTTGTTCGCCTTGCGCTTTTTCACTCCCACCATCTGCATCTCACTCCTGCGTTACACACACACACACATCCCCAACGCTCAACTGCATGCGCGCAAACTCCTTCCTTATACATTTTCATTCACTCGTATTTACCGATATCGTAACATGATAAACAGGATATTCTTATAACTGAAATAATGAAAATTTATAGAAAACCGAAGCAACGTATTCTATCGTGTGGCAACGAACCTTTGCGGATGTAATATTCTCCGATGTTTTTTCGGAAGATATCTTTGAAGTTCTTTTTCTCGCGACGATCAATCCTCTCGAACGCATTTCGCGTACTTGCTGCGTTTCACTATTTCACTATGGCTACAAAAATGATTAACGTTACATCGACTCTTATATGAATATACAATATAAAGCGCAAAGACGTTCGTCCGTGTCACTTTTCAACTTGACAACTACTAGACCATACTAGACTCAACTAGACTAGGGTTAGAGATACGCCTTCTATCTACGTCGCGCTTGTGCGACAATTTACTAACGATAAGTGCGGTCTGATGTGGTCGTGGCCGGAGTGAAAAGTTGAAAAGTTACAGAGGTTTCAATTTTTCTATAGAAAGTCATTTTAGCGAAGGGGTCCCTGACAACCCATCAGGTCGGTATGCACAGAGCGCCACTAGTATGTAGAGGGCACAATCATCCTCTACTTTTTTTCCGGAATTTATTTATTTATTTATTTTCTTTCCTTATTAAATAAGCTCATCTCTCTTTATAGGCCAAGGCCACCCCTTTCAGTTATTAATTATTTTATCCTTCTTTATGGACCAATGCCTCCCTTGTTACGTTACGAAGAGTGTGTGTGCCTAACCGAATAAACGAACGGTGGAATATGTAAAAGTAGAGTGTCTACGTGCTTGAAAAGAGAGAAAAAGAGATACAGGTACCGAGTTGTAAGCTACCGTATACCATTTTTCTGCCGCACAACGGAGCGACGTAACCCGACGTAACCCGACGTAACCCGACGAACAAAACAGTCATGGACATTGAATATTTCTGAGAATAGTAAACGGATCAAATTTACACGTTTTTCGTTATCACTTCAACGATTAAACTCAACGGTAATCAATTAATTATTTATTCCTACCACTAACATAATATACCGATATTCATTGTTCTGTATTTTTCCTTTCTTTTATCGATCGCCAAAGTTAGACACTAAAGGCGATTTTAGTGTAATTCAAATTTCTGGAACTGGAGTAAATTGTGTGCTGTGATAAAGGATTATGGAACCGTTTCTGTTAACATCGAAAACAGCCTTGGTAATTTTATACATACGTATATACTTACTCTAACAAACTGCTGTATCAGAATCAGTTGATCTTATAGTACATACATTGTAAGTGTAAGTACTCGCTTGACATATGTGGGTAGCGCAGTGTTCAAGTATAACCACATTAGGTAATATCACGTAATATACATTTGTTAGATGCCGCTGCATTGCTGATTGCAGTGCTGCTATCTGTCAGGATGGCAGGTAACGACGCAATAAAAAAAGAAAGGAAAGAAAAGAAAAGTTGATAAGATAGGTATTCTAATTTTGAACATTATTTATATTATAGTCAAACTTGTCCGCCTACGAAAAAATCCGCATCATTTTGGGTAATGGAACTTGCGACTTGGATTCTGCGGTATCGGCCCTTGCTCAAGGATTCTTCGACTACTTGGATGGAATGAAAAACGATGCAACCAAGTTAGCGGTAATTCCAGTAATGAACATACCTGAAAGAGAATATCGCGTGAAAACGGAAGTTGTATTTTTCTTGAAACGTCACAATATACCTTTCACGTTATTGACATTTCGGTGAGTAAATTGAGAAAATTGATATCGGATCGATTAAGATTAAACGAATTCTAAGCGTTTTTTCTCTAGGGATGAAATTGATTTGAAAAGGTTGAAGGAAAAGAAGGGAATCACTCTGGAAATTGTACTGGTCGATCATCATCAGCTTCCGGAGGAAGATGCGTTTTTAGCGGATTTCGTGGTGAAAGTGATCGATCACAGGCCGCAAGACGCAAACTGGCTTTGGCCAGGTAGAACGGTACAGTTGGAGAGAGTAGGCAGCTGCGCGACTTTGGTGGCTAGAAATTTACTCGACAGGTATCCGGAAGCGATGGATACGCAACTTTTCAGTCTATTGCGAGGCAAGCATTTTTTTTCATTCAATCAATATTTACGATTGATACGAATACAATATTATCGATTTTATCGATTTTATCGATTCGGACAGGTCCAATTCTTATCGACACCTGCAATTTCTCGAAGGAGGCTGATCGTGCGACTAGTGCCGACGTGGAAGTCGCACACCTTCTCGAGACACTCGGACAATTGGATCTGGATAGAAGCAAAGCGTTCGACGAGATCGTCGAAGCGAAATCCGATATTAGTAAATTAACTGTCGACGATTTCTTAATCAGAGATTTAAAAGTCGCTAATGGAGTGCCAATCGTCGGATTACCGATATTGGTCGAGGTAAAATGTAATTTAAGCGATTTTTATTACTTCTCTAAGTATCGGTTGAAAAAATTGTTTATTTGTATTTTAGAAATTTCTCGAATTACAAGACGTCTTTGGCGCGATTAAAAATTTTTCCAAATCACGGAACGCTACAGTGATCGTTTTCATTGGATTGGAGATTCGATCGCGACAACTGCACCGAGATATCGCAGTTTTCTCGTTCCTCCCCGTTAATCCATTGAAAGATCAGGTTAGTAGAAACATGAAGATTTTTTTCTTGCCTTTTCTTGCCTTTTCTTGCCTTTTCAACTATGTAAATTTTTTATCCACTAGATAGTAAAAGCTCTAACGTCGTCCACGCAACCATCCCTCCAGTTAACGTTGATCAAAGAAACGAATCAGGTCAATGGGAATGGCAGCTTACTTCTTTACGCGCAAGGAAATTTACGCGTTACACGAAAACAAATATTACCTCTTGTTCGCGATACCGTCACCTCGGCGAATTGTCGGTGTTAAAAGAAACGAAAATAACTAAGTAGAGGTACTTTTTTTCTTTCAAAGACGATCAACACGATCGCATCACCGCAGGAAGGTATAAGATTTAATTAAATTTTTCAAAGCACAACTACAATTATTCAGAAGGGAATGGTGAGAGATATATGTTTTTATTAAAACATTTCATTTCATTTCATTTTATTTGATTTGACGAATTTTTTTCTATGTATTTGCTACGGGAAAAAAGTACTTATCGATAATCAAAGATAGATCTGTGTTATACTTATCGTTAGATACATATGTAAGTATGAATGGTAATCTTCCCCTTTCCGTGTTTCTGTTCCCCCACCAGACCAACGTGGTCCTATCTTTGAGCAGGCGCTCACCACGGTCCGCCGATATCGGTGCCACCGCGGTGTCGCGCCGGAGTTGCTATCGAGCTACGCGCCTAGCCTCAAGGAACGCGATCACCTATCTTTTCGTATCGAACAAATCCTCTTTCGTTATTAATTCGACGTTATTTACGATTCAACTTGTTATAGAATTGTGCACGAGAAACATGGTGAAATTTTCTCTTTTACCACGATTATTCGTGCTTACGTTATGCGTAAAAAATGGAAAATCTCGTCGAATTTAAAAGGTAAGGGTTTTTTAGTCTCGTTTCGAAACTCTATCGGAAGACGAAGCCGAAAGAATGAAATTTCAGTGACGACTAGTAGAAAAGAAATAGCGTAGCTCATACACATACATATGTAGAAGAACAGTGGGCGCACATGCTTCCGCGTTCGCGTTGATGCGATGGAACTATGTGGAATAATTTTCTAGACGTCAAGAAACGAATGAATCTTTTCGTTAATATTCGCATTTCTTGTTTGTTTAAATTTATTTTCCAAAATCTTCTGTCCATCGCAGCCCAAAGTTATTAGAACGTTGCTTCGTTTTCAATCTTGAATCGTAATAATCAAGTACACAAAGTAGTCGAGACTCTAGACGAAACTTGTAAAACGAATAAGAAAAGAAGGAAAAGCATGAAGGAGAAATTAATCATCTTTGCAAAAAAATGTAGAAAGGGACAGTCGAAAGAAAGATAAACGAATAGAGCGGTCGTGATATCTGCAATCCGCAATCCGCAATCCGCAATCCGCAATCCGCAGTGCATTACAGGTTCGAAACGGACAGAGAGAAAGAAACAAAGCCAGGGCGAGCATGGTTGCTGCCCTCTTCCTTCCTACGGTTTACTGGTATTGATCGTGCCTTACTTGTTGCACGAATAGCCCACCTCAACCCCATGCGCATTCTCTGAATCTAACCGTCCTCCTCTTTCTCTTCATTTTCCATCGGTGAATCTAATTAACGCGCGACCTGTCATCTGCCAACTACCATCTATCATCTATTTATATTAGGTATCTACGAAACGTGCGATTGCTAACGATGCTAGCGGTGGTCATTTTCGATTTCTATGCCTAAATTCTTTTCGTTTCGTTTCGTTTCGTTTCGTTTCGTTTCGATCAGAAGTACGATTAATAGAAACATTAATCGATCGAGCAGTGTTTACAGTTTTAGAGATCGAAAGATGATAAGAAACGACTGGACCTATCATGAGCTGTAAATGTTTGGGAAGCAGTACGAGGAGCGGATATCAAGATGCGCCGCACACTATCGGTCGTCTCCTTTGGAATGATTCTAGTCGCGGCTTCCTCGCCCCGGGAACAATCTACAGAAAAAAACATTTTTGGTTCGTATAAAAGATAAGAGGAAGTAGAAAGGAAGTGGAAATAAATGAAACGTATGTGTTTCAGGGCAATGTATTCTTCCGCTTGGCATGGAGGAGGGAAAGATTCCGGATGACGCGATCACCGCTTCTTCCAGTTACGAGACGAAATCGGTGGGCCCTCAAAACGCGAGGTATCTTGAATAATATCATTCTGGGGAGGTGAAGTTTCTTCACCGATCGAATCGATCGAATCGTTATTATTTGCAATTGACAGGATTCGACAAGAGAAGAACGGCGGCGCTTGGTGTCCAAAAGCTCAGATTAGCAGCGCGATACGAGAATATTTGGAGATTGATTTGACGCGAAACCATTTGATCGCCTGGACCGAAACTCAAGGACGATTTGGCAACGGTCAAGGTCAAGAATACGCAGAAGCCTTTTTTCTTGAGTATTGGCGTGATTCGAAGTGGCATCAGTATAAGAACTTGAAGGGTGACAGGGTTCGTTGTTAGTGGGGTTCGCGTTCGATTTCGATTTCACGGGAAGTCGGAAAATTGATCGAGAATCGTTCGTTGCAGGTGCTACGGGGAAACAGCAACACTTATTTGGTGGAAAAGCAAAAGTTGGATTTGCCGTTTATCGCAAGCAGAGTACGATTCGTACCTTACAGTCAACACCCTCGTACGGTTTGCATGAGAGTCGAGATATATGGATGCGTGTGGGAACGTAAGTATTTACCTACATATTATGTATTTAGTTGTGTGAAAATCGACATTCGAGGATTCTCTTTTATTTATTCTTCTTGTAGAATATGTGATCAGATACCAGGCACCAAAGGGATCGAACATTGGCCCCGGGGGATGCAACGTTCAAGATTCCTCGTACGACGGCATCGAAACCGATTCTCTTCTGATCGACGGGCTGGGTCAATTAACGGACGGGATTTTAGGAGAAATTCTAGAGATTTTTAGCTGCTCGACGACCGGTACAAATTGGATAGGTTGGTCCGAACGCGACACTGTCCAGCTGATATTTCATTTTCAGGAACCGCGAGAATTTAATAGTTGTTCCGTTCACGTCGCTCATTTACCGGAACTAGAAATTCAGGTAGGTACCTGAATAGATCGAATGGTAAAGCGAATTTTTCTCGATTTCACGCTTTCGTTTTTCAACCAAGATGTTTTCAACGTTGCGAGTTTGGTTCTCCGTCGACGGTGAAAACTATCAATCGGAGCCAGAAAAGTTGGAAGCGAGCTCGAACAATTCCAATTCGTCGACCGGTGGTACCATTTTAACCTCGATCCCCTTACAATCTAGGATCGGACGATCGGTCAAAATCGAATTTACCCTCACCCAGAGAAAGTGGTTGCTCGTTAGCGAAATCAATTTTCACACAGGTAAGAAGATCTCTTTGATATTCTTTGATCGTACATACATGTACATGTATGTACCTATGTAGTAGGAGACAGTAGCAAGAATCGTTCGACCGATACTTACTTTTCGATCGATCGGTCCTCGTTTCGAACGAATGAAAATCAATCGGAATTACGATCAACGTCGATGATCGCTTCAAAATCCATCGAGACGATATCGGGCTTGAACGAAACTGAAATCTACGAAATTCACCAAGACGACTCGACGCCGGACGCCTTTCCAGTTGGCACTTCGCAAACTTACATCGGTCTGGTCAGCGGCTCGTTGACGATTATCGTCCTTTTCTTAACTTGCACCACCTTTCTGATCAAGCAGAGGGGTCGTAACAAAGTGGCGCTCTTACAAAAACACACGGCCCTTCTCTGCGATTCGTCCGCTCCCGGCATCGCGATCGTTCCAAACGTTAAAGACGTTAAATTTTCAAATTCGCTCGTGAACGGACTGTCGCTGGTTCGGAAACCGATCACCATCGTCGCGTCCAACGACTCGCGCGATCGATCGGATAGTCAAACGAATCCGACTCGCGCGATCACCAATTTCGACCATCATCCTCGTTCCATCGTCTACGAAACAAGCTGTTATAAGCTATTCTCCGAGGAAAATCTCGTTCTACCGGAATCCAGCTCTTCTGCTCTTGCTACCGAGCCCTGCTCCTCCGGTAAGTCCACATCCTACGCTCTTCCTCTCTTTATCTCTTTTATTTAATTAATCTCTTTAATCATGTGAATTATTCTGCTCGTAGACTTTAAGCGCAAGTCCAGTTTCACGAAAAACAAAGGTCCAGAATTTACGATATCAGCTACGACGACGACGACGCCGACGACGACGACGACGACGACGACGACGACGGCAAAGACGAATCAAAAAGTGCACGAAGGATATTACGCGGCAACCGACATTTTAACGGTAAAATCTGAAAAGTAAAATATATTATAATAGGAATAGAAATAGAAATAGATTCTTTCGAATCGTTAGATAAAGAAACGGGAGCTGCCGTCCGAGAGTTTGAGTCCGAGTCCGAGTCCTTTTACGCCACTCTCTATTCGCGAGAAAAGCGTGCGTTTGCCGCATACCCTCCTCGTCGATCCTTGCGACGTTCAGCGTGTTTCTAGGCACAGATTAAGAATATTGGATAAACTCGGAGAAGGGAACTTTGGTTTGGTAAGAAGTTTACTTGAAATTTCAACTATTTTTTTCACGGATAACTTACGATAAATCGGCAATAAGAACAGGTGCATTTGTGCGAAGCGAAAGGAATCGCGAGCGTAGAGAGAGGTAACGTGTTTGAAAATCGACAAACCGTGATCGTTAGGTCGCTATGGCGGGGCGTCGTCGACTCTTTGAGGTAAGTCCATTCTGTTCGTTAGGAGTGCGTTTCTTCAACGTTCCTCTTCTTCGAACAGGCTAGACTTTACGAAAGACATGCAAATTCTGGCGATGCTTCGCGATTTCAATGTAGCCAAGATGGTGGCGTTGGTGGAAGAGGAACCATTTGGAGCTGTATTCGAGTACGGCCAATTCGGCGATCTTTATCATTTTCTACAGTCTTACGAAAACGATTTCAGGTAAACTTCCTTAATCTGTATCCTTAGTCTATATCGATGTCCTTTAGAGAACAAAAAAATATCCTTGAAAATTTTCTGTTTCTTTACAGTTACGGCGATCGCTTGAATTTCATTAGCCAAATCGCGTCCGGTATGAAATATTTCGAATCCCTGAACATCCCTCATTGTGATTTGGCAGCTAGGTATAAAAAATTAAAAGTCGATAAAAATGAATAACAAACTATTTGATCCGTTTAATCTGGACATTTTTAGGAATTGCATCGTTTCTCAAAATCTGACGATAAAGGTGTCCGATCACGCAATGTTCTGTAAGAAATACGATCATCATTACTACATCGACGGATGCAACGCAAAGATTCCTCTTCGTTGGATGGCATGGGAAGCGGTTCTCTTGGTAAATGACCATTCAATTTCTTTATTTCTATCGTTATACCGTTAAAATCTTTCTGTCAATTTTTCTATCAAGGGTAAGCGTAACTGTGAAACGGACGTTTGGTCATTTGCCGTGACCGTTTGGGAGATTTGTATGGATTGTAAAGAGACGCCGTACGCTGATTTAACCTCGGAGCAAGTTTTGGAGAATTACGCTCGTTGGTACGAAGACGACGAGAATGGTTCTACCAAGAAGGAGAAAAATTCGCCTCGAATTCTTTCGCGACCCATCCATTGCTCGGACAGTCTCTATCTAATGATGAACAACTGTTGGAAGAAAGAGGCCGAGGACAGACCCAGCTTTGAGGAAATTTATCTCTACCTCGAGAGACTAGCCCTCGATTGAACTTTGATGAAAATACTCATGGTCGAGTAGCACGGACCAAATCTATTACAATCAGCTAAGAAGCATCCTGTTCATTTCATTTTTCATTTTTCAAACTTTCTACGCTCGTACGTCTGGTTTTCCTCTTAATCGTCTCGTTCGCTTCGCAACCGTCGTAGTCGTGTTATATTCGTCGCAGTCGACTCCGTCGCAGGATGCTCTCTGGCCATTAACTCGTAATGCTCAATTAGGTTTATATTCGAATCAATTTTTATGCATATAAGAGTACATAAAAATTGCGCGTGGCTCCCTCCACATTCTATGTACTTGAGAAGAAAGACGCGCGCAAAACCAAAATTTAGAAAAGTATTTTATTCGCTTTAGTTAGACGCAAATGAATTATTTACGATGGAACACCCTCGATGAAATGAATCTTTTAAAATATTTTTCTTATCTTCAAGACTGTCGTTTATTTCTTAAGATTTTCCAACATCCTTTTCGGCCTTGTTCAATGAGTAGAATACGTTTCTAAAATTTGGCATAAAATGTATTCCTACATGTACTTTGCGTACAAGTACGTACATGTAACGTGTTACTTAAAACGTAGGTTTATCGTGATTGTCGTGATTAAGCAGATCCTTTGTTTTTTTTTATAAATCATCGTATTATCGTATTCTCGTATGCTCGACTTCTCATCTTCTAGAATTTTCTAGAGAAGGATAATATCGTTTATCATCATCGTTCAGTACCTGAAACTTTTTTTTCTTAACATTCAGTAATGATTAATTATTCGACGATGCTCGATCTGTTATGTCAGTATTATTGCAAGTATTTAGCGTGCAACGAATGTCAGTATTCACGCGTCTCCGAGCGAACGAAAGAGATTTCCTCCTACATTCTAACGTTTCGACTAACGATAAGAGAAGCATTCATTTTTATCGAAATGTGCGCTGTATTTGTAATTAGACGTTAGCGAATAAGTTTGCGCGCGTTACTAGAAACGAAACGGGACAATCAGAGAATTTCGCGAACGTTGATAATTATCGATCGATTTGCCGAACGCTCGGCCGAATCAGTGATAATCGGGAAAAATTCCTACATTGTGCGACTAATATCCTAACGCGAAACGAACCGTTTTTGCGCTCGCATGCAAATCGATCGCATTAAGCGTTGGTATCGCGCGTACCTTTCTATCGAATCATTTTTCTAGATAACCGCGGTTGCGGTTCATCGAAATTTGTAATACAAATCATACGTATATCCCAGTAAAAATTATATTCTTCATATTTCCAACGTTACGGTGAATAAAAATTGTTATATACTATCTAGGTATTAATTTTAATTATAACCGATCGGAACCAGGGGAGTAACGTTTGTTTCTCGATGAAAGTCAACGAGGGGTTGCTCCCAACGTTCTTCGTAGTAAATTCCCAGAAGGAACTTTGCTCGACTACCCGTTTTAATGGCCCATGGTAGATGATGTTCGAGGTATAATTTCCTTTGCCTGAAACGCGGAACGATAAGAAACGGTCGAGTCGTCGCGGTGTTGGATGAAAAATGATTTACCTTGGACGTAATCGGTACGCTCCGAATATCGCTCCGCTCAAGCACATCGGTAAACGCAATTGCAACGCTTCAATCCACTTGACGGACACCTCCCCGAGCATCGTGGTTGGCATTAAGAGTACAGCGTGAAAAATATCGTGCATTTCTCTGTATCGTTGCATTACGTACGCCAATTCTGTATCCTCCACGAATCTGACCGAGGGTCTAGAATCAGGGGTGACGTTCTGGAAAACGGGAAAAATCTCCGTTTCGACATCCCGCTTAAAAATCGTTGAGGGACAAGCTCTTACGTTAGCATCCAAAAAATCGCGATAAGTCCTGCCAACAGTCCCCGGTGGTAAACGCTTTAGCGCGGATAGATCGATCGTCGACGAGGAAATTCGTGGCTTTTCGTCTAGGATGCGACGTCCCTCGGCGGTTGCAAGCATTTGTCGAAGACAATAGGAAAGCGCATCGGTGCCGGTCGTCTCTCCCAAACAAGCGATCATATCACCGCGGAAAGGATTAGCAAAAGATATAGCGGCTGCACCGGCTGTCAAGATCGCACGCTGCATCGGTGACAAGGAAACGCGATGTTTCGCGTAATCCTTAGCGAAATCCTTCGCGAACGACGCATCGCTGAACAATCTTCGAATCGGCCTGCCTGAAACCAACCGAGGACAATAACGATCGATCGTTTCTTTTCTTTATAAATAACATTGATTTATTTCTTTCTTTCGTTAACACTCCTTATGTATGTATGTATGTATGTATGTACAAGTTTTATCTTACAAAGGAACGCGTTGTCCATTTAAAAAATACGTTATGGCACTATAATAACCGTGTACACGTTTATCTGTTCGGTAACGAAAGAGATTCGTTTGCTTTGGTACGATGCCACTCGCGTCGGTGCTGTCGTACACGCTCGTCCCTTTTTCCTGAGCTGGCATTAGGATCAAAAAGAGAGAAGAGAAGAGAAGAGAAGAGAAGAGAAGAGAAAAGAAAATAATGAACAAAACGAGTACCGCATTCGTCGTCGAGTGAACTGAAAGAGAGGTAAGGTGCATCGCGAATTGGTCCGCTTTGCGTTCTGAACGCACTAGACGATATTAGATCATACAGCTAAAACTTTTGACGCTTGATCCTCGACAAGCGGAGAATACTTTGGTTCTACGGGCTCTCTCCTGCGGAACGTCACCCAAGTGTAAACCAAACTACCGACAACGCTCAAATTCAATCCTAAGAAATTTAGCCATGTAAATATATAATCACCGCCGATAACCATTCCGAGATAGGTAACGCATATGTTTTTTAAACATCCAATAATGGTTGTGGTCAACGCAGAGTTGTAAAGCGTACAAAGGATCATGCTGTAGGACAGGACAAAGCCCATTACGCACGAAACTCCAAATTGTACGAGGAAGAAAACGTTGCACCAATATGGAAATTCCAGGACGGAACGTGCGTCTCCCATCGAGCAAGCTAACACGATCGCCGGAACGATCATAAACAACGAATTATAGTACATGAGTCCGTATTTTCCTAGTTCCTTGTTGTCCAATTTTTTCTTCATGTAGACACCATTAACCGCGGTGAAAAAGTCGTTCAGCAGGATAAAGACATAGCCTTTGAAACTGAATGCGAGATCGTTCAATGCTGCCACTATTGCCCCGATGATCATCGTGTAGACGCTCAGCTGTACGGAGACGCGCGGCCTTGCTCCGAGAACGTAATATTCGGCGATCATCGTCATCAAAATACTGAATCGTCTAAGCGCCGTAAACATTGGAAGGCTCAGCTGCTTGGTGCCACCTAATCCAAAGATCATGTTACCGATGTAGATCACTGGTAATGGCCATATCTTGACAAACGTTGTCGCTTCTAGGTTAGGAAATTCGACGTAGCGTAACTTCTTGGCAGCGAACAGCAACACAATGGTAGCCAACATTTGTCCTATACCAAGTACTTGAAACGATGGGAATTCGAACGATGTCAACACCGTCTTATTTACGACCGTAATCATAAACGATGATAACCCATAAAACAGGGCGGAACCAACTCGTGCAAACATCACATTTTGATCTTTCAACGACATACCGATCGATCTGGTCTGCCGTTATTTAATAATCCCATCTAATTCTTCCTTTACACTTAATTTTTTTCCGATCTTTTCTCTGCAATATCAACGATACTCTGATTAAAACGAAAAGCTATTAACCATGATGGAACGTACACTGATATAACCTTATCATTCTTCTTCTTTCCTTTCTTCGTCTTCGTCTTCGCCTTCGCCTTCGCCTTCCTCTCCGTCTCCTCCAGGCTTTTTGCCACGTCTCGCCACGTCCTGTCTTTCTTCTCGATGTTCGATGCGTGTATGTAAACCAATGTAAACAACTGCACCACTGATCTAATCACCTTTCGTGACAATCAAACTTCCTTTTCTACTATAAATATATGTATGTACTTTCTCTACCGATAACCTCAACAAACTTCAACTTTACTTGAACTTGACGTATTTTCCGCAATTCCTTTACCTCCTATTTCCGCGCTCTTGCATTCGTTTACAGGCACGCGAGCCAAGAAATTACATTTCATTTTCACATCAAACTAATTATTCTTTCTTATATTAGAATAAGAATGATAAAAATGGCAGTTTCTTCTACCGACGTACCAATTCACAAATATACATATATATAGGGTCTTACTAATTTTTTTTTCATTCAATTTTATCAATTTAGAAATTCAACTATCCGTGCTCGACAAACATCATTGCATGTAATCGAATGAAATCGAACCATGCTTACCAACGATATAGCATCAAGGCCAAACTCCGAATTCCGCGTCGGTAAAACAGCCCCCAGCTGCAATTTCTATCCTCTGCTCGTCATTTCTATGAATTGGCACGTAATGGGCATTTCGAATCAGTTCAACAGAGACACTGTTCATCTATAACGTAATTCACCAGAGTCCGTAACTGCGAAAAGACCAGTTTTCGTTCTTCGCGCTTCTCCAGTGCGCATCTTCGTCCTGATTGGCGATACTCCCAAACGAAGTGGAAAGCGATTAGCAGAGAGCTCGCTGCGTTCCCCCACCATCTTCCAACCTGCGCGTCGAAATTATGGACTCTGGTTAACTGCGGTATAGTGAGGTTATTTCAATTTTTGGCGCAATGGGCGTTTCTTTCAACTTTTATTATGTAACGTTAAATAAAAGTTACAAAAACGACAAAACTATCACAATGTAAATTGCACTCGGTTTCGTTTTGACGAAACGACGAAACGACGAAACGACGAAACGATAAAATATCGGTTCAACATTAAGTTGTTGGTTATGTTTAAGAGTGTATTGGAATCTAGCAAGTATTTCCACGTTACTTTCAGTAACAGAAAATGAATCGGTAATTATTGAACAACATATTTTTATCATGGTATTTGTTCTTTGCTCGAGCAGAATTTCCCGAAGCATCTGTTTGTCGTCATTGAAATTATCTGTCACCAAGGTATCTTTGATTTATAATAAATATAATTACTTTATAAAAGTAACTGGAAGCTTTGAAATCAGTACTAATATTAATTAGTATGTAATAACTGATTGTAGTATTCCAGCGAGGCCACATCAACCGCACAAAAATTGACCGCAAAAATTGAAAAGCATCGGAAAACTTTACCGAACACGAAAAGTTTACAGGGTCGGACAGTTTCGTCAGATTTAATCGATTCTGAGGATGATCGAAGGTCCGTTGTATCTGTGGCCTCTAGAGAGGATGAAATTGAGAAAGGACCGGTTTCAAACGATCAACGAGAATGGCGATACGTGGAATTGGATTCTAGGAAACTTAAAAGGCATTGCCTTATGCTATCCAAGATTAGATTGACTTGTAAGTTGAATCCAAGTATAACACGATTGGTATGGATCCAGTATGAAAATTTTCAAAATAAAATAACGTATAAAGATTACTTATATTTTAGCATTGGTAGTAATAACAACGATGAGCGGATACGCGCTAGCTCCCGGACCTTTTGACGTTTCTACGTTTGTCGTATGCTCTGTTGGAACTGGGTTAGTTTCGGCAACAGCAAATGCTATTAATCAATTTTTTGAAGTTCCTTTCGACGCCCAGATGTCAAGAACGAAAAATAGAGTATTAGTCAGAGGTCATTTAACGTACGTATCGTGTATGATTTTAATATTAAGAAAATTCCGCTACTGGTCTGATTAACGAGAAAATTTCTCCACTAGCCCAGGTCAGGCAATATTTTTTGCTGCGGTATCGGGTGTCACTGGACTGGTATTATTATATAGTCAAGTTAACGGATTAACAGCCGCTTTGGGTGCTGCTAATTTAGTTCTTTACACGCTTGTATATACTCCGATGAAACGAATTAGTATTTTAAATACGTGGGTAGGCTCTATAGGTGCGTATGTCCAAAGCGGAGCAACGCTTTGCTCTCTTGACTGACAACGCTATTCAAAATTACTTTCGGTTTTGCTTAGTTGGAGCTATACCACCGTTAATGGGCTGGGCTGCTTGCGTCGGTGATATAACATCTCCTGGTGCTTGGATAATGTCGGGACTATTATATGCATGGCAGTTCCCACATTTCAACGCTCTCTCGTGGAATTTGAGACCGGACTACTCCCGCGCTGGTTACAGAATGATGGCAGTCACGAATCCGAAACTTTGTCGAACAACAGCGTTGCGTTACACCGCTGTATTAACGAGTCTTTGTTACTTGGCACCTGTTTTAGATGTGACCAATTGGTGGTTTGCCATCGCATCGACCCCGCTAAACGCATATTTTCTTTACCTTGGTACGTCGATACATGTATGTATGTATGTATGTATACCGTTTAATCAGACGAAATTAATGATCCAGGAACATTTTCTTTTCCAGCTTGGAAGTTTCATAAACGCTCTGATAGTGCAAGTTCGCGCAAACTTTTTCACTTTTCGCTGATCCATTTACCCGTGCTCATGATATTCATGCTTGTAAATAAGAAACGTTGGTACAACGACAAGAAAGAGAAGGGAGGCTCGATGATTCACGAAGAAAAAGAGAGCAACGTTTACAGAATTTTAACAAAACTGATTACATCTTGTACAACATCGTAACGGTGACGATGACTACGATGTACGTAGAAATCGTTAGAATAGTGAATTATTTAAGCCAGCTGTGGCGCACGTACGCATCGTGTACAAAGAGAGGGAGGAGTCTGCAACAAGAAAACCTGTCGATAAAATATTTTGTAGCATAACTATAAAAATTGTAAATAGTAATAATGAGATTAAGTGTACGATCGCGTTACGTGTCGTTGTTGGTAAATGATTATAGTTACCAGTTGTTCACGAATAACCAATATATTTGATGCCTTTCTTGACAATTCGTCGTACAGCGGCAGGGGAATGAAACTTGTAAAATGGAGAAATTAAGCGTGGTATAGAACTGTTGTAGTCACAATGTCCATTCTATCAGGTGTATTTTTAACTTGATATCAAATTTTCCCATGATCAGCCTGAACATACATACATCCATAGAAATGTGCATATATACATGTACACATAATAATTATTTAGCTTTTATTTATAATTTAAAATATTATAGGATGTCATATCTGATCGTGGACAGTTTTTCGTTTCGCAGCGAATTCTATCGCCATCTGTCTCCTAGTTTTAGTTAAATTTCTATGTCCGATACAATCAAGATTTTCCGTGAAACATTTGTTTCTACAGCACTGGCGGCACAATTTGTGAACACACTTCAGACCCTGCGAGATTAAGATAGAAGATTATAATAGAATTAAGAGATTTCATTGGAGGTAGTGAAAATTAGAGGAAAAAAAAAGAGAGTGAAATTTTGCAAACCACTGGATTTGGACAATCGTGACACAATTCTGATCCTCTTTTGATAACAACGGTCGGCCTGTTGGGACGACGCGCTATCCGTCTAAGTTTCTTTAAACGTTTTCGCGATATTTCGTTTCCATCGTCGTCTTTGAATTTTCTCTTGATCGTTTCTTCTCTCTGCTGTGCGATCATAGAAAATATAAAACCGATAATACCTACAGTGTATAGACGAAACGTTACGTAACGAAAATACTAACAGTTTCGAGCTTTCCCGTTTCTAACTTCCGTACACACTCTTCCGGAAGATGACGCGCGTAAGGTTGACACAGCCATGGAGGTAGTTCCAAGTTATAATCTGAAAAGGGTAGGAAAACGTGAATGCGGAGCAGACGATCGCTTTTAAAGCGATTAAATGGGAACGTAGGATAGATGAACAACGCGTAGAAGAGAAGATGAGGAGAATACAGACCGGATGTTTCTTGCTGCCACCTTAGGCGTCCTTCGTGATAAGGTAGATATCGATCCCTTAGAGTATACACGACACTTTTGAAAGATTCCATGCTGGAGTTTCTGGCCAAATTTTCTCTTTCTTCTTTATTTTCTGCTAAACAAAGTCTACTCTCTAGTTAAAAACATGCTGAACGCATAAATCGACTTGTGTTTGTAATTTACGATACGATATAAAGATCTTTCGGCAAACAATAGGAAACAATAGAAAAGCCTCGTTATGAAAACTGGTACATACGTGTGTTGGAATAATTTAAAGAGATGACCACGAATGTAAGAGGCCGGGGCTGGATAACGTTCCACTAAATCTAAATATTCCAACGCTGCTTCCCAACTGGGCGGGTAACGAGCTTCGAATATAAACGGATTATAAAGATTGCCTTCCGCCGACATTACACCGTGAACGCCAGTTTCCTCCATACATTTTTCCACATCTTGCAGAGATTGTATGTTGCCATTGGCAAATACTGGAATCCTAACGGCTTGCCTAAACGTTTGAAAGCCAAGATGAACGAGAAAGCAAGCAAGAAAGGAAGGAAAGTGAAATATACCTGACAGCTTTAATGTGATCCCAAGACGCGAGACCGGTCAACGGACCTTTCTGCTCTCTGGTCCGTCCATGAACGGTAAGCAATCGTGCACCAGCGTTCTCGAGCATTCGAGCGTATTCGACCGTTTTCTCGATCTCTGCAAATACTCGCAACTTGCAAGTTACCGGTACTCGTAGACCCTTGCTCAAGGTACTTACTGCAATATTGTATACATATTTATGAGAAAGAATTCACTACATATGTAACAACAACAACAACAACAACAACAACAACAAACCTATTCGTCGAAGCAAATCCCAGTCGTCTTGAAGAAAAGCACCGTAACGTCCACGTTTAGCGATCGCTTGTGGACAACCGATATTTACATCGACCGCGTCGCAGTACGGTTCGGCCAAAAGCGCCGCTTCCAGTAACGTGTTTGGATCGTTTCCACAAAACTAGAAGAAAAGCAAAGAGATATAATATAAAAGAGGCGAATTAGAGGAAAATTAATCGATCCAAAAGAAAGAGCTACCTGAACGATCAACGGCCGATCTTCGGCCGTACTAGCCAAAGCTTCTCGTCGATATTTCGGATCTCTGCAAAAGACCGAAGAGTGAAGCATCGGTGTGTAACAAAGATGGGCACCGTGACGACGACTCAACAATCTCCAGGCTAATTCGCTCGCGTCCACCATCGGCGCGACGATGTATCGTGGAGAACCCAATACGGTCTCCCAAATATTAGCTGGTTCAGCGAGGGCAGCTGAAACCGATGACATCTACGAAAACGGTATTAAAACTGGTTATTTACGAACGAGATCCTCTTTCTTGCTTTCTTGCTTTCTTTCTTTGACGAATCGATAAAGTTTCATGAAAGGAACTTGACAGAACGAAACGTGAAAAAGATCGAAACGAATTTCAGACAAACAAGGGATAGAAGAGTGGTGGTGGTGGTGGTGGTGGTGGTGGACGGATCTCAGATTCCCGATGAAGACGGGACGAATCGATCGATTCGCGGAGAGGAGGAAGAACGCGTTGAACGGGCAGAAGAAGGTGAAAGAGGAGAAGAACAAGAGGATCGCGGAGTTACGGATTTGGAGAATTCCGATTCCAAGATGGGAGACAGTCTTATAGACTGTGTCACGTGCGAGTTCAGTTTTAATTTTGCTCTCTTCCGGAAGGAGAAAGTCCGACGAGGTCTGGTATACGAGGAGCCGGCGACCGAAAGTTCGTTCAAAGAATAACGCAACGGAGGAAGTCTGCTCGGTGGTGGTCGAGGCGCGGAAATCGCAGTCGTTTCGAGAAGCTCGCCGAGCGAGACGGTACTCTCGAGATTCATTTTGATTTCCGTTCTTCTACACTGATTCGAATCGTCTGTAGACGACGCTGCCGCCGCCACCGCAATGTTTTCCTTTGACGCGCACACACTGCTACGGGAGGCAGAGGAGGAGGATCGCCGCCGGCGACGTCGATGTCGATTCCTCTTCAGATAAGTTCGTAAAAATTTGCCGATTCGTTCGACGGTTTCGCAGGAAGTGGTCGAGACGCGTAACGAATCTAACGAATCGACTCGGCGGTCGTCGGTAGATGATCGTTTCTTCTGTTCGTTCCTCTTCTGCCCGGTGGAACGACAATGCACCGCTATCGAATTGGCAGCGGCAAAACAGCAAGAAACTGGCGAAGGCGAAGAGGAGCCGGTGGCTCGGATGCCAACCGAATCATGGGACGGTGGTATGGTTGCGCGTGGTGGTTTGTCGTTTGATTCAGACTGGTGCTCGCGTTTCGGCAGACACAATCGAAAGTTTTTCCTTTGGTCCTCCCGTTGCCGATGAAACGACGATTCCGTTTCGATTTCATTCGACGACGATTCCCTTGTGTCGATCTCGACGTCGATCCGCCTATTTCGTCTGTCGCAATGCAAGCAAGAATCCATGTCGGCGGATACGAGCCGACGAATGTCGCGTCGAATAGTTTTCGAGTCGGAAAGATCGATAGGTTCGGCGGTGGTCGAGTTAGCCGCGACCAAGGTGTCAACGGTTTGAGTAGCGATGGCGGTCGCGATAACTGTAGCGGTCGCTGTGGCGGTAGCGGTGGCGGTGGCGGTCGCGGTGGCGGTCACGGTCGCGGTAGCTGCTGCTGCGGCGGCGGCAGCTGCGGCTGCGGCAACCGCCACGGCGGCTGCAGTCGTCACCGTGTTTCTCTGCCGTTTCTTTCGCACGTATTCGTAGGTGGTTAGACCGAGGCAAGCGATGTAACCGTGAAACAGGCACAGGTGAATCAAAAGTATCGCCGTGATCGCGGAAAGAATTCCGATCGCCGAGACGAGTAGGACGGAGACCGCATCGGAGACTGGGGTGATCGTCGGCACGGCGTGTCCGCTCGCATTCGAAACCTGAAGCATCGCAAAACGGTCAGGGGAGAATGAGAGCAACAGTTCCGTCGCGGAAAGACCAGCGATAAACAGGCTGGCTAGAATCGCGGAAATCAAGCAAACGAGGAAAGCTGTATAGTTTCTAGCCCCGATACAATTGTTCAGCCACTTGCAATGATGGTCAAATCGGACGATGCATTTGTTACAGATCGAACAGTGCTTGGTCCTCTTGCTGTCGGTGGTGATATTGCACAGATGACACCTGCCGTTCTCGATCACGTGCAAATGTTTTCCTCGATCGAATTCCGGTATGATTTTGTTTGTAGGCTGAGACCTGACTCGCGGATCCGCCGGATCTAACAGAAGCACAGTCAAGTGAGAGAAAAAATGTGTTAAGAAAATCGCCGAGATCACGATCGAGAAGATTGATCGTAAGCTCGGACCAAGAAGCGGCGTTATTATCGCAAACGTGTTTACCACGATTACCAAAATCACGATCCAACCAACCACTTGCTGTGGATGTAAAGGCAATTGAAGTCCGTGTACGCGGCGGAATTTTCTGCGTTCCGGTGTCACGAACGCGTTTTGAGACGAACACCATTTTGATAAAACGCCCTTTGTGCTTCCGCTTCTTCGCATAACTCTCCTCCTCTCCTTTTACCAGCTACCACTACTCGCTACCAAATTATTCCTTTCCTCGCTTATCCACCATTTTCCTCCCTTTCTTCTTTACTTTCATTCTCTCCTCTCTTTACGACACTCCTTCGCCTCTTCGCCTTTTCGCCTTTTCGCCTTTTCCAACATTTTCTCGCGCTATCAGCGACAATCTTGTCGTACCACCTCGGACCACTCGTTCTCCTCCACGTCCACGTCGACGTTGAAACGCTCCAAGCGACGCAACGTCGCGCGTCTCTCTTCGAGAATTCTCGGTAAAACTCGCTCGTATATTCCTTTTCGTCCAACTATGCTTTGCCTACTACAATTCCATTCGTCGGATCGATACTCGCATGGCAACCCATCCGAGTAAACGACCTGAAAAATTTCTCTCGGAATCAGATTTTCCATGAATATTCTCACGTAATCACGTAATTTCGGTCCTTGACAAATCTCGATCCTTTGCCTCGACCACCGTTCTCCTCTTACAAATACTATGTGTGTGTGTGTGTGTGTGTGTGTGTGGGTGTGGGTGTGTTGCGCGTGCGCTTGCCCGTGCCCGAGCCCGTGCCCGTGCCTTTTCTCCTATTTAGTCACCTATTTAGCCACGTACGCATCCATTCTCCTTTTACGTGCTATAATAAATATTAATATTATACTAAATTTTCAAATATTTTATATGCCTAATTTGCCAATCTATTGTTCCAATTTAAATCAATATAACCCAAACAAATGTTAGTATCGATCGTACTTATACATATGTATACATGTACCTTTTTTTACAACTTGATGCCATTTTAAATAGACTAAGAGTCAATAATAATTTTACCATCAACTTATTATTATTCTTCTCAATACCTTCGTTTGCAATAAATTTATCATTTCATTTACGATTAAACCATCATTCGAATAGAAATAGCCTAAATATATATTTATTGTACATTTTACATTTATTTTATACGCTTCTGTCAATTTTTTACCATTCAGGGAATCGTGTAAGTTCTTTCGAAAGTTTACTTTTTAACGTAACGACGAACATATCGTTAACCTTTAGAAAAAAAAAGTAGTGCATGTTTTTGTAATATATAGATAATACATAAAAAATTGTATTGTAACTGTGTCATTTTTAAAATAAATGTATAAACTAACCTTACACTCGAATCTCCGTTTATAGGTTAACCTCAATTCAGAGTTTACGTAATTTTAATACAGTGCCTGCTGATCCAACTGTATTCTGCAGTACTTTTCTTATGTATTACGTACTCTTATCGAGCGATGAAATTAACAGCATTTAAAAATAATTCTTGTTTATCACGAATTACAGAACTTTATTTATTGTATGTACATCTAACATTTCCAATCACCGACAATCATTAATTGAAGGTGGTCGAAAGACACGTTTTCAAAGGTACTATCGGAAACATCGATATATATCGATATATCTATAAAAGTTAAAGTTGAAGTTGAAGCATAGGTTTGCTATGGTTTGGTAACAGACGCCAGGAGTCAGGAGCTTGAACGCTTGAAGCGTAGTTGGTGTCCGATTTTTTCGTTCCTGTTCGTTCATGTCAATGGGAAAAAGTGGGAAAAAGTATTTCGTTATTTCCATTATAATCTTTCGTGTCATTGAACAAATATATTTGAATTTTACTCTCACTATGTAAATTCGTAAAAATGACTGGTTTGTTTGCATTTTGTGCAATCTGTTTTGTTCTCTACTGTAATTTTACTTGGTAAGGTTAATGAGCAACTTGAATCTGTTAATTTTATCGTTGATATTATATAATTTTTATATAATTTTTTCTTTTTTTATTGTTACTTTTAGGGTAATCCCGAGATTTATAGCGTGGTTAGTCAAAAGACGATACAAGATTTATTTGCGAGTTGGTCATATCTCGTTACCGTATTTTATACTTCGAGACGTAAATATTTCAAAAAATGGTTTTACGTTGGTATGTTGTACTCTTATGCTGTGTCATTCTTTAAAAACCTATTTAGAAATGTTTCATCGGTTCGAATATATTAACACGTGGAAATTAATTTCAGCAAATCGAAGAAATCAGCATACGCAGTAGTTTGTTTAGCAGCGATGTTGCAAAATTACTGGCAGTAATCATGAAAGATGTGCGAGTTAACAAGGATGTTCCAGTTAAATCTGTACGAGTGGCAAAAAGACGGACAAAATTAATGGATTTTCGAAACAAGAGAATCCCACCTATAATCATAACTTTTGTACAAGTATATAGATTACGTTTTATTACGTCTTTTACATTTAAGTCATTAATTAGTTACTATTATTATATCATTTTAAATTTAGAAAAGTTTAATTAGAGTTGTTTCAAAATTTTCTAGTTTATGGCTGTGCACGTAGAAAACTTGAGCCTTTTAATTTTGGGTAACGGCTGGTTGGCAAACGGAAGCGCGGAAAGCGTCAGTTTCGATGGTAGCGTCGTTCATGGAGCTCGTACTCTTCTCGCGTCGGCTGCCGTTATAGGTGGAGCTATGAAATTGTTACGGCACGCATCGGACGCGTGTCTGTCACAGATATCCTTTGCCGGAACGGCCGAAGCTACTTTGAAAGCGCAAGGAGAACTTTCCGTAGAGGTAAGAAAGAAGAGTGGTGGTCGGTGGAGGAGGTATATCCGCATGTATTGTACAACTGTTTCAAGGTGTAAATTGCGAGAGCTGTAGAATAACGATAGCGATACTCGAAAGAGTATTGTAGCTCAATGCTTTGAACGGTAGCTATTTGTGTTTAGCACACATAACGGATGTTCCTGAACAACTGTCCTTTGAAATGGGATTAAATTGGAATCAAGCAGGATCTAATTTATAGAAATTGTACATCGGAATAACGCAGACAGAGGGTTCTGGAGGAGCAGGTCTCGTTACCTTCTTCAAAGATAGAAGTTCCTTAACCGCTACAACTCCGTATTCGGATGTACGCGTTGATTCGTCGAACGATTTATTGGCTCGATTGGCACCGGTTATACCAAAGGTAAATTTCGTACAAAAGAAAATCCAAGTTTAGTTAAAAAAAAAGAAATATTTCTTGTCGAATCTTTCAGGATTTCGCATTGAAAATAGGTAATTCTTCTGTAATCACGGGAGGAGAGGACGGAGTGGTAGTTGGTTTAGAAGGGGTAATGAAGGGCCTTCAAGTTAGCACAAAGTTTCAACCATCTGATCCACAATTAAATCTTACGTTAAATTTGGATGGTCTGTCAGTTCGTAGTAAATTTCCTGTCTTAACTTTACGATCGTTAATAATAAACGCAAAGGTATGCATTATTATACTATTATAGTAATATTTCTGGTAATATTTCTGGTAATATTTCTGGTATTGTACAGGTAGAAGAGAATATTTTACAAATTGCTACGCAAGTCAATAGTCTTTCCGTCATTTATGACCACAAAGACTGGGAGACGGTGTTATGTAGCAGCGATAACAAAGTTTCAACACCTGTGGCCAGTATGACGTTGAAAAAGAAATTACCGTGGTTGGATATAAGAGTGGACACTGAACTCTACGATTCGTCGTTATGCGTCAAGTTGTTGGACGTTCACGAAGCTTCGTGCGGAGTAGCTCATATGAAATTTTCTATAAACACGCTTACAGGCACGACACTGTATATATACATATATGTATAAAACGCAATGCGTGTTAAAAGTTGATGAAAATTATTTTCTTTACATTTGGATCATTTTATAGAGACCGACGACAGTTGGAACACAGAGTTGGTTGTGGAATCACTGTATTGTACTTTAAACGGTTCTAATACTGTTACTTTGGAAACGTCTCATCAGTGGGGGACACCTTTGTCCGTTGGAGTATTATTAGCTACAACGCGCACCAATGCCATAGGAATTGCCGTTGACACTCTGGTAACCGAATGGAGCTTGGAACTTGCCAGATTTCTTCAAGAGGCTTACAAGTAAGAGGAATTCTAACGAATAAGCGTAAAATACTGACAATATTTATGCTCGTTTTACTAAACTGATTTCACAGATGTTGTCAAAGATACAACAGCAAGAGAGCCGAAACAATGAAGCAGGCTAGAGATGATTCGGACAATGTTGCTCAATTAAATCTGAAAATTACCAATTGTAATTTATTCTTTATCGCAGAAAATAATCGTATGTATATTATTTAATTATTTAAATGGATCAGTTTATTATGTGTATGTAAAGGGAGTAAGAAAGTTTGTTTGTTTGTTCGTTTCATAGTATCCATTATGGTGCGTTTGGATACTGCGAATGTAGAACACAACACGAAGCGGCTGGTGGCCGTAACAGAGGGTGTAAGCGCAATAACGTTGAATAAGAATGAACCAATTATTTGTCAACACGCTCAAGCGTTAGCACATCCATTTTTAGCTATAAGAAAATGTAAAGGTGCTGTCACTTCTGAAATGATAAATATTAGTTTGGACGGTACCAGTTTCGCTTGGAGTCCAAATTTACACCTTCGTCTGCTGCAACTTTGGTTAGAGTCGGCAGACTTTCGATCCATTATAGATGAAGATGCATCGAAGATCGGTATTCAAGGTGTTTAGTTTATTATATATAACGCAATTTCATACATATCTATTATCGATGACATACAATGACGATGGTATACGTAATTTCGAGTTTCAATTTTGTCGACAGGTGAAAGAATGGAAAAACAGAGACGAGTGATAGACGTATTGGCAACTAGCGGCATCAGTCTGTCCATAGACATTTCTCCGAAACACTATTTGGAACTTTCGTCGGATCAGTTGCGTTGGTCCCAAGGAGAATGGAAGTTGAATTATGTACGAGTCGCGTTGGATATGGCTGACATAATTATGATAGAAGGTTTCGAATTAGTTCGAGTGTTTGATAACAGAGAAGTGCGACTCGAAAGGCAAAGTAACGAAGGTTTCGTCTTGGATTGGAACAACCAGACTTGGATGCTTAATATCGAATCGATAAAAGCTTGTTTCCCGTACGAGCATCAGTTCACGGACGCGATTCAAAACGAGCTGTTTAGTATAAAGAAATGGCTGAAGGAAATTCATTCAGGCTCGAGCGGCAAAAAAGAGAGGAGGCCGTTACCTTGCGATTTGGTGATAAAGGTATGTTAATATTATTTCTTAACGAACAGATTTAAACGGTTTCTCTATATCTTGTTGTATTGTAGATCAAAGAGTGGGTATTTGAGGTGAGCGACGATCCGTTCGAAGTACGCTTGCGGGATAATTACGAACTGTTGGAAGACGAGTACAAGGAGAGCTTGAAACGACAAGCGATGCTCGATGCAAAAGTACAAGAACTTTGTCGAGCTCATTTGTTACTTCCTCAGGGCAAAGTCGAGGAATTGTACGATAGTTTGAACAAGAAAAACGCTGAAATTTATGTACAAAGGTGGAAGCAAATGCAACGCGCCGGTCCCGCGAGAACGCGGTTGTTCGCCTGGTCTATGTTGGACATTGAGATATTAGCGTTGGCTGATCCGTCGATCGATGGTACGGAAAACGCGACGAAGGCTCTTCGAGAAATGGACGCGGAAACTCCCTGGCCCGAGGATGGTCTCGAATTCAATACGCTCTGGGTCAGAGGGATTAGCTTAAAGTGCGCCGAATGGAAGCTACAATTACGAGATTTTCCGCAACCGTTGCTTTTGGTGGAAAGTTTAAGCGTATGGGGTAGATTGGCCGGCGCGGAGGCTTTAGCACCACCGAGAGCCAGGCGAACGGTGAGAATCGAAATCGGCGCACCTTGGGAGGATATCGTCGTGGAAAGGGGCATGACCTCGTTAAAGTACTATCACGATCTAAATTGGGACATTGACAAGTTCAGGTACGCGTTCGGTCCGTGTTGGGAGCCGGTAATAGCCCAATGCAATCTCAGTTTCGAGAAGATAATACATCCGTCGAGAGATCCGAGTCCTTCGTTGCCGTTCTGGGACAAGATGCGGCTAGCTCTTCACGGAAGGTTAACGCTTTGCGTGAAGCAACTTACGGTTCTGTTGCACGGTTCCCTCGATCCGTACAATACCACCGAGGAGATGGAACTGACCTGGACCGAATTGGAGCTCGATTGGACGCAGGGAAGAATCGTGGTGAAAGGAGATTTGGACGTTTACGTTCGTACGGCCAGCAAATACGACGACTGTAGGTTACTGCATTTACCAAACGTACGTTTCAGTATTAAATTAGCCTGGGTTTGTTTGGGCGATCCGAGAGACCATCATGCCGCTATACCTTGTGCCCCGGATCGATTGCCGGAATATTCGAGTAATCAGGAGCACGATTCGTTCAGAGCGTTTCGTTCGCAGAATCTAAACGTTAGCCTGTCGCTCGAGACGAAACCGACCGAATCACCGGCGTTGGCGAGCGCTCCGACCGCGTTACTCTACGGTAGTACCCTCAGATGGTTTGAAAATTTAAAATTCATTCTATCCGGAGCGACCAGACCGACCAGAAAAGGGCCGCTCTTCAAAAACATTCGACCTCGAAGGAAACAATTGAGCAGACACTACAGAAAAGTACGATTAACTTTGGCCTTTCATCGGTTTCACGTCAGTTATTGGATGTCGTTCGCGATGCAACGCGGATTCGAGGTAACCGGCGGACGAGTGGCCTGCAGCAGCGAGCACAATTTGTCCCTGCATCCGATCGACGAGGACGGTTTGATACATCGGCCGAGAGCGGAATGGTCGGTGGTGTACATGAATTGCGAGCTCAGCGACGCGGAGATCTGGCTGAAAAGCGCGCTCCACGAGGACAAGGAGAGCGCTTCGTTGCGGCAACCGGTTGAAAAGTGTTACTGTTTAAGCGTTGCACGCGTTAGTTACGGTAGGGAGGCGGCAATGGTAGCGGGTGTAAGCGGAGGAGATACTCCTACCCATAGGCTGGTCGTGCACGACTTGAAAGGTGCCTGGACGAAAACGAACAGAGACGTCGCGTTTGCCCTCTTCGATTCTTTCATAAAGACTCAACAGCTTAAGAAGAATCTGTCGACCGCCGCGCTGAAAGGGTTTCACAGGGAAAGGGAAACGACCAGTTCATCGTCGTCATCGTCATCGACATCGCACAAGAATCATCGAACTCGATCGGTCGAGGTACAAAACGCAACTACGCAAATCAACTCGAGCTCCGCGACGAAACCGCAGCAAGGAGAGGCTGTCGGGATGCTGCAGAGATTGATTGCCGAGGCCGCGAATAAACCGGTTGCCTTTAGCGACGATTTATCGGTACAAACGAGAGGCCAACAACTCCGTGGATTGGCAGCTTGTCATCAAGATGACGTGTTGCACAAAAATTGGCTAAGTATGCCAATTTATGGGAATTTAACTTGACGAGGCGTATGTACGCATTTTCATATTTATTTTTCTTCTTTGCAGTCGCTTTGGTAAACAGTCAGGTGTTGCTGAAAGGTATCGAGACACGAGGCTACGTGATTTTATCGGCCGCTAAAGCCGAAATATTACAAAGGATTCATCAACCTGTATGGAAGGAGAGAACTTTAGTGTCAAAGACAACGTGGGTAGGCTCGTTGGAGTGTATGCAGTATTACGCGACCGTTAGCGCCAACATCGACGAGAATATCGACGATAATATTATGTGGTTGACTTTGGATAATATACAAGTAAGTTCTTCTTCTCTTTACAATTGGTTGAAAATTGGTTGAAAATTGGTTGAAAATTGGTTGAAAATTGGTTGAAAATTGCTTCAAAATTGAATTCCTTAGGAGAAAGATTCGACGCAGGTAATAGCCGGTTTACCGGATGTACCGGCGCTAGTTGGTTCCGGTCAGAGCGTCGGCGGTGTGGTAAGTCAGACGGTCGGAGGTGGTGGCGGGCCTCAACATCAGCTGCAACGAATCGTTTCGAGATGCAAATGCGAGTTCTTTTACGTTGGTTACGGCCAAGCGTTGGACGTTGGCTCGATCGATCAAGTTCCTCCACCGCCGAGAGAAGAAGTAAGCCCGTGGGAGAGGAAAGATCTCTCGGCGGCTGACGCGTTCACCTTGATGCATCACGATTTGGATGTGTGCACCAATTCGTTGCAATACGCTATGATTCTCGATATCGTGAACAATTTGTTATTGTACGTGGAACCGAGACGGAAGGAAGCATCGGAGCGATTACAGCGAATGAGATTTCAATTGCAGTTGCATTCGGTCGAGGATCAAAAACGTCCGATTCAACAATTACAAAACACCGTGCGCGGTTTGGTAGCGAAACTAAGGAGGCTGGAACGCGAGACGTACTTGGTGCAAAAGGCTCTTGCCGAGGAGTCCAGTCCCGAGTTGTTGACAGAAATGGAGCGACTCGAAGCAAGAGTTTTCGAATGTAAAGAACAGCTTGGCGCGAAAGCTGAAGAACTAGATGTGATGTTAAGCTGTTACAAGGAAACAACTGCTCCGGCCACAGCTTCCACCACGTTGAAAGATAAACCGGCAGCAGTCGCTAGAGTCGCTGAAATTTGCTTCAAACACGCTCAGTGGAGGTTGACCGATGCAGACGGTCAATTGGGTATCGCCGATCTAATCTTAACTAATTTCTTGTATACCAAAACCAGCAAAACCGACGACTCGGTCGAACATCTTCTCGAATTAGGATACGTTAGAATGACTAATTTATTACCGAATCAAATCTATACGGAGGTACTGACACCAACGGAATTACAAAGCAACATGCCCGTTGACAGGCAGAGAGCTCTTCGAGTTTTCTGCAGGGAGAAGGCACCGGTTGCTGGAATATCGGTGAAAGAACATTTTGAAATTAACGTGGTTCCTTTAACGATTGGTAATTTCCTATCTAACGCTCTTTCCTTCGGTATGCAAATCTTATACATACTATACATATGTATATCGTTTTCCTTTAGGATTAACGAAAAAATTTTTCAATACGATGCTGAAATTCTGTTTTCCCGAGAGAGATCCGGAAGGAATAGAGGAACCACCCGCGCCGCAACGGGATTCCTCTTTCTACGTACCGATCGAAAGAAGAGACGACGTAGAAAAAATGAAAGAAAGGGCAGATAAAAATAAACTATTTATATATATTAAAATACCCGAAGTACCCGTTCGTGTTTCTTACAAGGTATACATACATATTACCATCTATCTATAGAAATTAGTAAAAAGATACAGACAAATTTCTTCTATAGGGAAATAAGGAGAAAAATTTGGAAGACGTTCGTGATTTTGCTCTGGTAATACCTACCTTGGAGTATCATAACGTCACTTGGACGTGGCTTGATCTTCTTTTAGCGATGAAAAGTGATTCTAGACGCGTAATATTGAGTCAAGCTATTAAGCAAAAGCTACAGATCAAGCCAAGAGGTCCGCAAGAAGAATCCGCTCCGCAAGAAGAAGATAAAGCTCGACTTTTATTGGGTGCAAGACATTTACCAGGTGATGCCAGAAAAAAAGGTGTCTTTAAATTTAAATAGCCTCTGCTGTTTCTCTACCTTGATATATTTTTCATTTACACAAAAAATCAGTATTCTAATAAAATATTTAATACAAAAGATGGTATTGGTGGTGCGCATTTAGTTGCTAAAGCAAACTAAAACATTTCTACCATTTATTAGTTACTTGCAATTTCGTATAATTCGCCTCATCTATTTAACTGCAACCTAAATAGTAGTATATCAACCGAATATACTGTATCTTTTCATGTATCTTGCACTTACAGATACGCATCGTTCGATAATAACCGAAATAATGCTAACCACTATGTGTTCCATTTCTCTATTCGTTTTGTCTTTCTTACAATTAAATAATTATGTCTTTGTAACGTCTTAAAATATTTGTACATAATTATTTTAACTTATAATCACACATTTCAAGCTACAAACGTAAACGTACTTTGTGTACGAATGACTGACGATTCTATCTTACTATCGAGTACATTCATTTCATTTCATTTCATTTCATTTCATTTCATTTCATCTCATTTCATTATATTCTATTGTATTGTATGTATGTATAATCGTAATCATTTCTAACGTTTTAATAACTATCAGAAATATTTTGTTACATTCCAATTGTAAGTTTTTTCCGTTACAAAAATAAATGATACGTTCGAATAATGTTCAATAAGTACCAACTCGTTAAATATTTACAGATTGTAAAAACGAGGCATCGTTAAAAACTAATCAACGGAGCCTCTGCAGCTTTTCTCGTATGTCTCCATTCGTTTAAATCGGCTAAAATTCTTCTACCGTACATAGTATGCAATTCGCGAAACGTTATCTTCGTCCTTGGAATATTTTCTGTTCTACCAGGTGCAGATCTGACGCTTTGCGAACGATGATGCATTTCTGATCTGTTAAAAGGATTATGCCGTTGTCTTGGTGGTGCTTTAGGGGACTGAGAGGGAGCGGTAACCATTGTTGTCTCCTCCTCTGCAGCATCCAATTGTCTTTGCAATTCTGCTACCATTAATTTCATGTAATCGTAACTTGCACATGCCAAAGCTTTCATCCACTGTTCCATAGATTCCTGAATACAATATTTAAGTGAATTCTATTGTATCGAATATATATATATATATATATATATAGAAATAAATGGATTTTCTTTTTTTTTTTTTTTTAAATACCTTTACCTGAGATTCTGCTGCAAGGGCATAATTTCTGTTATTTGGTCCATGAAATACAATTTGAAAACCAAATTGCTCTTCGTCTTCTGCTAGTTCGATAGTACAACCTTCGAGGACTATCATACCTACAGGCTCCTTGTCACCGCGTCGATCGAAATAAAATAATATATTTCCTTTAAGAACAAACCATCTTCTTTGATAGCCACGATTTAATTCACCACGTTTGTTTAACCAACCTTCACGATCTACTGGTGTTGCCGAAGTCGCGAAAGCTACCATGTTTTTCTCGTTTATTTTCATTGCATTTGAAATTGTTCTGTTATGTAGGTAATTGTAAAAGAATTTTCAATAGATTCACTGTTGAAATAAATTTCACTTCTGCTTCAAACTGAATTATTTATAACCTTCTATATACCTTACTGAACAACTTTAATCATTCTGGTTACAGTAATAGATATTATATACACTATTTTCAATATTACGATACATCGTTAAAATACTCGGGTTCTTTTTTTTCTTACAAATTTTACAGTATCTTCTGTAACAATAAATGTATGTAAATATGTAAATATATATGTATTTACGCAAGTAAAATTGAGAAAAACTTGACGTAACACTGCTACATTCACAATTGCGCTAACCTTTCTTGACGTTAAGGTTTAGTGGTAAGGGTAGTCGGTAGTGGCAGTATACATATGTATAGTACCAGAAAGGTAAATTTTCTACGCGTTGATGTCTATTAAAATCGTTGAAAGAGGAAGAAATAATTAATTAATCGAAACGCACTTATTTATCTAAGAAGACAAAATGGGAAAAGGGTTTAATAATTACATGTGCAAAAAGTTTTTTCATCCAGCATCTCGAGATAACTTAAAACGAGTAAGCATCTTTACTTTCTATGTTTTTGTAGGTTATCTCTGTTTTGTGCAACTAAATTCACAATTTTTCTCATTTTTCCTATTTCTCATTAGGTATGGATGGCTGAACAGCAGGCTGAAGCATATAAGAAAAAACAAGAAGAATTGCGCGTTCAGTATGAAAAAGAACAAGATCTTCATAATAACAAGTAAGATAGTTAATGTGAAATAATTTTAGGTTTTTTCTTCTGTTTTTTTTTTTTTTATTTTTTTTTTTATTTTTTTATATAACAATATTATAACGAAATGTTTGTTATAGAGCTTTATTAAGTAAAGAAAGTAAAGATAAGCTAAGCGTAAACTTCATGTATGAACCACCACCTGGAGCAAAAAAGGAAAGAGAAAAAGAAGATAACGAACCAGAATATAAGTTTGAGTGGCAACGCAAATATAATGCACCACGAGAAAGTTACTGTAAAGGAGACAGTGAAATAAGAGATCAACCGTTTGGTATTCAAGTGCGTAACGTACGTTGTATTAAATGTCACAAGTGGGGACATATAAATACAGGTTTGTATAATTATAACAATAAAATAACAATAAAACACTGAAATGCAAAGTTGAAGAAAACCAATTCATCTTTACGGGTATAAATTACAGATAAAGAATGCCCGTTGTATAGTCAAGCGATGAGCGTAGTAATGGCAAATAATTCGCAAACCCCGTCAGCTCCAGATGCATTAACGTTGGTTCAACAAATGAGGGAAGATGGTTTAGCGCTTAAAAAGTGAGAGACGAATATTTTTTCTTCTTCAAAGTTAAATTTTGTAATATTTAATAAATGTATTTCATGTTGCGTACAGATCCGCTCTAAGTGCTCAACAACATTTACGAGTCCCTGAGCATGAACATCTTATGGTTTCGGACGATGAGGAACAATCGGAAATCACGTTTTTAAAAACTCTTTCTAAGACAGAAAAGAAAAAATTGCTAAAGTAAGTTTCTTCTATATTTATACGACTTGCAATTATTTGAAAAATATTAAGGAAATTAATTTGACAAACATTAATTGCAGGAAATTGCAACAACTTGAAAAAAAAAACAAAAAAGTAGAAAAACAGAAATTAAAGAAACACAAAGTTACGCATAAATCTAGAAACTACAATGATAAAGATAGCAATAGCAGTTATAGCACTGGTATCAATAGCAATAGCAAGAAAAGGAACAGAAGTAGTAGCAGTAGCAGTAGCAGTAGCAGTAGCAGTAGCAGTAGCAATAGCAGCAGCAGTACTAGCACCAGTAGCAGCAGCAGTATCAGTAGCAGTAGCAGCAGCAGCAGCAGTAGCAGCACTAGTGGTACCAGTACCAGTTTTGATACAGATAAACATAGTGTAAATAATATTGATAATAAAACTTGTAACGGTTATACATCAAATAAGTCGAAAAAAAGGAGAAACCTAGAGAAGAAGAAGAAGAAGAAGAAAGAAAAAGCAGATTCCGTTTCAAATGGTAACGTTAAATATCGTCGAAAGAAAGAAAAAAATAAAGCAAAGAGTCGGAAGGGAGAAAATGAATTTAAATATGAAAGAAAAAATAAACGCAAAAAGTCGCATCAAAGAGATGCAAAGAAAAGGAGAACTAGAGATTCTTTCACTGATAAAAAAAGAAAAATCTCAGAATTTAACGAGGATAAAAATAAAGATCATGAATCTAAAAAGAAAATAAGACGATTTTAAGATTGTGTTTCTGTATGTTGAAAATATATGATAAATTAGATTAGAATATCGTATACGTATAAGCGCGCACCTATATTTCCTGTTATTACAGAGCACAAAATACAGAAATAAAATAAAACGTACGCATGTATATTTTTCATCTACTTGCAATAGATAATACGATAGAACATGAACGTAATTGTTAATTTTACTATAATACTAAACTATATAGTGGATTTAAAACATTATTATTTTAAACTTTTGTAACGGTATAACTTTTGATAAATATTTTATGCGGAAAGAAGACGCAAAAAAAATTCTTTAACGACTGTTTCTTCAGATTTCTTCTTACTATTCTAATTATAAAACTGATATTTCATTACATCTAATAATAATGTTACTCGTTAAAATAATATTAGCAATTTCTTTTCTTTTGAAATTGTCTCACAGAAGATAGTAACTTGTTGATAAATATTTCAACATTATATATACAAAAACGAGGTAAAATCTTCACTAAATATAGTACAATGTTGCTATTAGATTATTTTAAATAGACATATACGCATACATGTTTAAAATTAGAACGTTCACTTCTTTACGTTACAATATTTTTATAGAAGGTATAGAAATAAAACGTTCGTTACATTTCGAGTCGAAAGAAACACAACAGAGCAGCATTTTCGTATCTTTCAAATTACATATACATGTGTATATATATATATATATACGTATGTATTTATGCATATATTTATCTTACAAAGTATCAATTTATCACTCTTAATATTTTTCTTTTATAACACAATTAACTATTAACAAGAATTTTTAACTTAGTCACTACACACGCGTGCCTGTGCGAGTGTGCATATATTTTTTCTATGTAAAGTTAAATACTATTCAGCTGGTAGCTGTGAACACTTGGGCAGTTTAATTTTTTCATATAATTGTCACTTTCACAATAATTATACGAAGTAGAATCGGACTGATTCAGCAAAAAGATATGAAATTAAGTCAGAAGTGAAATTAATTCATAGACTCACAAAAACAATCGTACCTTTTTTTTTTTCTTTCTCCGATTCTACTGTAAAGAAAAATCAGCGCAGTTTTTACCTTTTTATCACCTGAAGTGAATTGATTTTATACTAATGGCAGAACAAGACTTTCGAGTCTAATTGAATTCAACGCTCTAGTCTAGTTTAGAACATAATCAGCACGAACTCCATCACATTACGTTTATACAAAATATTTAAATTACTTTGGAATGTACGTTTCCATAAACGTTTCTTCTCAAATCATGCGGTGAATTGAAAAAGCAATTAAACAAATTTGTGATTTTTACAAGAAAAAAAATAACAGTACATTCTTTGTATTTTTTTTCCCCCCACTTTTTAGAAGAATTTTTTGAAATATTCAAATGAAATAATCTTATTGATCTAATCGGTATACATATATATGTACTAATAGTGAACATTTAAAAAATTTGAATTAGTAGTTGCAATGATGTGATATTATTTTACATCAAAAATATTTTTTATATCTTTCAACAGTACAGCGTCCATCTCAAAAAAGAATGTACTTGTTATTATTAGATACCTACATATATTTACATAATGAAAATACATATTTTAATTCTTTACACCATAAATAATCGTCAGTCACATCAGAACAGGCCTACATAAGATTTGTACAGGAGTAGCACCACTGCTCTATAAGCGTAAACTCCTTTTGACGTTTAGAATCGTGTGTTTCTAAATATACATACGTAAGTAAATTGCGATATTCACTAAATGTGACATTTAGATTATTGAAACAAGAAAAATAAGTAAGCTAGAAAATATTTTTTGGTTCTACCGAGCCTAAAGTGGAAATTTAATATTTTCTCGCATATTTATGTATATAAATCACTAAAAACGATTCGTTAGTTAATTTATATCCATCGTTCGAGATTTTTTTTTTTCTTTTCATCGTATCATTTAAACGTACTGCGCGATGTTTAAAAATTGAAAAGTGGACCGATATCTTTCATTTCAGTATCTTCCATATTATTTGAACCTACTACGTGATGCCTAGAAATGAAAGAAACAACTGTTTCAAGTAAAAAAATATAAGTTACAAAGGAAAAATCAATACGATTACATTTATACATAAAAACTATTCACAATTCTTTTAGTACCTGTATTGATGAAAATGTGACGACGTACGAAGATGGGCATCGGGTGATCTTGAAGGCAAATTGTGAAGGCTTCCGCTAAATCCTGTACTTAAAAGACCTTTTCGAGGGCTTCTAGCATTTACGACTCTTGGTTGTGCATACATTTCTTCCAGAACACTGGGTGCAACGTATGTAAAGCCCTGTGTGGCCGTTCGATCGAATTCCGTTATGGTTATTTGAATTATTCTTTTTAAATATGAAACATTAACACCGTCTTGTTACCTACTTGAAAAATCATATTAGCAGACTCGCTTAATGTACTTTCAACCGGAGAATCAACAGGAACGGTTGTTGTAAATTGCTCGTCGAACTGTGACGTGTCGTCGGCACTTTTCTAAAAAAACATTGTAACATTTTTATTTAACATTACTATTTTAATTTTTCATCATAACCAAAAGTACTTACTAACGATGGCTTAAAAGGTGGTTCTAGTTTTTTTGAAATTACATCTTGCCAGTTAATATGTTTAAAAAAATTATGATTCATAATTTGTTCAGCATCTTCTGATCCGGATCCTAGTCTTTGCAAGACTTGTCTCTACAAATTACATACAAAGCGCGTTCGTAATATGGATATTGGTCATGTAAATGATGTCGCTAAGTGATAAAAATTCTGTTAATACCTTTAATAATCTTCGTATCAAGTCTTTGGCATCGGGTGTTAGGTACAATGGAAGATTTAACTTTCCTCGTAAAATTTTTTCAATTGTTTTTCTTCTGTCATCTCCAGTAAATGGTGGCTGAAAAAAAAAAAACAAAAAACAACAATATATAATCATATTATATTATTGAAACAATACATCTTAAAATATTCTTTTTTCTTTTTCCGTTCTTCACTTAGTCCATATACCATTCCAGTAAGCATATCAAACATGAGAGCACCCAAACTCCACCAGTCAACCGCTTTTCCGTGTCCACTTCTTGTTAAAATCTCCGGGGCCCTAAATAGATTGGCAATAATAAAAATTACAAGGTATATATTTTCGATTAAATTATTTTCATCTGCCGTTTAACCGTTACTGTTAACGGATTTTTTATTATATTATTTTTTATACTAATAATGTCGTGGCACGACATCTGATAAGTTATAACGAATACTCGATAAAGTGACTCGTTACTTACATGTATTCTATTGTTCCGCAAAATGTATGAGTCACTGTACCTTCTTGAATATGTTCTTTACATAAACCAAAATCTGTTAATTTAACATGGCCTTCGCCGTCTAACAAAATATTTTCTGGTTTCAGATCTCTGTGAAAGCAATTAACTTAGTTAAATGCGTGCAGTTATATATTTTAAATAGCATTATTAATAAACATATTATACCTGTATATAATACCCTGATTATGGAGATGTTGTAGCGCAAGTATAATCTCAGACAAATAAAAACTGTCAGCAAAATAGACAAAAGAAACGTTAATCTACATATTTTTAGATTTATTTAATGTATGTATACGCAAGCGTATACTAGACTTTAAACATACTTGACAAATTAGATAACTTACCAAGCTGTATCCTCTAAGAAAATGCCTTCTCTATCTAAATATGTAAAAAGCTCTCCGCCGCAAAGATATTCCAAAATTAAATATAATTTACCACCAGTTTGAAATGCATACATTAAATTTACAATGAACGGATGCTGTAACAAGAATATCATAAATATTTCATTGTTATTTATAACAGATTTTACTCACTTTTACAGCTTCTAAGATATTTCTTTCCGCTTTTGTGTGGGCTGTATCTTTCTGATTTCGTATGATAGACGCTTTTCTTAATACCTGAGAGAAGATGGAACTATAAAGCTTTTTAAATATGTGTACAGATGTGAAAATAATTACCTTCATAGCAAAGATACCGCCTTTATCCTTCCCTGTAACTTTTTTAACTTGAAAAACTTTGCCATATCCACCTTCTCCTAGAATTTTGCACAGTTCAAAATCTTGAGGTCCAGTTTTTTCTTGACCTATGTTCACATTCTGTTCTGATAATTGAACTCTTTCCAAGTCGTCGGATCTGTGACAAAAAAAGAAAAGAATGTACGCTTTCTCTTAATAGAAAAACTGGCTAAAGAAGAAATATAATATACAATTTAATTATGAAACTAAAATGTTACATACTTTAGGATTCATTAATACTTACTCTAATATGGTATTTACATTTGCAGCATGATTATAGGCATCCTGAAACAAATAAAATAACAAAAAAAAAATAAAAAACAAATGAATAGTATAATAATAGTGAGGAAAATTTCATGGAAAACAAAAAATTCATTAAGAAACGAACTTCTCTGCTTTCAACGATATCATCATCTGACTCGTCTTGATTTACGGAATCTCCTTCGTGTAATTCTATATCAAATACTCCAGCCATTCTTTCTATACTGTAATCACATTTAAAACCTTTTCTCGTCGATAGTTTTAATTGATCGTAATAAGTTCAAATAACGTAGATGCCTACGTATGTGCGTAAACGTGATAGTATGTTAGTTCTCTTTATTTGCGTGTTCTGCACTGATTTTCTGATGAATAGATTGAACTGTCTATAATCGTAAATAAAAAATTCTACGTGAAATTACATTTAATATCGTAAGAGGTACTTATATGTTACTTTATTATTATTATTATTATTTTCTTTTTTAATGATTAGACAGAAATGTGCAAAATTTTGAAATAAAACACGATACAAATACTCCAACTAACAATGTATAGACTAGCGCGAATGCTACTTTAATTGAGCATGAAACATGTACGAGAACCGTAGAAACTTTTAAAATGGTTCGTGTTCTTTTAAAGTTGGAAACGAAAATGTAAATGTAAGATTCGCATTAATATTACCTACATAAGTGGTGTTTCCTTTCGATCGTAATTTTGTTTATTGTTTCTTCTATTAATTTGTATCTTGCGTTATACATATACATTATATATGTACATTAATGAAAAATTCAATTTTCAAAATTAATTTTTTTTGCTCATGTTTAATCAAATGTACTTAATTAGTCAACTTTAGAGTATGGTACTTTTATTTAACTAAAAATAATTGTATAATAGATAAAATCTTATTCAAATTATTTCAAATAAATATGTTATCCAGTTGAAAACGCACAAGAAATGTAAAATCTTGTTACAGCGCCATCTATTAAGTATCATCAAAGTTGTAAATGGTTGTAAAAGGGATAAAAACGTCGAGCTAGCCTCGTAACTGTTCACAACTAAAAGTTGGGTTACGGAGAAAAACGTTTTCTTAATTTGCGCCATAATACCGTAGTACGACTTAAAGCAATCTTAATATTATCGTTTTGTCTATCTGTGGTTATAATAAGTTGCATTTAATGTATTATCGAGTTGGTGCAACGATTATGTTTGATTTCGTATAAAGTCGATGTAAGTTAACAAGCATCAACATCATTTTTTTTTTGAAACGTTATAAAAGGCAGTTATATGTATAGGTCGGTATTTACTGCAAACAATATTTAAATGTTATTGAAATAATGTAATTATGTTAACTAATTTACGTTACTTTAGTAATAAAATTTTCGTTTCACGGAAAACACCTTAAATTCTAATCAGTTATTAATAGTTTCCCATTCGATTGGACTATTTGCATCTTATAAATGCTTATTAAATATTATTTTTCTTTTTAGAAATATATACTTGAAAAATGTCGATTCCACCATATTTATTGGGTCCAAATCCATGGGCAACCATGATGGCCCAACAACAGGCTCATGCTCAGTTAGCCGCAGCTCAGGCTCATGCTCAGGCAGCTGTACACGCGCAAGCTGCGCATCATGCTCACATGCAAGCCATAGCAGGACCGCCGTTACCACAAATGCCAAAGCAACCTGAAGTTTTATCGGAAGACAAGTTACAAGAAAAAGGTAGATTTTCAATTAAATTTGACTACTTTGGAAAAATGTTTACAGAGAATATGGATTTAGTTTATCTTTTAATCGGTTTAATTCGTTTATAGCTCAAAAGTGGCAACAACTTCAATCAAAAAGATTTGCAGAAAAAAGAAAATTTGGATTTGTGGATGCACAAAAAGAAGATATGCCACCGGAACATATAAGAAAAATTATTAGAGATCACGGAGATATGAGTAGCAGGAAATATAGACACGATAAACGTGTTTATTTAGGGTATGTAATCGTTTATTGGTTGAAAAAAAAAAATAAGAGAGAGGAAATCGAGTGATTTCGTAATTCCGTTATTTGGTTAATTTTTTTCTAGAGCATTAAAATATATGCCTCATGCTGTTATGAAGCTTTTAGAAAATATGCCTATGCCTTGGGAACAAATTCGAGATGTAAAAGTTCTGTATCATATCACAGGTGCAATTACGTTTGTAAATGAAATTCCATGGGTTATAGAACCTGTGTATATCGCTCAATGGGGGTAAGCTAAAAAAAATATATTATTATTCGTTTGCTTTTATCCGAATGTTGAGCGAATAAGAAATTTTCTTTTCTCTGTATATTCAGTACAATGTGGATTATGATGCGACGTGAAAAAAGGGATCGTAGACATTTCAAAAGAATGAGATTTCCGCCATTCGATGACGAGGAACCTCCGCTAGATTATGCGGACAATGTTTTGGATGTAGAACCATTAGAGGCCATTCAAATCGAACTTGATTCGGAAGAAGATGAATCTGTGGCATCATGGTTTTATGAACACAAACCACTCGTTGGTACTAAGTGAGTGATTGCAATTATCACCCTCCGTTCATATAATACGATACATAGATATTATTAGGTGTTATTTTATGATGAATCGCGTAGGGGTCCTGAAATCAACTAACATGTGAGTTGATAGCTGTAGTAATTTGGTAGTCTTATCCGAGATAGGTACTACAAGTTGCTATCAGCCGGACAAAACGCTTTACTGAATGATCATCTCGCGCGATTGTATTAGGAAATGAATATTATTTGAGAAGAGTTATCAATTGGCGATATATGTTATTGCAGGCATGTAAACGGATCGACTTATCGAAGATGGAATTTGACTTTACCACAGATGGCGACTTTATATCGCTTGGCTAATCAATTGTTAACAGACCTAGTAGATCAAAACTTTTTCTATCTTTTTGATCCAAAATCATTTTTCACCGCAAAGGCGTTAAATATGGCTATACCGGGTGGCCCAAAGTTCGAACCACTGGTGAAAGATTCAAATGCAGCTGACGAAGATTGGAACGAGTTTAACGACATAAATAAAATTATCATTCGACAGCCTATAAGGACAGAATATCGCATCGCATTTCCTTATTTGTACAATAATATGCCGCATTTTGTGCATTTATCGTGGTAAGTATTTGAATGAATGAATTCTCAAGTTCCACGCCAGTTTTAAGACTAATCGTATTTTAGTATATTAAAGTCTTACTAGCGGTGTGGTAAAGAAAAGAATTGGTGATTGTTATTCGTATCCTTTATAAAGCATAGAAGGAAACTGCTGATATCACCTACAGTATTTACCGTGTATAATTCTCCGACGATTGATGCTGTTGTTCTCTGATTTGTTCTTTCTTTTCACAATAGGTACCATGCACCAAACGTTGTTTACATAAAAACGGAAGATCCTGATTTACCTGCTTTTTATTTCGATCCATTGATCAATCCTATTTCTCATAGAAATTCGTTGAAGGTAAAAATTTTAGAGATACTCTTGTATTAAAATAAGAAAAAAAAAAAAAAAAATTGACGAAATAATGAATGACGATATTTTTTTAGACTGTGGAACCACAAATCGAAGATGACGAAGATTTTGTACTGTCAGAGGAAGTACAACCATTCCTTCAGGAAACTCCTTTATATACAGACAATACCGCGAACGGAATTGCTTTATTATGGGCACCTAGACCATTTAATACTCGTTCCGGTAGAACGAGAAGAGCTATCGATATTCCGTTAGTGAAATCGTGGTACAGAGAGCATTGCCCACCCGGGCAACCTGTTAAAGTTCGCGTCAGTTACCAAAAGTTATTGAAATACTTTGTATTGAATGCCTTGAAGCATAGACCTCCGAAACCACAGAAGAAACGTTATTTATTCCGATCGTTCAAATCAACGAAATTTTTCCAAACCACTACGATAGATTGGGTCGAAGCTGGTTTACAAGTATGCCGACAAGGATATAATATGTTGAATTTACTGATTCATAGAAAAAATTTAAACTATCTTCATTTAGATTACAATTTCAACTTGAAGCCGGTTAAAACGTTGACAACAAAAGAGAGAAAAAAATCTAGATTCGGAAATGGTGAGTAGAGTGGATTTAAGGTGTATGGTTAGGTTAACGTTTAATTTGATGTTTTTGCAGCTTTCCATTTGTGTCGGGAGATTCTTCGTTTGACAAAACTGATTATCGACTCTCACGTTCAGTATCGTTTAAATAACGTTGATGCGTTTCAACTCGCGGATGGATTACAGTACATTTTTGCTCATGTTGGCCAGTTGACTGGAATGTATCGATACAAGTATAAACTGATGAGACAGATTAGAATGTGCAAAGATTTGAAACATTTGATATATTATCGTTTCAATACGGTAAGTATCGTAAACTAAAATATTCTTAACAAAGTTTACATTTAATAAGAGAAGAAGAGTGTGCGATAAACTCGATTGAATATCGATACGTGTATAGGGTCCTGTCGGAAAAGGTCCTGGATGTGGATTTTGGGCACCTGGTTGGAGAGTATGGCTCTTCTTCATGAGAGGAATTACACCGTTGTTAGAAAGATGGTTAGGAAACTTACTGTCTAGGCAATTCGAGGGTCGTCATTCAAAGGGTGTTGCCAAAACTGTAACGAAGCAACGAGTAGAATCACATTTTGATCTTGAATTGAGAGCATCGGTAATGCACGATATCGTGGATATGATGCCAGAAGGAATCAAGCAAAATAAAGCGCGAACAATACTTCAGCACCTTAGCGAAGCATGGAGGTGTTGGAAAGCGAATATCCCTTGGAAAGTTGGTATTATTTATTTATTTATTTATTTATTATTATTCTTTTTTGGCGGAGAGATATATACATTTTGAATCGATGCTTACAGGTTCCTGGATTACCGATACCGATCGAAAATATGATCCTTCGTTACGTAAAAATGAAAGCAGATTGGTGGACAAATACCGCGCATTACAATCGCGAACGTATTAGACGCGGAGCAACTGTGGATAAAACCGTCTGTAAGAAGAATCTTGGACGTCTGACGCGACTTTATCTTAAAGCTGAACAAGAACGACAACACAATTATTTGAAGGTACCAAAGTTTATTATTGTCAATTAACGGAATGTTTTAATGTTTTAATGTTTTAATGTTTTAATGTTGCTTCTCTGCACACAACAGGACGGTCCATATATTTCTCCGGAGGAAGCTGTAGCTATATATACCACGACCGTACATTGGTTAGAATCGAGAAGATTTGCTCCTATACCTTTTCCACCATTATCTTACAAACACGATACCAAACTGTTGATATTAGCTTTGGAACGATTGAAGGAAGCATACAGCGTCAAGTCAAGATTGAATCAAAGCCAACGCGAAGAACTTGGTTTGATAGAACAAGCATACGATAATCCGCACGAAGCGCTGTCTAGAATTAAACGACATCTTTTGACGCAAAGAGCGTTCAAAGAGGTAATTTAAAATGAAAATAAAAAAGTATTATATATATATATATATATATATATATATATCGATTGGATGGTTTGTTTGTAGGT